ACGGCTCCGATTTCGGAGTCCCCGGCAGGTAGTGGTTAATGAGCACATTACTTTGACACTCTTGAACTCTTGGAGAATGTAAAATCAGGGCATTCAAGACAATAGCTAGTCCTGTTTGCAACCTGCTTCCATCAGTTTTGGATTAGAGACATTATACCATGGGAGAAGTTGATCAGATAGTGCTCTTGGTCAGTGCTTCCAAGTAACCACAGTGTACTTCTTTGAATTCCTTTCCAATACAGAGGCTCCACCCAGCAAATTCAGCGTGGGATTGTTGGACCCGCCCTTCAGAGTGGGTGTTCCCTTCAACATCCCACTGGAACTCCAAGATGAGTTCAACCACTCCACCAAGCCGGTGCCCAACATGAAGCCGGTCCTTGAGGCAAGGTGAGAAAAAAAGTTGTTTTAAAACGCAGCAATGTCTCAAGGTATCACGGTGCTCACCTGCAATGTTCACTGAACTCTGACCTCATTTTGCCATCCTATGCAGCGGTCTCGAGCTGAGCTACGCCGGCGTGCAAGCCAGAGGAACCACACTGCTCGTCAAGGATGTGACGGCCATCGGTGATGTAGGCTCCTTTCAGGGAAAGAATTTTAACTTCAAAGTGACTCTCCCAGGCCTGGCCTTCCCAACACAGACCCTGAAGATAAGACTATCTCCAGGTCAGTACGTAATCAGTGTCATTGCAGAAGGGTCAAGTATCACAGTTTATATATCTTCTAGGTACTGGGGGATGAAATGAGACCACCATGACTCTGTAAGCTCAGTCAGTAGAGAAATGATGGTCCTAGGTTCGAACCCTTCTCCTCTCAGTTTCATTTTCTCAAATGAAAACTGATCAAATACTTACTGAAAGATTTTTTATTTCAAGTAAGACTCAGGATCCTTGTGCCAAGTGCGCAAGGGGAACATCCCAAATCCTTGGATTCCCAAGAAACAAGAAATGAAGCTGCTCACAAGACTATCAATTTCTTTTAGCATTTTGAATAAATGTAGTTTTGTTTCTACGGACAGGTCAACCTCACTCCCTTCATGTTCCTACATTCGTTGAAGAGATCTCCATTGAGAATGGTCAGGCACTGAATGTGACGATCGAGGTTAGAGACAAGGCAGGGAATATCACTGTCCACCCAAAGCTGGATGTCACCTGTAAGGTAAGAAGAACTGCTAGGCAGAGCTGGTAGTAGAGCTAATAGGGAGGGTTGATCGGCAGAGCTTGTAGCTAGAGTTACTAGCCAGGTCTTGTGCCCAGAACTTGTACACAGAACCACAACAGAAGAGCTTTTCATTTGGTTTCCTCTTGTACAGTCTAATATGCAAAGACACACGCTTTCCAATCAACCATCATTTTGCCTGTCGTTGTGCTTAACAGTTCCTTGGTGCTCCCGGGTTGCCAACATACTGTGGCGATTGTAGCACAGGAAAGACTACGCTGACAGGCAACATCATCTTCTTCAAGAACCTGAAGAAAGGGCAGAAGATAACGGCCAAAGTCTGGCTCCCGGTAGGAAACCATACAGTCTGAGAACTAGTATTTCATCAGGTCTCTGGTTGTCGGCGTCTTTTTGCTGCTGAGTGTGCATTGATAAATACTGCTGTACCTTTTTAGTCATTTATTGATGTATTTATTTTGTCTTCTGATGAATAACTACTGCTTAATTCCTTGCCCCCGTCTGAAGAATTTCAGTGACATCTCACCTATTGAGAAGGTCATCCAAGTCCTACCCAATTCCAATCCTCACTACATTGACATGTGGTACACAGAAAACTCAGGGTCAACCAAACTCAGACATCAGCAGGAGTTGAGATGGCCGGCTGGAGACCACATCAAGGGAATTTGTGAGTTGACATCATAGAAGCACAAGAGCAGAATCTTTTTTCTCCCAATTCTTGTAATGTTTTTTTTTTTAAAGGTGCCTTCTCTGAGTGTGTTCATGATCAAAAAGGCATTCTGATGATCCTTACCTAAGATTGATTACTTTATATGCCTTGCTGAAACTACTGTGCCTCTCTAGAGCATTGTCATCCCTAGTCCTTGCTTCCTAGGCACTTTTCCCGTAATCTTCCTGAATCCTCGAAAATCCACCACCTTGCAGAAAACCCAATAGCACACTCTTTGTACGTAAACTTTTCAGGGCCGTTAAGCCCCAAGCAAAAATGATATTGGCCGGCTCTACCTTCCTTGGTCCTGCTACATCCCTCCAAATTTGATTAATTTTGAAGGGGCTCTGGAGGTTGTAGAAAGTATTTTTTGTAATCCCTGTGGTGCAGTGTTTGCCTTGTTTGATGAGGGCTTCCGACAGATCAAGATCAGCCCAGAGATTGCCAGCAAGGTCAAGGTCAGCTGGATGCCCAGACTCAGTCATGAGAAGGTGCAGCAAGGAATCTTGCCTGACATCAAGGTGCCTGCCTCGGCCGCTGAGGCTAAATATGTCCAGCTCAGTCTATCGGATGGATCGGGTTTGGAGTTTGGCTTCACAATCAGGTGAGGATTTCCATCTCAATTGTTTACATGAAAGGCTTGTTTCGTCTTTTCATTTCTGGGCTACACACAAAGGCCAATCACCATATATACAAGAGCCAGGGTCTGCCTTCTTTCACCGTGTTCGCTTGAGCGTGGGCCGAGAATAATAGCTGAAAAGCAGGCTGAGGATCTCAATTTTTATGGCAGCTCTTGCCGTCATCCATCGCAAAGGGGTTAACTGCAATCTTCAGCTCCCTTCTGCTACATCCTGTATTTTGAACCTGTGTCATTCTCTATTGGTCACAGACCTGAGCCAGGTGAAGTCTCACAGATCAAGTGCGTTTGTCAGGGCAGCAAGAAGGTTCGGTTGGGAGAGGTCTTGGATGGAGACATCATCGTCAATGTGACAGATTCTCATGGGAACCCAATCAAGAAGGTAAGCATGTTGATGCATCTTATAGGCTGGTTGAAGCAGGTCTTATGATGGCCAGTCTCTGTTCTCTTGTAGTGTCCCCAGCAGTGGCTGGCCAAATCTTGAAGTTTTCTGTTTGCTTACCAAGATCATGAAGAACTCTGGACAGGTCTATGTGACCACAGCAACGGTCTGCATTTTAAGGTAGTCCAAAAAGTAGCCACCTGCTCTTTTCAGTGACTTTTCTGACAGGTACTCAGAGAAACTTCTGCTGTTCAAGGTGGCCAAACCAGCTCAGAGGTGTAACTAACTGGAATAATTATTATCCACCTGCCCTTTTTTCTGCTCCGCCTGACAGGTTCCCCACGGAGCTCTCAGCCACCTGGAGGTGACGGGGGAAGGTCTGAAGACCAAGCAGCTTCAGAAGTTCATTATACCCAATACGGGCTTTGCCTTACGTCAAGTCCGCTTTGAAGGGGGTCCATTAGGACAGCGTGAGCTGTGTGTTAAGTACCATGACTTCACAGAGTATGTGAAGCTACAAATGCTGGCTGGACCACCCACCAAGCTATCATTCATCGACACTTCTCTCTATGAGGTTTGTCTCTGGGAATTTTCTTTTCCTTCTTTAGGGCTTGGGCTTCAAGAGATTTTTGACGTCACACTTGCATCACAAGTTTTGTTGTTTCTTGAACTGTATGTTTTGAGTCCTATGATGTCACTACGACAGTTACAATAATTGCTTTTCTCTGGCAGTTTGGGTTGGTGTCTTTTTCCTCACAGTGCAAACTTTTTGGATTCTTCATGCCGCTAATTAGGTGCCAAGTAATGGTTTGCATAGTCTCTTAAGATTCTGAAATGCTTGCAGTGATGAATAAATTTGTAAACTTTGCAATGATGTTTTTGTTTGTTGAATGGTAGCCCGTGTCAGTCTTCAGTGGTTCCAGGATAGACAAGAACTTGACCGTCCAGCTCTGTGACGAAAATGATAATCCCACCTCTGACACCAATGCCCGCATGACACTAACGGGTTCCAGCGGCTTGGATAACGTCAACCTGCAGATGAAAGCTGACAAGGACGGCCGGGCAGGATTTGGCAGGCCTATCATCTCAGCTGCCACTGGCCACCATAAGCTGACCATCAAGGCCATTGTTGGCCGGAATGTGCTGGTCAGCACAGTGGACATATACATCCAGCCTGACCCTAACAAACCAACCGCGGTCTTTGTCGAGTTTGAAAAAATACCGTCACTGATTGTTGGAGACTTCTTCCCAGGTAAGACGAAAAGCGATTGTGTTCAGTACAGAATTGTTCTTGATTCTTGTAGCAGCATTCTTCCATAAAGCCAGTTCATACAGAGCACAAAGCGTGCCGCTTTTCTCCATTTGGATTCATCCCTCAAATCTCAAAGTTTCTCTGTGCTTGGATTTTTTCATCTTTTGTTCTTTTTTTTTTTTCCTTTCAGCATTCGACGTGAGAGTAGAAGCAGAAGACGGTAGTGTGTTCCTGAAGCTGCCTCCCAAGAACGTCCTGATGAGACTCTGGAAAGTTGACACCTCCTCCCAGACCAAACCCTCCCCAGAAGCAGTGTCATATGTCCCAGACAACAGGCAGCAAGATGACAAACCTGGACACTTCTACTTCAGGTATAGGGGTGGTCATCATTGAGCTCATGCTGTTTGTGTTTTCACTGTGTGCCAATGCAGCCGTTTTGTCGTGATTCAGCAGTTGTAATTGGCATAAGTTGCCCTTTATGCAATCTGCATCTTTGACCAGTTAAAAAATCCAGCTCTGTCCTTTGCACGTGATGTCAGTGAGCAAGGGTTTAACCTCAGTCAAGTTTGATCATGGACTGTTTGTCGACCACTTATCAATTTTCCCAGGTAAACTATGTTGAAAAACTATCCTGGGTACCTGGCAAGACCTGTCCTCTACTGTATTGATAATGGTCATCGATTGAGCTGAGCCCTTGGTGGAATAAGATCATAGTCACTGATAATAACCAGTAACAGATGCTAAGTGATGCGAGCGGCTGAAGCAATTCCTGTAAACTCTAACCAACTGACCTTTGTGAAGATTCCATTTGATTATCGCAATGATGTCTATTCTCACACTCAGGAAGAGGAAGGCCCCAGAAGTTGCTGGCCATTACAACATGTTCTTCCAGGTCATGATAGGCCATCAGGACACCATCATTAGTGAAACAGTGAGTAGTCAAGAGAATTTTTATCGCCTAGCTCAAAGAGTTGCTCAGGCAGTGTACGAATTAACTGGCTGTGGCTAGGATAACACAATTGTCTGTTAGAAATAGCTGCAGCCGCAGCTCTTTTTAGACATAGCCACAAATTTCAGACACATTTGATGTTCAGCATTTTAAGAAATAACATCGTTAACTATCTTTGCAGCTGAGCTTCGTGGTCCATCCTGGCCCACCAGTCAAACTGGTACCCGACAGCCATCAGCCCATGGTCACTGTGTCCAACACTCAGAAATCACTCAGTCGATCACTAGTACGAACACTCAAGTTACAACTCAAGGTGAGTAAACACATACTGAGAAGTTCTACATTGCCGTAGTGGCGCCATCATTGATCAGGCATGCAACTCCTCTGCAGATAGGCGGATTTCTGCGTTTTTAAAATATAGGACCACAAAAGATTCCAACTTAGGCTTTGTGTGTGCTTTCGCCACTTGCTTGCACCTCGGATCGTGTCGCGGCGGATGTGCTGCTGCCAAGCCACTGCTCAGCAGAAACTTGTACAATTGTGCTTCCATGCGGGAAAAAAGGATAGAAATTGTCATCTGTTCTGTGCTAGTGTATGAGAGGAAACTGTTAACTGAGCTGGACACCTGACTTTGTTCCATTCGTGATTATCATAGTGCCCTCTATTCAGTTGTGGTCGATCAACTTGCACTTTGTGACGTCAGGATATGGACTGCACGTGCTGCCGTTCTGTGACATGTACGTGTTGGAAAAACATCTGAGATAGTTTGTCTTGGAAAAATGACTTCGAAAAGGAAGGACGTGGTCACAAGGCATCTCTAGCACTCTTCTTGATGAAAGCCTTTCTTCATGAGCCAGTCAGCAAGATTCTTGTGGCTGACATGCGGAAGGCCAGAAAAGAATCAGTCAAGTATCTTGATTAAGAAAATGCCTCTGCCAAGCATCCACTTCAACATCCAAAACCCACAACAACTAAAAGAAGAGTGCTAGAGGTTGCTGCCAAGGTGGCCAAGAAAGCCAGTCTTACTAACGTGTAGTAAGTAAAATCAGCAACAAGTACCAATTAGAAAATTTCAGATATCAAGATTTTTTTGCGCATATTTTTGAAATAAAATGTATTCATCTAAAATTCAAGCGGTTGGAACTGCCCAGAATGCACCAGAGAGCATCTAGAATTCAACATTTTCCAGGGCTCTAAGTTGGGCCTAGACCCCATGCCGTATTGGCTTCATGCGCGCACTCGCAGTGTTGTATGCGTAGGTTTGCATGCCTGATGGATTTGAGCAGTGAAGTTTATAAACATCATCGCTATCTCAGTGAAACCATCATGTCAGAAGTCTGTTATCACAGTGTGTCTTAGAATCAGATTTCCTCTCTGAGTAGGACCGATTTCAACATTTTGTCTAAAGTTTGCAGGCTAACTACTTAGCATAAGGCTGGTCGATACTCCAACTTCATCCACATCACCGATCAACTCATTACCAATAAGTAATATGTCCTTGCTAGCCTGGCTGTTTCCTTCTCTGTACAGGACCAGTATGGCAATGCTACAGGAAGCAATGTCTCAGGGAAGGTAGTGGTCAGCCTGTGTGGTGATGGAGGCAATGAACTGCCCATGCTGGTGGGCAACAAGTCTTCAGCTGAGTTCAGCATGACCAAAGGGGTGGTCACGGTCCAGGTAATGCGGTATAAACAAATGGCCGCCTGATTGAATTTGCTGCCAGTTTGAATTGTCGGATGCTGAACCCCTGACCCTTTGATCAGGAGTCTAGTCAGAAGGGTTCCTTGTGGTCACCGAAAATCCTAAAAATATTGGTAAAAGAAGTTGACTTGGAAAGTTAGGGAAAAGCCATTGGAAAATTTGGGCTAAAAGAAGTTGTCCCCGGATTCTGTTGGTAGAGGAAGAAAGTCAGGAAAAAGTCATGGAAGTCAAAGTCATGAAAGGGTTATCTTTGATGGGTTTATTGTAACATGATGACAGAAACAGATAAAATAAATGTACAGTCAGTCTGTAGTAGTGGCTATGGCAGTCTTTTAGTTCAAAATGCCCAACAACTTTTCTCTGCAAGATGGCGTTAAAATGTCATGGAAATTGCCATATTTTAGTCTTGAAAGGTCCGGAAAAGGCCTGGAATTTGGTTTTCAGATTTCTGTGGTCACCCTAAATCACCCATCATGTTTTTTTTTTCTTGTAGAATCTAGTCCTCCAGGAGAGCACCCCAGGTAAAGATGGTGGGGAGTACTCACTGAAGGTGGAAGTGCAAAGCCCTCAACTCAAACCAACCAACGTGGATCCTTACGTCCAACCATTCCTCTTCTACAACGGTATGAGCTCATTGATGAAACTATCAAAACCATGCATATTCATTTCCTCGTTGCTCTATACAACCAACTCACTATTTAAGTTTGAATTCTTTACCGGTTTCATGTAGTACCTTATCATTAGAATTTGAACCATTATTTACCTTGGGCTGGTAGCACACATCTTTTTTTTTTTTGTTTAGAAATTTGTTGTAATTGCCATAGTTTCATAAGGATGTAACCACTACTTTTTATGACTTGCCTGGCTTGTATCATTGCCAGGAAATTGTACAGCCTGTGTAACTGTTATAAAACAGCTAGAGAGGTCATAGTTTCTCATGGTTGTTGACTGTGGTTGTATTCTGCGGCTTGCTACAGTGATTCTATGGCTGGTCTGTTCTAATTTATAAAGTTTCTTTGGTTACTTTTCTACTGAAATCATTGCATAGTTTCTTTGTTTTATTGTAAAACGCTCCAAGGGAGTTTTATGTCAAAGTGCGCTTTAAAAAAGCAGTATTTTTGTTATTCTTATTATTATCCCAGATGCCAGGAAGCAGTACCGCATGTCCCAGTTGACCAAGGAGAGAGACACACTGCTTCAAACCATCAACGTCTTCCAAGGTTTCTTCCAGACGACCGACAAGCTGATTGCGGAGATGAAAAGTGAGGCCAGTCCCTCTTCAGATCTCAAACTGCTGTCACCAATGTTGGTTGCATCTGTCGTGTATAGAGGACACTAGTGAGCCCTAAGTTGCGCCTGCATGGGGAGCCTTTCCAAATCTCAGCTTTATTTCCGTCTTCCTCTCTGTGTTTCAAGGTTGACGGATTTATTGTTCTTATTTGAGGCTTTCTGTGAAACCCAAGTTTTGATCATTTCTGCTGAGTTGCAACAGCCGATGTTTAAATCCAGTTGTGAATTTCATGCTGAAAACAGTGCTGGACTTGAAGCCATAAGTAAAAAAAAAGCCTTGTTTACTTTGTTACTGATCATCATGTCATCTTCATCTGTTGACCTCCTGGAATGATGCTTATATTATCCGCATTTTAGAACGTGAATTGGAGCCATGCTTCCAAATCAAGAACTGAGTATACTCTTGATAACAGTACTGACAAAAACTAACTAGCTAAAGATTGTCTTGATTTTCTAATATGTTGTTTGGGTTTGTTTCTTGTTTTTTTTATTATTTTGACAGTGTCGGTCCAGGAAGCACAGCACAACGAGAACCAAATCAAATCTGAACTCAGGAAATTGCTGATCCAAACCAGCCAAGTCAACACAGTAAGTACGCAGGAGTTGATGGAACATGGCAACCAGTGGTAGTAAGCCGGGATGCAGACGCATCTGTGCACTTGCTCGCTCAGTGTAGTCGAGCGTACGTTATTTTGCAAAACAGTTAGTCCTTGAATAATTGCGGGGGGAGTAGTTGTCAGATCGCACCTCGATCAAAGGACAACTGTGTTGTTTATGCATTGACCTAACGTTGTGTTAAGTCAAGTCGCGTTGTCAGTGCAGTTTGAAGTGGTATTTGGCGAAGCCTAAGAGCCACTTTGTTTCACGGGGATCTGGATCTTGATCAGTGATCCCATTGCTGGTTCCCTTCATCCATTGGACGGGTTCTGGTGTCAGTGAACCGACGAATCACTGGTCGGCATGAAACAAACAGGCCCCTGAAGGTATACATCAGGAGTTCCTGAGGAAATCCTTAATTTGCTTGTGGGTAAATATTTTGGATGTATTTTACAGGTGGAGACTATTCAGAGGTTATTAAGTGAGGCTCAGCGACAACGAGAAACAATGCTGCAGTTACCGCGACGGAAATGTGAACTGAGCATGTACGTTGACATGAATAGCAACCCGGCAATACTTGGTAAAGTAAGTGAATTGTGTGGTTCTCGGAGTTGGGCTCTTGGAGTGATGCTGTACTCGTGTTCATGTAGCTTGAGGTTGGGGTAGGGTTTGCTGGTATGCTGTCACTGAGTATTGGTTAGTTGTTGGTCTTGAGTCCCTTGGTGTAAGCTCAGAGCTAGAGATGGCACACATACCAAGGTTATTGGTTATGGATTGTTTTCTCATCAGATCAATCAGTTTGCTGAAGTGGACGCTATTACCTTGCTATTTCATGGCGCGTGTTATTAGTCTGCGTATGAGTATTAATGACTGATTGTGGATGATCAATTATTATGCGATCCTCAGATCGGTCAGTTGGCGGAGGTTGTGGACGACACCATTGCCCACGTCCTCTCTTGGCACATGTTAACAGACATGGATTGCCTGGTAGTGAGGACTTCGGAAGCAGCCATGAAGGTCTACCAGGCCACCCAGGGACGCCAGCAAGTCCTCCCTCTGGATTCCATCTTCAGAAAGAGCATCCCCAACTGGAACAGGTAGAAAGTAGACTCCGTGACCTAGGTGGTGTAGAGGTCATGACCTCTAATCGCCACGTCTTTGCATGGGCTCAAGAGGTCTGAACGTGTTTTCCTTGTGCAGTTCTAAACTTGTTCCATGGGTGCTGGGTATATACGCCTAGTACTTGTTTTCACCCTGTTCAAAATGATGTCAGTGCTTTGCTCGTTTCATCTTGTTACATTCTCAAGTCCCTAACATGTCCTCTTGAACTTTCTCATCCATTTGACTAAAAAACCCTAATGATACATATAATTTGAGCGATCACTGTGCGAGGGGATTAGCAGGGAGGGTCCCTGACTGAGCAGATGAACAGTGCAAACATAGCAGGTGTATTTCAAGATCGACAGTTTTAATAATGTTTTGTCTCTCAAGTCCAGTTATTTTTGCTCCATTTATTTCACTTTCTTGTCTTGTGATTTCTGCCCAGGGAGCTGCCTCACACCCGGTTCCTCAGGACTTACCAACCTCCAGGAAACCCAGTCTTTGCCAGACACCTGTTGCAATTCCCAGCCCACGAGGAAAGCTGTAGACTAGGTTAGTCCAGACCAGCCAGGGTCCAATTTTGTAAAGCTGGAGGTTGAAAATACTGCAGAGATAGAGCAGAATCGTGTGCTACTGTAAAGATCAACCGAGAACCAGTCTCTAGGAGTGCACTTTGCATGGCAATTTGGGCCGGTAACCTATTTCTTGCTAAGCGAATCATGCCAGTGGTTAATAGCTCTGTGGAGCAATAACGGCACTGCTGATAGCTGAATATTTTTCACAGAAAGTGTTACCACTGCAGCAGGCAGATTGTGTTTCCAGCAATCTCCAGTGCACTCGCTGAACCAAGAGTCATTGCTTTTGCAGGAATTTACAATACTGGACAAAATTGTTAGGACGCTTGGTAATAGCCATATGAATGCTCTCCAGCCCTCTCCTCCACTCTCCCGGTCAATGTTGTCATGTCCAACCAGAGAGCAGACTACGACCCAGCATTGAAGGGAGGTCTGAGGGTTGGAGGCCCAACAAAATTTGCCCAGGATTGTAGCTTTTCATCTTGGATGTCTTGTTCCCTGCCCCCCCCCTTAGTCTTTGGCCAGCTCCTTGGTGATGTAATCATCCTGGACACTTTGGAAGATGCTACAGCTTACCGGCGTGAGATTGTCAACGTAACGCCCTGTCCAACCCTGCTGACGAGGGACGGAAATCGTGTCAAGAGCAACGGCAAGTTTGGAGGAACTCACAACCAGTTCTTGCCCTTAGAGAAAATGAAGGGGGTGATATTTGGAGCGCCGATTCCTGAAGCGTGCCATCAACTTTCCAAACAGATAGGTAAGCATTTATATGTCGTCACCTTCACCATGAGGTGACACTAATGTGGCTTTTGAATAAAAACAGGTTTTCGAGAGAATCCCCAGAGACGTTTCTCCTTTATAAAAACTACCAAAATAAGTATTTTGTGACAACTTCCTGTAACAAAATCCCTTATATGATTCTTTTATGTCTAATCATTCACTTATTAATCCCAAGTTATTAGTATGAAAATGACTTAATTAGCCAAAAGTTAACGTCAGTTCATGAAAACGAACTTTGGCTTTTGTACATGAACATCCGTCTGCTCAACGTTTAATAATCACAGGGAAGGTGATGTTGCCTTTACCCACGCACTGCTGTGAATGTAACAAAGCTAACATCACTTCCTGAAAATGAAAATCCCGGTTGACCTACTTTTCAGCCGTATCCTTGCAATACGTTTTGTACATGTTCAAAGGACGTTAAGCTTTGCATCTCTTCATAAAAACGCAAAATGCTGTTTTCAAGATAATTTCCCTCGGCAACATTAATGTAACTGTGACATTAATGATGTTTTGTTTGTGGGAGCATGTGAAAATGGTCAAGCACGATATTGTAAAAGAAAATATTGGAAAAAAAAGGAAATCAACAATTCATTTTTTGGACATTAGCATCACTTCATGGGAACGGTGACAATATGTGGGATTGCTTTTTAAAAGCACCTTTTCTTTAAAAATCTATTGTCCTTGCCTTTTTCTTTATAACGTTATTGTTAGTTTGTAAATGTTTGCGCAGGTTTCTAGAATTACCTAAAAAAAAGGTTACCTCTTCAAACCTTTGTAACTTTCTGAGCAATCTGTGATCTGGCTTGATCTTACAAATGTTGGAATTACTCCTGCTCACCAAAGTCAAGTAGTTTGGTCACTTTACATCCCTCCCATTAGTGATTGCCCTCCATCCAGTGCTTAGCATTTTCAATGTTGTGGTTTGTGATTTCATTTCAGAGCTGCTTGAGAGTCTCCTGCAGGCGACACAGAAACGCCTTGAGGTGGAGCAAGAGCTGACGGTGCAAGAGGAGGAACAGAAGTCTGCGTCCATGCGGAACAAACGTAGGGAGTGTCAAGAGGCAGTTGAACAACTAGCGCTGGTGGAGAAGAAACTCGGTAAGTTACTCATGAGTGGCACTGACTGTAAAGAAACTCAGTAAGTTACTCATGAGTGGCACTGACCGTAAAGAAACTCGGTAAGTTACGCATGAGTGGCACTGACCGTAAAGAAACTTGGTAAGTTACTCATGAGTGGCACTGACCGTAAAGAAACTTGGTAAGTTATGCATGAGTGGCACTGACCGTAAAGAAACTCGGTAAGTTACTCATGAGTGGCACTGACCGTAAAGAAACTCGGTAAGTTACTCATGAGTGGCAGTGGCCGTGGTAAATATCAAGCTTTTCTATCCTTAAAGGTACAGTCTGTCAGTTGCGTGTGAATTATATTCGTTTCAGGCAACAAAAGTGCTTGAAATCTAAAGAAGGATGCTTTACAACTAACCTTACGAAGTGTGAGCTCAGTGAATGCTGTGTATTGTGAGAAAGGCCATATTTTAGGATCTCAAATCAGTAGTTGCAAATCAAATGTTGCAGGGTCCTGTTTTGATTCCTGCCCAAATTCAGTGTCTGGGTGTGCTCTCATGCAGCTGATTGTAACTACGCAATATTGTGCACTGACCTGACAAATTATAACAACCACTGAAATAAAAACAAGCTACTGAAGGCAATTTCCGAAAATGCATCTTTTGACACATCATTCAAAGTGGCCTTCTTTCAGTACTTTTTCAAAATTAAATACATTAATTAAATAGAAATTAAATTCAGCACATTGGATCTTCCTCAGTATTCCAAAGTAGCTTGCTGATTATCTGAGACAGCTTGTTCCTGCACAATTCATAAAGTTACTGTTAAGGATTGAATCCAAGACCTTCCACTTGATAGTGCAGACAGGCGAAATACATGTAGCAATCACTTAGCGAGGTTGTTCAAAGCCAACTACACCAGATATGACAGAAGATCTAAGGTGTTGACAGTATGTGGTGTGGCCCTCTTCTTAGGTATGAATCAGTCGTCAGCAGAGGGCGATGTTGGTCCAGAGAGGTCTGGTCGCCTGACTCCTCAGCAACAGCAGCAAGGTAAGCGTGTGCGTTCCTCGTCACGATCCCCTGTGTCGTCGGTCACGGAAGAAAGCTCCCCGTCTACTCGATCCCGTCGAACTCCCGTCTCTGGGTCAACAGGCTCTACTAAGAGACGGAGATGATACACTCAAGCATGACATCCGGTTTGAATCGCAAATACCCTGAATTTTAATTGTTTACTCCCCTATAAAAACTATCGACAACTTCTAGTTGGCTAGTTCTTCATTACTGTTCTCTATGGTTGTTAGGCTTTTGCCTTAAGAAGTTTTGTGAGGAGAGTGGATTCTAATAGGATATTTACATATAATGGATTTTTTTTTAGAAGGAAAACAGGCGTTTTAATCCTGTTTTCAAACAAGCGTCGTTAATACTCAAAATATTTTACAGCCACTGTTTATCCTGTCTTTCTGTCAAATTCTGGAAAAGTAGCAACTACCCAACGCTTCCAAAAGTAACTCAGTGAAAGTCAAAAGCCACTGCTACAAGTGATACCTTGCTGAACAAAAATGTAATCATTAAGAGTAAACATCAAATGAGTCCGTTGGCTCAAGTAGTGACAAAACGGCCACTTATCCCACTGTTGTGAATTTGTGTGTGTTGAAGAAAAGTGTATATAGTTCTTTGCAGTCTTCAAATGACATGGAAGTTGAATTTACTCAAGTGTTCAAAGATTTGGATTCTTTGTTTCCTCTTTTTAGCAATGTAAGTTTTAAGCAACTGGAGTGTAAATAGATTGTTTACATGTAAACGTGACAATTGATCTCCTCTGAAGCAATGTTGGAGATGTCATTTAGTTTTGTGATGTTTTAGGTTTGGGACAAGAAAAGTGCTACCTGGCCCACTGTGTTGCTGAAAAAAAGTTGAAACTTTCATCTTCGGCCAGTAGTGTTTTTGTGAGAGCTAATAGATTCCTGCATTCAGATGTCATGTTGATACCTCAAAGGTTCCGTCTCAACCCTGTTGGAGGAAGTCTTTTTTTTCTTATTGGTGAGTGCGTACATCAGCTGAGAATGGCATCATCTCCAGCTGAGAGCTGATAACATTAGCTTAGCTCGGAGCTTATTCGCAATTCCATTCAAATAGTCCTCTTCATCAGAGCAAAGTAGGGGTGCGCTGAGCCCCTAGACCAGCCAAGTTTGCAGTCTGTCGACTTCTAATCCAATGCAGCCCTCAACTCTTCACATAGTTAACTGTAAATAATTCTGGTCGTGTGTGTTCCCTCTTTGTCTGTTACTTTCATGTTTTAAGGTTGATTTCCTTGTGTTTTCTACCCCTGTAAGTTGGGTTTGGCATTAGTTAGAACTGTGCAAGGCTTGACAGAATTGTTCAAGTACCAGGAACAGTTTTTATGTAACGTTTGATACGTTGTTGTGTTTTAAAAAAGGTTTTTAAAAGGGCTTTGAGATCAGTGCAGATTCATACTTGACTGTTTCTTTTCTGTAGATAGATTTTTGTTTGAAAGTTACAATACTTCTTAGTTAGCATTCGGGTCGTGATATTTTGTTGATATTTCATTATATTTAATTGATCATCTTCACCCGTTAGCAAAAGCCACATTTTCAGATGCTGTGTGCACTTATCAAGTTCAACCAACAGCACTTTAAATGAGCATGGTTGTCGTTTCTCTGATTAACTTAATACACACTTTTCATTTCTGTGACCTTAATCTATCATATTCTAATGCAGAATCACATCTGTGAAGTTGGGAATTTCTGTGTTTCTTTGCATACAATTTGTACATTTCCAGCAATAATGAAATCTATTGTAAATACTATCGTTACATGCTTCCCTTAATCTCACTGCCTAAATTGGACCATAAATTTGGTCAAAATGTCTGGCTGTTACCAATGATAAACTCCAGTTTATGGTTAGTTTTGGTTAATTTATGTGCTTGTTCATTTGCGATTCTCATGTGATCAGGATTAAAGTTGGCAGGTGAAACTGCTTGATTCATACCACAGTACTACCACACACCAGGCGAATAATCAACAAGCCTCCTGCTGCAGACTCGTGATTGTTTCGCAATGCTCGGACAGCACCGAGAACGCAATGTGAATATCTACAAAGGTGTAAGAGCAAAAACCTGGTAAAAAATTCTCATCCGAGCTAGATTGATTAATATCATTGAAAAAGCTTCCTTTTAACAATCTGACCTCTGTGAAAGTTTGTTGATGACACTGCGTGGATCAAGCCTTGGTAGCAACATATTGATAGATGTGAGAATCCAACCCACGACCTCTTGTTCGTCAGTGCAGACATGGCAACTGCTCAACCGAGAATTTGCCTTCCAACACAACTGAAATTCCCAGATTGTCTGATGTGTCATGCTTCTGTGGATATTTTCAGTGGTTGTATGTCAAACAGTTACCGTCTTAACACATTACTTTGTTTCTCGACAGCTGTTTTTTCATCTTTCCTATCCGGTTCGTAAGTGACTCGTCACCAAGGCGAACGCGCCACAATTTGCAGGCTCCCATTGGACGATTGCTGAAGTTGCGCATTAACTTCCAGTTCCATGGTTCCATGCAAACAGCGATCAGTGCATGTAGCCCTGTGTGCAGTGCATGTGCAGTGGGCGTGGTTTAAACTGAAGTGACGTCACACTTACAAACCGGATTCAGCAATTGCCGCGCAATTTATTTAAATTGACATAAAGACTGGAGTAAAAAATATGTACAGCATTTAATCTATGGCCAGTGGAACCCAAGTATATTCAAGACACTTCTTTTTCTCGTCGAAGTAGGCTTCACAAAAATCAAAAAATGTCTACATGTATTTTTTTCTTTCGGAAACAAGATAAAAATGGCAATCAGTCAAAGCTTCTTCGCATTGGTTTTTTTATTGGCACAAAACTGATAGGAAACAAAGGATAAAACTTAAACAAATGAAACAAAAGCCTCGTCAAAATGTTTCTTTTTTTTTAGTTATATACTTGCCTTCCGATTCACATTCATCTTGTGTCTTTTTTCTGTGTCTTTCTTTTCCTCATCCAAAATGTTCTTAACAAGAAGGTACAACTTAGGAGTGAGCGGTAACCAAAATGAAACTTCTCAAAATATTTGACGTACGATTTCAGTGTGCGTCAACCAAACTTCCTACATGGATATGATTTCTACATGAATTACCTGCCAAAAAAATTCGAAAAAGGCAAATGTAAAACTGTTTTCAAAAGTTAAACAAGCTGGATATATTTACATACATTTAATTTCCTTTATACATCACTGACACCTTATATTTAGTAAAAATTACCTCAATACTTATTAACACTAAATTTTGATGTTATTGCACGGGAGCATTCACATTATATCATAACGTCATTCTTATCGTAGAAATATGGAAGAGGTAAGTTAAGGAAAGCCAAATGTGCATCCGCATTTACAAACTGACGATATTTTTCCATGCGTCCTTCACCTTGCCACAATAGAGTGAATATCTGGGCGACTTAAATCTTGGTTTTGTTTAATTTGTAATATTGCCAAAATTGGAAAACAACTTTCTCTTGTCTATCGAAATGACAACTGATTATGTTAATATCTCTAATTTAAATGTACAGGAATTAGCAATATTTGTATGTGTGCGGAACTGGCATATTGCCTCTTTTTCCTCACTCTCTTCTCACAATAAGATCTTTTAGATATTGGGCGAAATGAGTCCTGTTGCTTCAGTAATCTAGTCTGAATTCTTGACGTGATTTCTTGGGGGATGGAGAAGGTTTTGCGGATATAACAAGACTCCAGGCTTACATCACGTTATCAATGTCATTATCAATCCTAATGACATCTCATCTCTAAAACGGCCCTGCAGCGACCAGCAGAGGGCGCTCCTCAGCCTTGTTCAGTCGCCTGATCTCAGTTTTACTCCCCGGACTGCCAAGATTCGGCGGGAGTTCCGGACCATTGGTTGGATCCTCCCACATGTCGTACTCTTCCCCCGCCGACGACGGGTAGATCTCCGCCTCGTCGTCCAGAACCCGGGTCCGCTTGAGGCGTTTGATGACTCGGTACTTGCGGATGACGAAGAAAGCGACGATGGCGAAGGTGAAGAGGCACAAAATGGAGACGAAGATGAGACCTCGGCTGACCCAAATCTTCCAGTCGATGGGTGTAGCCTCGACCACGCCCGGATCAGATGGTTTACTTCCACCTGTATATAAATGATTGAAATGTTTTCATGCTGTTGGTGGTATTGCACATGAACGGTGAACCATGTTGCACGACTCTACCAATTTATTATTCTCAATGTCAGTGCAAGCAAAGGTAAGATATCGACAAGAATCACTGAACAACCTACCCAAGTGTTTGCCTGAGACCGTCCCCACTTCTAGCTTTGCTGTTGTGGTTTCCATCGTCGTCGTTGCCTCTGTGGTTGTCGTTACAATAAAAGGGATGACAATGACAGGGAATTGGCAGTGAGCCTCATTACCCGTGGTGTCCCTCGCTGTATAGGTAACCACGACTGTCCCTGCAGTGAAGTTACTGCCCCGCTCATGGTCGGTCCGTAGCTGCACGTACCTGGAGTTGTCCAGGGCCTGAGGGATGTCCCACAGGACTTCAGTCTCGGTCTGGTTTGGTCCCAGGTAGCTTGTGACGTTGATTGGGCAAGTGTTGAAGACAGGTGGTATCCGATCTTCAAGCAAAATTCATAAAATCACTCAGAGCTGAATAACATTGCGATAAGTAGTGACCTTTGCTCAGTTTTTATCTTGAGTCTTATTGTGTCAAATTTCAGCATTTGAAATCCTGAAGATTGATGTATCTTTTAGCGTGCGAGATTGGTCACGGATATATCCGTCCCAAGTTCCTGCAGATCCGACGATTAGACTTTCAAAAGCCGTTACTGCCGTTGCACCAATGCTTTCTCAATGGAGATCAATGGTAGCACCACGCGAACAGGTCACATGTGGTACGTTTGCGTTAAGTGCTTGTCTGTCCAATTCTGATTTGCACGCCTCAGTAATAAGGAACGCGCACGTGTCTCATGGGAAGTCTTTGTCCCCATAAACCCGGCACTCTAGACTAGTTGTAAACAAACGGTAGATCACGTGGAAACGATTAGTATTCCGGAAATGCATTGAACATCAGAAAATAACATGGTGTAACTTTCGCCACGTGTATGGACCGGTGTATGTACCCATGATCCTTGGATAACATACTGTATCGGGAATTGAGCTGGCGTAAATGGTACCATTCATCGGGTCAACAAAATTATGGGCTTTTACTAACCTATTCAATGGACTTTCTACAAACATCAATCGTTGATCCTTCCTCCAACTGGTAAGATAAGGTCAGACTATTTTTTGTCTGTCACGTTTGTTTGAGCCCCAGTGATACGGTTTATCAATTTTGAACAATCTCAGCTGTCATTACCAGACAACTTGAAGAAATGGCTGATACAGATTAAGTAGGCCTACTCACCGTGTACTGTGATGACAAACGTACAGACTTGTAAGTCCCTGTAATCCGTGCTGTTAATGGCCAGATAGTTGACCCTGGTCAAACCAATGGGGAACTTCTCCCCAGGATTGTGACTGACCGTCTGTGACACGGAGCCGACATTGCCCAGCCCCGTCAGGTAGGGATGCTTCCAAGTCACGGCTACCGTGTCGCTGTCGGCTGCCGTGTCGACGGTGATAGGTCCTGGACAGTCGTTGTACCTAAAAGCTGGTGTTTAGAAAGAAGGATTCGATGTTTGGAGAGGGGGGAAAAATGGGGAATCATCTCAGCATACGCGTCGGCTACAGTGGGTTAAGGTATAGGTGTGCCATTAAAAAAATATATATTTCATACAAGGTTGTAATCTTGTTATAATACAAACAAAATTGCCAGCGGTTGGCCTTATTTAACTAAAGCTCGTCTGTTTTTAAAGTTTCACCCCAAATACATGTTCAGGGGGGTCAGTTTAATAGCCTTTTGATTTGAAATAATCTTCAACCGTTTTCAATATTCCGAAAATTAAATTAATTTTGCTAAAACAAAATAAGCCTATACAATAATTTTTTGGTGACAAGTAATATTTTGAAACGTCCGACATCACTCCTGAGGACAACCGGAGCGTCGTGGTCGAAACGTCGAGTTGACACTCTCCGGTTCTTCTCTGAACCACCATTCTTATACAAGAGATTGATTTCACCTGGTGTACCCGCCAACCTTCTCTCTTAGTCTCAGCCTTTGTGACATCTACAATCTTCAGACTGGAGTATCTATCTATGATCTCATTCCTCGTACATTTCCCCCTATTTCACTTAGGCCCCTACGTTCCTCTAACTCTCTACCATCACCCTAGGTCCTGGCTGACTCACTCTGTAGGCCTAAATGCTTTCTCCCGAAATTAAAATTTCTCCATTGTATTTATTAGCCTGATACACCTGTCACTTCTTCTTTAATGTATTTCTTCTCCAAACATAGTTACTTGTTCCACCGAAGGCCCTTCCACAGCCAAGCTTTTTGCCTTTAAAGAAGTGAATTCCATACCCTTGTTTGTTATTGGCCATTGACTCTGTACTGTTCATTCACATTTCTATTGTTGTAAGTTATCAAAATGAATGTCTCTTGAATTGAAATTGAAATATATTTGCAAAGGGTTAGCCTTGTGATTTGAAAAAATTCAACTGTTTTCAAGTGTCAAAAATAAATTTACGGAATTCACAAGTTAATTCACCCTTACCATTTGAAAGAAAATTCGGCTTTTTTATTTCACAAAGTTACTGGGGCTCAACTTGATATTGCGGAACGAAATTTGATACGATAAGGGAAACCTTATTTAAAATAACATTTCTATAAATTGTGTCCAAATTAAAATTTCAACAGAAAATTTCAAAAATAAGAAATATAATAAAACGAGTACCAGAACCTAATTAATACACTTGGATTGACTCCACGTGGCAAAAGTTAACTTAAAATACGGACAAAGCAGCTTCGTGGTAAGGCTTCATGTCAGAGAATAATTGTTAATTCACATGACAAACTGAATGGCATTTTTCAGCAATGATAAATCTCATGGTATGCAAGAACATAAAGCGTTTTTTACTCACCTAACCCGGGCAGACATATGGCAGAGATGGCTGCAAAAATTGTCACGCAAACTTTTGGAAATTCCATTGTTGTGAAAAACGAAAGGGCGCAAGAATAATTGGAAGCAACTAAACGCTGAGAAACTCGGGTATTTATAGCCAGTGTGATACCAGGCAGATACTGATGTGTATCAAACAAGTAGTGTGTAATCTCTCCCCACGAGAAATACAAATCGATAGATTCCAATTGTTAACCATATGCAATTTCGGCTTTATCGCCAAACACGCACTGAACGGCGCGTGGTAAATCAGCCCTGCGGCTGTTCTATAAAGAACAGCTGAAAAAATGCAACAGGCCACAAAATTCAGCCGTCTTCATGCATACACAACCATAAAAGTACACAAAAGGGCACGTTCCTCACTGCAATATCGAAATATAGGCTAGCTCCGTGAGAGCATGGAGGTATAAAACGGGAGGAGAAAGCACAGTCCAGCATCTAAAGAACAGTGATCACTGGAGGAACACAAACTGATGTACAATGTATACATTGTTAATTAAACACGTGCCAAACAGCCGTAAATAGCAGGCTCAACGGACCAGCAAACATACGGGTACTACCATCCTACCAACTACGGCTGTAATTCAATGACGTGTACGCGACCTTAATTTGAATATGTATAGGATCCATTGTAGCTGCAGCAGCTGTTCCCGTAGTATTATGAGCCTTTGTTTTATTTTCCACATGGCTGGCTCCACGACGAAATAGTGTTGGCCTATTATGCACGGCTTGCATTAAGCGATATCTGCATGTACATGTACATGACTTTGCGTACATGTACATCATTATACCGGCAAATGTATTCTGCATTCGTGCTGGACACGTGCCATTGCCCCACTCAATTTGATGTGTCTTGATGAAATACCTGACTTGGTCACGGCCAATCGTGAAATAACTAAGAACTGGCGGCGGAAGCGGGGTCCAGGGGGCGCAGTGGCCCCCACTTTTTCGACAGGGAGGGGCCTGGCCCCCACTTTTTGCAGGTCCTGCGATTGGGTGGGGCTCAATGAATCAGGCCCTAAATGTCTGATGGTCTAACAACTGGCCCCCCACTATGACAATCGTTCCGCCGCCGTTGTAACCAAGATGTTACTGGAAAGTGACCCCAAAAGTACTTTCATCACATTTTGGAAAAAAGACACATTCTTTTGCAAACCACAACCTTATAAACTAGCACAGTATTCTTACCCTATTGTACTGAAAAAAAGATGATATCCTTTTCAAGATACTTGCGTCGGGGAGATGTTAAATTTAATAACAAGTTTTGCCCTTAAAAGGACGTTTAAACGTCGATGTAAGCCTGAGGGCAAAAACGTGTTTTAGTATAAAGATGATACGTGTATTAACTGGAGAAATAAGGTTAAGCAAAACGATTCGTAAAGAGGTATTTACAACAAGTTTATAGTTCTATATATGTACAAATACCAACAAAGGTGAAATTAAAATTGTCAGCCGACACACGCCCAATCACACAAATCAGAGAAATATATATTATGTAAATTACCAACAGTTGTTCAACACCTTTAACTGAGCTGTTGTAGCCTACATAAGAAGCAACAGGTGGTTTTTAACTGGTAGTCGAATTCAGGATGACTCATAGTCGTTCGTCAATTATTAATATGATGCTACAGTCGACGACCTCGGATTGTTTTCGTTAGAGCCGTCGACCTGTGGAAGCCAGTTCTGAAAATGACAGTCTGTTGTTTCAAATAAATTTAAATTTTACTGTGCCTGAAAATTAAAAAAAAAGGAAGAGGCGCGTGCTGTAAGGTTCGGTTTTTAGCACGATTCAAAGACGACTTCTTGTCCCGACGACTGGTGCTACAGCATTTAATATCAAAATACTACGTAATTTAACAACTTACTGTAAGTATAACAATGAGGCGAATACATGGCCAGCATTGTGAAGATAGGACATCGTTTTTATTCATTGATTAGCGACAAATGGGCCCGATTTTACGACGAGTAAAATTCTAACACCGTAACATTGCAACCATAATGCGACACTTGATGTGGTGGTTTACGACGACACAAATAGCTGCTTTCTGATGATACGACGGAGATTATAGCGACTCAACAGTTACGTACATCTTACTAAACAAGTCGTTTTCATGCACAGTTTAAATCTATTTCTCAGTACAAAATTGTCATGTCGAACCATGAAACTATGAAGTCAGGTCACGTACAGATACTTTTTTTCATTTACATGTTGAGGCAAATACTACAAAACTATACACATGGAAATACTATGGATACTATGAGTTGGTTATGGTTACCAATTAGAAGTATAATTTGTATACATGTACATGTATTTACAGGTGTACATTTACATAACATGCTGAATGCAGTGAAAATCCGCAAAAATGTGGTGTCTGAATGACCAGTTGAGCAGAACCTGGAAATTTAGATGAATAGTCCCAATGATCAAGGTTCATTTCAGTGACTTTACTCAGTATCTTTTCTATTTAATTGACAATACTTACTCTTCAGTAAGTGTACAGTACATTTAGCACTGGGAAATGTTGATACATGTACATATATTGACAATCACAAGACAAAAGAGGATAATGCATTAATAACTATACAATTTTAGATCCTATCGTCCCGCTACAGTAGAAAAGTTCCGATTTTTTAAGAGATCTTTTTTGGCGCAGGGTAAATCCAGCTTAGTTTATGTGTAATGACGTAATTATCCTCGTCCAAAACTGTCAACTTTGGATAGCAATAAAGCTTTCACCTTTGTCTCTAGTCAATAGAGGTCGCTACTCTATGTCATAGGAGGCCCATATGTTGGCAATGGCGTAAAGTCGACTGTCAACTGTTGGACACAATTTAACAGGATTACTGGCCCTAACCGCTAATTTGGATTTTAAGCTCAACGCATGAATCATAGCCTAGCTTAAATCAGCCAATTATAACTGTCTTCATGGAGTAATCGTTGTTTCTGTGGTGTTGACCTGTTTCGTGGAAGCTGCGCAGTCAGCCTCGTCCTCGCCGCCTGAACAGTCTGTTATTCCGTCACAGCGCCACCAAGAAGGAAAACACAACTCATTCTCGGTGCAGTCACCAAGACCCAACAGGCAAACGTCGTCTGTAACATCTGAACGTATAAAAAAAAAAGAGGTTAAAAAGTTAAAGTTCCCTTTTACGCTCTTATTCTCGTCTCAAGTTATGCCACTGGCGCCGGTGCGTGGTGCGTGGCCCGTTGGTGAAGGCCCCTTGTGCCCTGAAACTCGGTCTTTATCACTGAATTGAACTTAATCAGTAGTGCAGCTGGGGCCGGAAGGGAGAGCTCCCTACCGCGTGGAAACTCTTGCCTAGGTGCCCCCATGGGAAATCTCCTCCCCCTACCCCGAGAAGGCTTAGATACGCCACTAACCTTGCTGGCGGACTTCTGCAACATGGACCTCGACCGAAAACTGAAAAGCTTCTTGCGGGTCGTCGAAGAGATCTGACACGCTGGAGAAGGACATCCAGGCCAAGTTAGAATGGACAACTCGAGGACTGGGGACGGATAGCCCAAAGAACTTGTACAGTCCACTAGATCTGAGAATGAGACAGAATTAGCGGAAAGGAGATGGCCACTTTTTATTTTAAACCAGTAATAGTTATCAAAGTCTAAAGTGCAAAGGCTTGTTAATTCAAAAACTTCCAAACCTCAGTAGGACTACATACCTCCGCACACTCAGTTTGTTGTCCGAGTCAGTTTAAAGTAGTTCTGGTATTTTGATCAGTTATGACAAACGTCAGAGTCGGAATAAATCGTTGAAAATTTGCAGTGAATTGTAAAAGTCGAAGTGCAGAATGTACCAGTGCAGTTTAGTCTTCTCAATTAAGTCCTACCTATTCTGAGGATCGTTTCCCGACCCAATAGTGATGATCTTTCCCCGATCCGCTAACAGCAGCTTGAGTTCCGTAAACTTGAAGATGACAGCGGTGCAGGACGGCCCTGTGACCAGCCACGTACAACCCACGGTACGGTAATTGAACAGTGCGGCCGGGTAATACGGTGATATAATGTTGCTGTGGTTCGTGGTGGTTGGGTAAAGGTGGGTGGGGCCACAATCGGCATTGATACCTATGTGACCAGTAAATACAAAAAGTTTCAGGATGGCTCATTTGGTGACATAAACATCTGTAAATGACAACCTTAGATCTTGCTTACAACGTGTGTGCCCAAGTATTCCTTTCAACGAAACCCAACACCCCTCACAAGAAGGATTTTGCCTAGAGAACAAAGATGTCAGCGAAGGTGTCACGTTGTTATTAAACTAACCAACGATAACCTTAGTTCATTTCTCCGCTTATTATTTTCTGTACAGGATATGAAGGCGGGCTCAGACCTTTTCTACAAAACATGGTGTCCCTTGCAGGTCCATCAGGGTACTTGTCACAGCGAGCCACGATGGAGAAGTGGATGTTCATAGCACTCTGACAGAACTGCCTGCAGGGAACCAGCGGCAGCTCCCCGCTAGACTCACAGCTTCCGAAGAGCGTCAGGCATAAAAGCGTCTCCATTAACTCCCGCGAAGACGACGACATTACCATCTGGCTGGCCGGTTGGGCGTGGCCAGATGTATTGTTGAGGATTGTCGACAAGGAAAGGTCCTCTTGAGAACTGGGGAAAACAGTGGTGTATGGGAGGCGGCTTCGGCAGATGGGATCCGTCAGTTCTTCACACGTGATGGATGGCTCTTATAAATGGTCAGGAAAATGAATTCTGTAACCCTCGTTATCGACCACTTTTGAAAAGCACAAGTAAGGCGCACAAAATAATTATAAATTCCAACAAATATTTCAATTTTTAAGACAGTCGTGAGATGTTAATTTGAGACCCGAATACTTTCTTTACCTCCACGTACAACAGATGTAAGGTAGTCCCAATATCTGGACACTCTGGTGTAGACACCAGAATAATCCGGTCTGCCGCATCCATACCCGAAACTTGTAAGTCCTACGATTCGCCAGGACCCATCATCGCCAAGGCACATCAGAGGACCTCCACTATCGCTCTAGATAAGCGGGAAAATATACCAAGTTATGTCGATGGATCACTGAGATCAACGAGATACCGTAGGTTAGGCTTATCCATCCGTTAGGGGAAACAGGCGGTAAGGCCAATATATCCTAATCAACAAACCTGCCCACGAACCTTAAACTTTTGCTACTGTTGCTGAAGAAGTTGATGGATACTAAACGTGTTACGTATTTATGCTTCAAGGTGACTTGAGTCGATTCAAGTATTTAGCTGGTGTCAGTTCGAGTCACCAATATTTGAATGTAGGACGAAAAATAAAAACAAAAGAGAAAGTCATTTTTAGCATTTTTAAGTTGACCTCGAGGTTTCTACTTGTGTTCACACAATTTACTCTTGATAGTATAATAAAACATAATAGCAACTTTATAAACAGGCACTAGAAATCATTGCAAATATTTGTTTCGCAAAGAAGTTTGCTTTTACTTTTGGGACTTGAGTCTTGTTAACTTTCCCTCCAGTCGGGTCTTCTGATGAAGGACTAGAATCGAGTCAAGTCATTTGCTCACAGTGGCTCGAGTCATTTACCGTCAGGTATTGACTCGAGTCATTACAACTCTGTGACAAGGTAGGGCCTACCGTGAGTATCAGGGCTTGGCCTACCTGGCACGAGTCCACACCGCCCGTAGCCTTTCCAGCGCAAATCATGTTGTCTGTTATCACTCTGTGTGCCACCAACGTTGGACTACGGAACTGATCAGAGCACAGCGATTTGCCGACCAAGGGAATCTCAACTTCTTGTAGAATCCTGGAAATATTACCTGTATTTGAAAATCATACAATTACTGAATGAGTGATTTCATCTGGCTTCCTTCTGAGAATGCTGGGATATATGGATGAATGGTGTTTTGCCGTTGTGGAGTATAACGCAAGACTATGAAAGTCGTCTATTTTGTAAATCATTGAATTTATACACCAACTTTACTTATTTTGAGGTTTGGGAGCCTACTAATTAGTCGCTCAAAGTGAGAGGCAGAAGACAGTGGAAGAAAAACAGTACCAACAAAATCAATCGCGAAGTGTGATACCGTGAGTTGGAGAGCACCGTGAACAGACAGATGTACCCACCATTTTCCTGAGTGTGACCCCAACCTGCGATGTAGCATTCCTGATACCTCTCCACTTCGTATGGTTCCGTCTCGACACATGCTGGTGACACGTTCTCGTCGAATCGCACGCGCTGTCTCAGCTTGAGCAAGGCTAGATCGTTATCGTGCCAACTGATGCTGAAGCCTGGATGTACCATGATGCGCTCTACGTGGACGGTTTGGCGCGATGGGGAGGATCCTCCGAGGTCATTGTCTCCGAAGACAATGTGAACTAGGATGTCACCAACACCACTGTTAATACATAATCCAACATTCACCACAATTGCATATAAATTTCCTTTGCAAATTCAGGTGTCGTCTTAACGCGGATGAACGGTTTTCCCACTTTTGCATCTCTATTATTATTTGGTTTATATTTGCTGTTTGCGTTTTTTAAATCAAGATTTCCACTTCATTTGCTGCTCTTATATGACTTTCATTATACTTTAATCGTATTTTATGACATCTTAATCTTATCGTGCCGCTGTTTCGTCTTCTTTCTTGCCACGATACCTTTTTTCTACACCCCAAAGCTTTCCCAAATCAAAATACAATATCGAAACATGTACTAAATGTTGGGAGAGCCTGATGTTTTCATTCTCTCCCATCGGAGAAGAACTCCTCTCTAGAACCGACGCCCAATGTTTACGTACCCGTCAACGCAGTGAGCTGCCGTGATGGCCCATTCGGGATTCAGTAGGGATGCCGCGCATCGATGAGCCAACTCGTCCCCAAATTGGTACTGTATGGAACCCAGCCAGGGCCAACGACCAGGCATAGCGTCAGTACCTCCTAGGATACGAGACAGACGGGACGTGTCTCCCAGTCGGGTACCGCATCCAAGCTGGTTGACCAAACCTTGAAAATAAAGACGTGGGGAAGTAACTCTACGAAGAAACCATACATCACGCACGCGTGGATCGAGTGCGCTCTACCCCTATCACAGTTTTTGTAGTTAGGCCTAGGCCTGTACGGATTGCAAAAGGCCAGATGTGGACTGGCCAAAGTGACAAATTTCCAGACATTTTACGACCACAAAAAAGATCACGTACAAAGTAGAAACACCTTTGAAAAATGAAATCCTAAAGTAAGGTAAGAGCTCATAAAATATTTACCTGGTTCTCTCTTGAGTAAGGAGGTCAATTCCGGCGTGGGTGGTGATGAAATGGATCCATATGAGACGCCGATCAGTACTGTGACGCCGATAAATAAAATACACCCTGAGCATCGTCTCGGAAACTTACATGAAAAACAGCTCAGAACTGAAAAATTCAAAAAAATTCTGAAGACAAAAGTTTGGGCAGAACATCTCCACTTTGCAACATTTCCTCAACTGCAACAGAGCCTGAAAGTAAAAGATCACGCAGAGAGCTTCCGGAACCCTCGCGCAGTCCTCCTATGGGGAGTTTACATTGGGCTGTCCTAGCACATTCGATAATGTTTGGAAGAATAATTTTTAACTGAAACCACCCCATGAAACACTCATGTTGGAATTTCACGTTTGTCTGCCTCGACTAATATTTAGGAAAAGTCAACTGGAGATGGGTAAAAAGTGAATTTCATCACCGAACTTTCGCGTCCGGCGATATCATACCTAGGTCTCCGTGTTCATGCGCGTTTGGTTTCATTCCCGTACTTACGTGAAAACGTACGGAAGCGTGTTGCTACCAACGTGAAAAAAAAATCAGTTTATCTCGTTGAAATGACTTATTATCTCGTTTACAAACAACATAGCTATCTCTTTAAATGATATCTGCATGTATAACGGGAAACTAAGTCGTTTAAACGAGATAGCTACGTCGTTCAAACGAGATACTAAGTCGTTTCAACGAGATAAAATAATTTTTTTTTTGCAGCAGTACGCTTCCGTAAAAACGAGATCGTAAAATGTTGCAATGATTTACCTACCAGTAGTCGATGAGTTCCGTGTTCCGTAGATTTCATATACGCAGTTGTTGTCGGCAAGGTTAAATAAAATATAAGATTTTTCGTAAAAGTAGATTATTGCTTTCAGTTAATTACCTTATAAATCAAAAAGTGTGTGAAATATTTTGATCTGTTTTATTCCGGCTTTTACTGACAGACTACCAGAAAATTTCAAACAGTAAATGTTCATCTGCTCACGAGACTGCCGCATTGAACTGTTCTTCATGTATTTCAGATTTTCGGAAGTGATGGGTCAACTTTTGGCAGGATATTTCTCTTTTAGGTCAGGTATTTTTCACTTTCTATAAATTGATATACATGTACTAGCAAATATTTTCCAAAGCCTATTTTTCCAAATTGGATTTGTAAAGAAGTAACGGAACGAAAAAACATTACAAATTCTAAAATCTTTGAAAGTTATTTTTCCTATCAAAGGGTTCCGGAAGTGCGCCATCAAGGGTCAACTTTCAGGCTCTTTTAATTTGTCACATTTAGTCTACATAATCTTGCAGATTATTCTTGGAAGACTTGCGTTCCAACAATTAATGTTGTAAGTAAGTTGCGGGAAAATGGCCTGAACTTGGGCAGGTAGAATTTCTTGTCTCACCTCTAGTTACCCTTATTGACTCGCCGTCCACATTCAATGTATCCAGCTGGCCCGATGCTACCGCGTCCCTAAGGACTTCCATAACGGCTTGCCTGGTTGTCAACTCAGCGTCCCCCGATGGGTTTAGCTCAGTGTTGCTGGACGTCGGAGGACCGTGCAGGTGGATGGTAAATTCCACAAGAACACTCCCACGTCTGCGTGGGTAGTTAAGGCATACGAACCGATTTATACTTCAAGTTGGACTTCAGGGATGAACTTGTAGCATGGATTTGGACAATGCACCGACGTCCCATTCGACGACCCCATACATTGCCATTACTACATAAGGTTCGAATCAGGTCATTTCTACCAAAATCCAATTTAGAGAAAGTTCGAGACAAGCACAACAAAAAAGGAAATTAAATGCCTGTGTAAAAGCTCAGACTTCGGATTATGCAGATACACATCTGATATAATACTATTTTCAGGAAATTCTGCACTCCATAGGCCTGCTTGGCAAAGAGAAACTTGACCTTTTGATTTTAGATTAAATATTTCAGACTAAAAATCCTTCTTTCACTCATGCTTTAAATGTTGACATTCAGTACGTCGTTTAGAACTAATAACAATGATACAAAGTAGGAAAAGCATACGACAAAATCATTCCGGCACTGGCATCGAATCAACAATCACTTTACTTTCAAACCCAATAGGCCTGCATTGTGTCGGCTTGAAATGAACAAGAAACTGCCGTGAAGACAAACAGATTGGCAACATATTTCTGTCAACAAATTTCTGAATGCCCCTGATCGGTTGGGTATCGGTATAAGGTTATGGAGAGACTTCAAAGTTCGCTGCCTTTTCCCCCCTTGTTTTGGAGAAATCCATAAAATACACCTTGGAGACAAACAGGCGCTTGATGGGATCTCTTAACAGCTTCCAGACAGCGCACGGACTGCACTCATTTCGGGAAAAGAGCTATCACCTTCTCGGCAGGAATTGTGAAACTTTCTTGGTAAACTAGAGGGTGAGTATCACGCAGGGAGAGCGCAGGGTCCTGCCGTGCCCTCGCTACGTCGGACAGTGCACTCTCTACACTTAGGTCCGCCACTAACACCGAGAACATAAATAATTCATGTAGGTCTCTTCACTCCACTGAGGAGACCGACGATTCAATCTCTAGTGTATTGCAAAACCCGGCAACTTTGCCATTTCTGGAGCTGTTAAACCCATCGAGGGAATAAAGAAAACCCAAACTCATGCCCCGTAATGCAAATTAATAAGAACCATCAATCTCATGTCAATGGTGACACAATTTGCTTGCTTCTTTGTAAAAACTTTTATGTGCGACAGGGTGATTAATACGTCTTGTGCAAGGAACCCTGGCGGATAAGATTTCTCCCCAGTGCACATCTGGAACTCTGAGTTGATTTTCGGGACCCAAGACCAGTGAATAGGATTTTATAATACAGGAATTAAAACAGGTTAAGAATGGACGAATGGTTGATAAGTATGCAGGGCTACAGGTGATTAAACCAGAAAGCACACAGCTGCCTTTTTATCACAACAGGAACACAATTTCACTGTCTTAATTTTGCCCCGACCCTAAAAACAACTGTCCTACCTTAGTCTGTCAACCGTGCAGTGGGAGAACTCGTTTTGTAACGAGCTGTCCATAAACACATCGTCTACCTGTAAAGGAAGAAGACTTTACAGTATTACAAAAACTGTGCTTTTAAAAGCAAATGCTGAATATGACATTTTTCTTGAGGCACTCTTTTCGTTCAATATAATGCCCTTAACATAAATCTGAGCAAATATTTGATTTCGAAGTACATAAAACTTTGTGTTTGAGGACTCACCGCTTTTGAAAAATTGCGAGAAAAGTCCCGATACTGCGGCGAGTTTCGGTCGTTATAGGCGGTGACGTAATGCTGACGTAACGAGGTTTCAACTTTAACTCTAACCGGGCCTGTCAACAGAAACAAAATTAGGGCATGTGTGACTATATTCTAAAAGATGTTATGATATTCGAAGCCTCTGAACTAAGGCGTAAAATTTGAAGATTTTTCTATCATGCAGGTTTTCCACTTTTTTTCAGGAATACAAAATACAAAACAAAAAGGAAGTAAGGCTTACTAATGTTGCAACCACGTCTTATTTTTAAGAATAAACCCGCTTCCACGAACTCGAACTTGGCAACGATCGACTTTGACCGGAACTTTTTTGGAACGGAGTTTGAAGCTGGGAAGCAATGCCTATGGGTGTGGGTAGAATTCCTCTTATGATTTTGCAGACAACCATCGCTCCTTCGTGAGGCATTTGTCACGGTACATCTAGTTAATTCATTGTAATAGCAACATCCTCATGGCACATACTTTGCTCGATCACGTCAAGGCTATCATGTCTAGCACCGACCCACCTTACCGCAGGTGTAGGAGCTATGAACCCCAATATACCTGTGCTATTCCAGGTAACGCCTAAACGACATTGTAAATAAGCATCCCAAATATCCCAAGAGCCGTTTGCTAGAAATGGCCGATCCAGAAAACTTCTGTCAAAGTGCTTGCCAAATGAAACTGTCAACTGATAGATTTATTACGTAATCGCTCGTGTTTGACTTAATCCCGACGTGAAATTATGGCCTTACAGTGTAATTGCTTCATGGGAGGTCATAGGTCAGCTGAAAGTGGTGTTGAAAACAGAATGCATAAATGTTCGTACAGATTAACATACGTCTAAGAAGCAGGGTGGCATAATAATTACAACAGAAAAAAGGACGTACAGGCCTACACGTCATTGGAAGGCTAAATGCAAGGCTGAGATGAATAATTATGTATGAGCATCTACCTCATACCTGTGTAAAAAACAAAGGAAAACGAGCGCCGAAAGAGTGCTTAACTTTCAGTATCTTAGGCACTTAGATCATGTAAGTCTATTCCTTTTTTGTCATTAATCCAAAGATTATCATACAACACGCTGCGATTTACGTAAAATTTTCAAGAATTCGTGGAAATGATGAGCACCGAGCTTCAGTGAAATAATCACGACAAATCGCGATGACAGGGAAGGCTGTCGGAGCGTGTTATCTGTGAGAAATCAGTGCAGAGCACACGGTCTGATTGAAGATCGAGATAAGAGCCGTCGATCGTGGCCCCGAACCAAGGTTCATCCAGGAATTTGACTACTTTCCAGCAATGTTGGATGTATTTTAAATTTGTGGCCATATAGTCATCTTACGTTCTCCACGTCAGGGTCTATATACTTTATCATTTTAAAACTATTTTCCATCATTGTGCTCGGACTCAAATACTCTTTTCCTGAAATTGTTGCCTACCACATTTACTGTTCCCGATTATCTATTCGTAAAATCGCTCGAACGAGCTAGGTCTTTGACTGTAGGGACCTTGAATTGTTCGAAAAAAGGTTCACATGAAAAAATAACACGTAACTTTCATAAAATAGCTAGTCAAGACATTATTACGTACCGGTATAAAGAACAAGGTTACAAAATATTATGACTCGTTATACATGTGCACGTACTGATAAAATACTGTTAAAATATATCAACTTATATTCCTACCTTTCCACGAAGAAATCGTTGATTCCTCATTTGGGAACTTGACTGTTGAAGAGAAGAATGTTAACCAATTGAGGGCAAAACCGCAAAACGAGAACCAGCAAATTACAGTAAATATGAAGATTACACAGAGGCGTAATGACGCAATAGTGTGCTCAATTTGTCAACATTCTCACGAAGTGTCGTTAATGTCCAAAAAATGAATATTTTTCATTTCCATTTTTTAGATATTCTCTTTTACATTATCGTGCTTGACCATTTTCACGTATTGCAAGGAAGCGGCTGAAAAGTAGGTCAACCGGGATTTTCGTTTTCACGAAGTGACGTTAGCTTTGTTACATTCACAGTAGTGCGTGGGTAAAGGCAAGATCACCTTCCCTATGATTATTATACAATGAACAGAAGGACGTTCACGTACAAAAACGTAATTTTCGTTTTCACGAAGTGACGTTAACCTTTGCTAATTAATTTTGGCTAATTAACCCCTTTTTTGTACTAATTACTCGGGTTAGGTGAACGATTAGACATCAAAGAATCATGTAGGGGATTTTTGTTACATAAAGTTGTCACAAAATACTTATTTTGGTAGTTTTTATAAAGGAAAAACTTCTCTGGCGATTATCTCGAAAACCAGTTTTTCCTCAAAAAGCCACATTGGCGACAATTCGTGGTAGCGGTGACAAATTAATGGACGATCCTTCAACAATTTAAGTGGTGAACTGTAAAAAGATAGATATAAATTTGAGCTGTTTTGAGAAGGACCTGCAACAGGACAAGGTGACGACTATGTCATGAATTTATCTGGGATTCGACCCTGAACGACGGACACACACCGGTGACAGCTCACCGTAGTTAATGACAGGTCAGTATCTGGCAAGGCAGCACGTCCTTAGAGGTCATTTGCCATACGGTCGGCCAGGGACACTGAAGCAACACTGTGGACAGTAGCTTTGGATACATGTATTTGGATTTACCCTTGGGCCTATTAGCCGTCCGCTTCTTTAGGTTTGTATGCAGTTTAATTAATTAAACATATACATGTACTTATTTCAGATTCGGAAGGTCGCCGGTTATTTGTGATGTGATCTGTGAAAACCCTTCACACGGTGAGCTTTGTCATTGGGGTGCATATAAATTTCAAATTAATGTTAATTGTTTTCAGATATATCACATTTATGATTCAATAGGTTATCTTAGAACATAAGTCTGGGTTGTTTAGAGTCACGAATCATTAAACAAATTTGATTTGCTTCCGTACATCTCAAGTCCACTCATGATACGATAGTGCGTTGGAGTAAAAGCGACGACTGATCGAAGTCAAACGTCGGGTTCAAGAGAAGAGACTTATTAATACAGCTATACCTGTAAAATAACCTGCCAAGAAGCAGATCACTGCTACAAGCAGCAACGTTCCCAGGGCGACTATTGCCTTGACAAGGCATCTTCCTGGGTTATCTGCCTGGTACTGGTCCGGTCCCCAGTATTTGGAGACGATGACCGGAAGCCGAATGAAGTGACCTTTGCTGTTGGCTTCCGGTTCCGGCACAAATGTCAACGCAGGGTCACCGTTTGGACAGTGCTTGACAATGTGCACGTGGTACGGCTGTGTCTTGAGTGTGAGAAAGAAGTGAAGTGTTAACTTTCATGTTTTCATGATAAAAAAACAAGACGGTTGAGCTAGGTATAAAAATGTCCCAAGCTGCTATCATTTCAAGATGTATTTGGGGAGATGTTAAATTTAATAACAAGTTTTGCCCTTACACCGACGTTTATAGTGTTTTTTCCCTGAGAACTTGGAAAATTTCACAAGCTTACTCGGGTGGGACTCAAACCCACGACCTCCTGTTTCCTCCGGCCAGCCGGTTAAGACATCTGCACTGGGAAGCAGGAGGTCGTGGGTTCGAGTCCCACCCGAGTAAGATTGTGGATTTTCCCCAAGCTCTCGGGGAAAAAGCACCGAGTGTACAGCGTATAAGCTACTATCAATTCGGTTGCAGTTATGCATGACTTCCATTCCGCCAGACCACATCCAAAACCGCACCCATCTAGTTAACACCCACACCCACCGTATTCGCAACCATCTGTGGCCCCTGTATCCGCAAACGCCATCACCACACACACCGTACAAAAAATCACCTTGACGACATCGTCATATAAATTGTTATCATCCCTAGCCTGTTCTGTCTCCAACACGAATCAAATTTGCCAGAACTTTCAAGAATGAAGGCCTACGATAAAGCTCTGCGTTGTATCTTACATTATATGAGGGCAGAGGCTATGCACGCTGACTAGAGCAAAGCTGCGTAAACTAGGGTCACACATTGCAAACACCTGTTCTTCCATTTGCCCTAATTGATGTGATTTCACCTGCACAAGCTGTGTTGAACGACTCATCATTAAAATAACTGAAACTGAAATGATTGAAGGGCAGAATTCCATAACTGGTTGAGAATGGGTCCCCAGTGGCTGTGCACAAGGAGCGGTTGGCTTGATCAAATCTCTCACTGGTTAACAGCTGGTGTGTTTGAAGTCATTAAATGCATGTCGGAAGACATAGTGCGGTTCTTCAATTCGAGTGAATCCATCAAACGAATTCTTTGACATCAAATAACTACTTCATCGTCTACATTTTACCAAGCAAAGTTTCAAGTTATATTTCAGTGATGCATATTAACGCACACTTGAACTTATGCCTGTTGACTTTAATCGACCCCAGTCTTCACTCTTGTGACGTCACGGCAAGTAAATCTAGGTTAGTCTCCAACAAAGCTAGAGATGAATGGCTGGTCTCGTGACGGTTATGAAAACACTGGTCTGTGAAAACATGGATGTAGGAAAAGATGACCAGAGAGCTATGAATTTTGAAATTGGCTATTGAAAAAAAGTCTTTCATACTAAATTGGCAGAAATTGATTAAATCATCAGATGCCTTATTGCCACAAATAAATTTTAAACAAATAGAGCCTGAAAGTAAAAGGTCCCGCAGAGAGCTTCCGGAACCCTCGCGCGGTCCGCCGATAGGGAATTTATGGGGTCGTCCTTTCACATGCGATAAATATTGGCAGAATAATTCGTAACAGAAACCATCTTAAGGAACACTAACGTCGGAACTTTCCGTTTGTATTCCTCAAGTAACGTTTGGGAAAAGTAACCCAGAGATGGGTAAAAAACGAATTTCATTAACGACCTTTCACTTCCGGCAATATCGTTCCTAGGTCTCCTTGTCCGTGTACGTTTGTTTTGCTTACGTGAAAACGAGAGTGTAAAACGTTGTGAAGATTTACCTACCTGCAGTCGATGGATTTTAGATTAAGTTGAGTTGACCTGACCCCATTTTTGTCAGCACGGTTAGATTAAACTTTAGAATCTTTCGTAAACGCAGATTATTCCAGTTTATTTCCTTATGATAAATTGTTAAATGCCCAAAATATTTTGATCTGTTTTCATTTTAGCTTTTATCGAAAGACTACCACATACACGTAATGCAATTTCATAACTGTTCATTTACGTACGAGATCACCGAATTGCACTGGTCTTCATGTATTTTAAATTTTCGGAAGTGAGAGGTCAAAGTTCGGCAGGATGTTTCTCTTTCCGGTCACTAACGGGTAATTTTTCAGTTTCTTTAAATTAATGTGCTAGCAATTATTTGACAAAGGCATTTTCCAAGATGATTTTTAAGAAGTAAACGAACGGGAAAAGATACAATTTATAATTTGTCCACGTTATTTTTCCTAAGCACCCACAGGTTTCGGATGCGCGCCACCAGGGGTCAACTTTCAGGTTTTATAAAGCCCACCCTTCACTTTGCATCAGACTGATTAAGCCCACCAAGTCACATGACCAATAGTGGGTATCAAACATCAACAAACATGGGTGAAATCGAGGGCAAAGAGTTCCATAAGTATCATTTTCCAAAAATAAAGGCAACAGTTGGTAAAGTACTCAGACCACTGATGTGCCGAGTAGTATACCGAACCTAGGCTTTATTTTGGGTAAAAGACGCTCAAGTTAAAACACACGTTGCAAGGGGGAGGACGCCATGTTTGTTGATGTTTGATACCACTGTTGGTGACATGAAGGAGTAGGTCGGTCTATTCTACCTGTTACGACGGTAAGAAGAAACTTTTGGGGCAAAAGTCGTGATTATAGAAACTGGTTTATTTCTTCGTCTTCTTATTATTCTTTTTTGCGTAACTTGGAAGGTAGGCCTACAGTCTATCGTCACGTTAAAGCAATCACACAAAAAGTCCTTCAGCATCAAAAGTGCTAATCATGAAGAAATTATGCCCTGGCGCGGCATTCGTCGACAAGGCTTATCACATCGAGTGAGTCTGAATATCTGTACCGCGTAGTCGGGACTGCATGGGGAGTTAAGTTAATGACCCGGGGCATCTCACCAAGTATGCCTGGATGCCCCCGTAACATGACGTGATGGCGCTGAAACACGAGTGTACAAAAGACATACTAAACACCATACTTCACGGGTGTTGGAGTCGATCTGTGCCCCCTTCGCGAGCTGAAATGCGACACCCATGCCACAGGGTAAGCCCCAGTTTTGTCTGAATGCTGCAAAAGTCACGCTTTGACTATTGAGTCTTTGTCTCACACGACCTAAGCTACGGTGTTCTCTTGCATGATTAATGCTTGAATTAATTGATGCAGTCCTAGTGGGGGTAGACTCAATTATAGAAGGCAAGGGCAGCGTTCAAAATAATAGGTCCAACTGAAAAAAAAACACGTGCAATATGCGTATATCTTACATTTTTGTTTACACTCACTAAACTTTGTCTGTACGTCGGCTTACAATAAAGTCAGTAGCCTGGAACGCTGGACACAAGATTGCATTCGCAGAGCTGTCCTATGTTTCAACTGATACGTTGAATAAAGAAAATCTAGTGAAACAAATAACACCTAAAACCTTTTGCAAATAAAAGTTCGGAAATCTACAAAATAAATTATAGAATTATACCCGGACTACTAAGCTACTCAACAAGGTTCCCAAGATGAAGTTACAGCATATGTACAGTATTGTCCTCATATTGCACAAGCAAAATGGACGATTGGAGTAAAGATACAGCACCCAATTATCTGTGTCCCTAAACCTGAAGAATTTGGAGTGGCAGCCACACTCGTGTAGAGAATGTTAACAAAACAAGAGGCCGGGAAATGTGGCAAACAGTCGGAAAGGGAAAGATGAAATCTCAACTTCTTACGACTTGATAAGTTGTCAATCAGCCAACTATTTGTCAGTGGTAATGTCCGGACAATGTCCATCATGTGTGGAAAACGGATCACAGAAAACAAAAGCACATCTTTTTCTTGAAATCTGCACGATGACATTCAATTGAAACCCTTTACTGGCCCTTCGAAGTACTGAAATCTGGGCAATTCGCCAACACGTGGGAGTGCGAGTCTCAAATCTCATCATTAAATTCAGGGGAACAGAAAGAATACTACTTGAGAACGGCTCCTACTAGAGGCAAAGACAACTAACAGCTGAAACAAAAACCGACCAGGAATAAGAGTATCGATTGCTACTCGTCAGTCATCAGTGGCGATTCAAGACATGAAGATAAAGATTTGATCGGCCTTCATCTACCCACTCACCTCGTTAACTGTCTCCCTAGATTCCGTGGAGGAATCCTCCCGCTCTTCAACCTGTCCAGAACCCATCCGCCCACGGCAGGTTGATGTCCCATCTTCCACCTCCCGCGATTCGCTTTGCATCAACAACTTCTCTTGCTCCATTCGCCCACGGGTGTCCCTTGCCATGTCACGCCCACCCCTGCCTCCAGGGAAAGATCCTTTGCCCACTACATCGCAGCTGCAGTACTGGGCCGCCCGATCTTCCAGTAACTGTTTAGTGGCCAAGTTGGAGGCCGAGTGTTGGATCGTCCCAGTGCCACAGCGGTCAACGGATCCCTCGACATCTTCAGACCCTTGCAAGTCTACGCATTCTTCGGTACTTGCCATTCTTGACCAAAACAAAGAACAGTGTGCGTGGAAAGTTTCACAGGGGTCTGCCACTCACTGTGGGGTAAAATTGCAAGCACTGCTACTTTACGACGCAGCATCGAGTCCGAGTCTGGATGCGTCCGAGCCGAAGAGTGAGCTGTGAGCGACAGCGACCGTTTATCATCCTCTCTGCACCCGTGAGATGCATGCGCACTTTCCTCGTGTCTCAGTGTCACGGTAGGGGCGGGCTTCGACCACGCGTCACAGCAAGTCGAGTTGTCTGGTCAACAGCGAATTGCTAGGGCATCATGTTTCAAAGTAGGCGTAGGTTGCTCTAAAACCCCGCAAAGACGACTGGACACACACGCTAAACATCGCGGCAATCAAGCTGATGTGACTGGGATAAACTAGAGCGAAATGTTGAATTTCAAGCCCTTACGGGAAAACTTAAAACAATTTTGACAAAACGCCAGTTTCAATGACCTTAAGGGGGCTCCTCAAGAGCCGTATCATTTTTGTGAAACAATTTTGGTTAAGTTGTTTCCTGACTCCAACAGCGCTCTCACTTGTTTTAGCTGGACTTTTTTTTGGGGGGGGTGTTCTTGCTGCTTTTTTTAAACATATCTCAATCGATTGTTTTGATTTTCTGTAATTGAAATGTTAATAAAAATTTCCATATCCAGGCTAAGGGTCCGGGGGTGAAACGGATGTTTAATCCGTCAAAATTCCTCTTTGCTTCCAAGGTCACAGAACTATTTCCAAAGTGTTACATCTTTCGATTCCTAAGAATAAATAAGAAAAATTACAAAAAAATATTTATATAGCAACATGTCTTCTGGTGTAACCTCCCCTTTCCCTCGCTGGATACGCCACTCGTTTGGACATTTTTTAGCATGACATTTAACAAATAGGCCTATCCCATTGTACGCTGATTAAACTGATTTTCGAACGAAAACCTTTTTCCTACAAAAAGGGCGGGTGATAAAATACGCAGCAATTTGAATGTGCCGGAAATTCGAACGCAGAATTCCAACACACTCTGCTACATTGATTTGGTCTGCGAGTTCAGCTCACTGAAGACACATCGCCAAGTCCTCTTCTGTTTGTCATTCACACGGCTCTTTTCAACCATAAATCCGAAATATCTAGACAGAATTTCGGAGGCGAAAGAGACAGCCTGAGAAAGACATGAACAGGCGCCGTGCGAGAGTCAGAAAGCGGCACTTTGACTGGCGAAGCTTCTGTTGATAAATTTTCGGCAATCTTCCCTCCACCGGGATATAATGATCGATAATGACGATTACTGATTACCGTAGCTCGGCTAGGAGCGATGGCAAATCACTGCGTTTGGGTATGAGATTCGAGGGCAAGCTCAGCAGACGGCGTCTTGGTCTGCATGACTGTTATGTACTCGGTGTCAACCTAACCGCCAAGGAGCCTTAAGGTTTATGTATTGTATGTGCGTCCTGCTGCGGGTGTGAACAGATCCTATATCAGAGAGGATTTACATACAACCTCCTTTTTTTGGAAATAGGGAAACTGGGGGGTTTCCGAATCGGCGATTTCTGGTCATACATTACACGCCGCTTGACGGCGGAGGGACCTTCAAGGGTTCGCTATAGCTTTCGAAAAAAAAAAGACTTGCCTTTCTGTTCTTTTTCTTTCCATATTTTTTGAGTTACGAACTCCCTGGCCAGTCTTTTTTATTGGAAAAACAGAATACATGCGTTTTCTGGTCGTGTTTCGGTAGAGTCTAGCAAGCAGAAATCCAACATACATTTAAAAAAGCGAAGAAAAACAAGTGTGATGACAAACATGCATAATAATCGGGAGAAAAAAAAAGAAAATTGAAATCAAATCAAATAGTCGGGCAAAAGATTAGGAATTTAAATGTGTAAAATAAACAACAGCAAAAATGCAACACCCTTTTTTTTGACTATCGAGGAAAAATCTACACGGGGTGATTCTGAGGTACTCAAGGGAAGAGCAGGAACTTTTTGACGGGGGAGCAAACTCGTTCGGGGGGGGAGTGTGGAATTTTTTCAAGTAACATTTTATGACCTTTCTGGGAGTGAGGTTACATTTCAGGGGCTTTTTTTTACATGCTTCTGGAAGAAAAAAAATAGTCCCAACAGTGCCTTACTTTCATATTTTACCACCAAATCGGCTTCTTTTCATGGGCTTTGCCCTCCCCCTTCGCCTTTGTTGTACATTATAAAAGAAATAGAGGCCACAAACATTCTTGGAAACAGAACATACCCGTCGGTGACATGCACGCCGCGGAAATTAATTAAAATTGCCAAAACAAGCTTCCTGGAGTCCAGGAGCCTGGAGTGGAATGAAGCATTCTACGATTCCCGTTTATCACTTCGAATCTTTCCATTTATTTTCAGTACATGCAAGAAATAAACATGCCACTATGTACACACACTGGAGTACGCTCAAAATGATTAGTGAATTATTTACACATTAGTCGGTGTAAAAGAACCAGTCGTTATACCAAAAGCACAACAATCATATTCAGTTTGCAAAGCAAAGAAGTCCACTTTTCTTCCCACAAAATCGTATGGTGAAATCAGTGAGCAGGACAAAAGAAGAGGTAATTTAAGAAATAACATTAACAGAATTGTATAATATGTAAGCATAAGAAAAATGGCATGGAATAAAAACTACAGATACATAGCTGACTAAGTAAAACAAAACTGCAAAGCATACGTAAGCAGAATGCTTCAAAATAATAGGTCAAATCTGCTGAGCAAATTTATCAAGTAAAACGTAAAGATGTGCTCTCTGAGTAAACCATGCTTGAACAAAGCAAACGGAAAAAGTTAAAGTGCAGCTTTGGGCCACAAGAGGGGGCTAGACGGATGGAGACGTAGCAGACTCCGAGTGAACATGCACGTTTCCACAGTGTACGTCTGCCCTTGGATGGGTTTGCAAAATGGCAGGCAAGAATCATGGACACAAACATTCTGGGACTTAATAAGGGGAATTTGGAGAGGTCAACTTTTCAAAAAATGGGTAGACAAAGCCAAGTTGGTCATTCAACACTCAAATGGATATTTCAAACCACCTGTTTCACAGTACATTCGTTGTCAAGTGATACTTTGGGGGGGCGGGGGGTCTGGAGAGGGGTGAAGAGAAGACTACATTACCAAATATCATCATAAATTATTCCTTCCAATAAATCCACAATTTGGGAAGTCAAATATGCTTTCTCTGCTCATAAAGCACTCAAACACACTGAACTGTAATGAAAAGAAAAAGGGAAGACTTCACAGCTTCTAAATAAAAAAAAATAAGCAAAGTGACAAGTTCTCTTCTGTCCCTGCTGTCTTCTGTTCCTTTTTAAAGGAAAATATTCACGGGTATGGGATCAGATCAAGATGACTGGCTTTTTCTAGCAATCCAGTTTATGCATCTAAATCTGGGTGAGGATTTCTAACAAAATGCACATATTACTTTCTTCTTAGCCATTGGGTGGCCCTCTCCGCTCACTACGGCCAAGATGAAGTCCATGAACGGTGCGACTTCGGTGTAGTAACCAGGCGCCAGTGGCCTGCCACAGCCATCACCAAAGCTGGTAATTCCTATCACAGTCCATCGGCCGTTGTCAGTTTGGTACATCAGTGGACCTCCACTGTCACCCTAGGAGGGATGGGTTAAACGTCCATTGGAAGAGGGCAGCCTGTGCTTCCGTTTCCCTTATATCCCATCCATTCTAAGTTGATTTCTAGTTTAGTAAAGCTCTGACAAACTTAGACCGGAAAACCTACTGTAACTCATCGCCAAGCCAGCTAAGCTGGAGTCAATCCGAACTTTATTTCCATCAAATGCAATCAATTCTTCAAGCACTAGCATCAGGTCAAATGAATCATAATTCTTCATGCAAATAATGACCAGCCAGCAAACCTCCATCAAACAATAAATCGACTAGTCATGTCAACTTACCTGGCAAGTGTCCATCCGTCCCTCTGGGTGGCCAGCACATAGCAGTTGACCGGCCACCTGGATATTGTCAGGGGCCAGTCGCTGGCAAGTTGCAGGGTCAAGCATGGGCACTTCAACCTCTTGAAGGATGTTGGATACAGACCCTGCAATTTCCAGAAAAAAATTGTCACATCAACATTGACGCAACTCTCCCAAACACTGTACTTTGTTCCACTGTCTAGGCATCTCATAGTTTACTCACTTGTTCTCAAGATTAGTTAAGGCCTAATGCCAAATAATGGAGATCTCTGTAGTGCACGTCTGGTGTCAGGGCACTAGAGTTGCAACCTCAGCCATTCACAGAGCATCGTAGAGGCTAGTCTTACCATTTTCTTCCGTATGCCCCCATCCAGTGATGAAACATGACTCGTTCCTGGTGAACCTCAGTCCTGGGTCAGGTAAGCAAGCTATGTCAATGTGGTCATTGAGCTCCACTGGACGGACAAACCTGATCAGTGCCAGGTCATAGAATCCCTTGGTGAAGTTGAACCCCTTGTGGAGGTACACCTCCTTCACGGGGACGTCAACGTGGTAAGGGGACCTGATGTCCAGGCGAACATCACCAAGGACGGCAAAGTCAAAATACTCGCTGGAATGGGAGAGCAAAATGATTTCTCTTATTAAAAATGTCCCATTCCACGGACACTGTGAGCTTTTTGGACGATTCTGCATGAAATCTGTTATGGGCATAAGTACTGCATAACGTCTCTCTTAGGGTAGGGAGCCCTTATCAAAAATGATTGAGAGTCATTGGATTGACTCACACACACAATTGATTTATTCTGAAGAATTATTTATATCATCTTACTTTACAATGATCAACTTCTGTTGCTAGTGAGGCTGGATATTACTGTATGGGAGTACAGCTCGTCCGAATCTGAGCTATTTATTCGGGAGTGACAGGTAGGGTATTCATGGCAGAGCTATATGCCTACGAACGGTCAAGGAGTTGTTGTCCAGAGCTGCCTGCTTAGGAATGATCAATGCTGACTGCAGGAGCTGCTTGCTTTATATAGACTTTCGGGGCCACGTTTTAGGCAATGAGAGCAATGGATTGGGGTGGTTATGAATAACTCATACATGTAGAAAGGCTATGGAAGAAAAGTCTATGGGCATTTTGTGCACACTTGGTCTTCGCTGACTTAGTTTCTGGAGAGCAGGGGAACAGTTTGTAGGAAGGTAACAACATTCAAGTAGCTGCACTTTGCAGCACTGGGCAAGGTCAAGCAACAACACAGGTCGGATTTGCCTGACATCCAGTGTATATTTAATGCATAAATTACTAGTCAATATCGACCATTGGTTGACAAATGATCGTTGTTCAAACTTGCTGTCCGCTACACCGCACTAGCTATAGAGGATTCTTCATAACCTTCTGCAATGTCAGCAACCTAAAAGACAGACCATGGTGACAAAAACTAAGTTGTCATTTCAGAATATGATACTGATGGGGTGTTTGTACACAACAGATCATTATAGTGTCTTACAGGCAGTGTGCCGCTGTGAGAGCCCAGTGCTCTGACAAAAGTGTGGCGCCACACCAGTGTTCCCCACTATTACTGTCTCTGAGTGACACCATCCAAGGCCAAGAACCAGCTAAAGCAGGGGTACCACCGACTATCCGATTGGCAGAGACAGGGGTGCTTCCCCCAACACCGCAAGTCGTTGAATTCAGAAAATCTGAAAATAATGGCAAACATTGCTCTGCGATATAAGAAGAGAATAAATTCTTAGATCAAAATTTGAAAATAACCTACAACGTACTTGTGGAAATGATTTTCAAAAATAATTACTAGAAACTGTCATTGCGCAATCATATCCTCATTCTTGGTCTACGGTGGGTTCAGAAATCTGTGAAATCCTGAATTTAGGTTTTCTTGGAATCCCAGATGAGGAAGTGTCCACGTAACTAGATTCTGCATTATCATGTCAACATCTGATCAAGGTCAAAGATCTACTTTGCCAAGCTTTCAGTGTGGATGCTATCAGCTTACAGGTTCGGTTGTACCATGGTGATGAACAGTTATGCTCATCTGCTCCTGCTGGGCAATCAGGAAACCCGTCACAATACCACCAGGCTGGCATCGTTCTAAGGTCTGTGTTGGGTCCTCCTTCCGGAACAGTACAGAGCAAGCTCAAATCTACCATCAATAAAAAAGGCATTGCAGGAAATCAAGTCACGAGTAAAGTATATATGCTATGATAAACAAAAGAGGGTGATATAACAGAAAAATGGAGTGAAGGAAATATGCTGGTGGTTCTGATGTCTCACTTAAGTTTGTCAAGAATATGCTCTAAATATCCTAGCATGCCAACCATGCAACCCAGGGGTTTCACCAGGACATCTTAATTTGCACCATTTCTTTTCCATCCATTTGCCCCCTGACAAAACATATTGATATTTCACCGGCATTCCTGCAATGGAACGAAGAATATTTTGAGTGACAGATGAAACATTCCGTCAATCAGAACATGCCATTAGCCAGTATTCCTGTCAAGAATCCTTTTCATGAAATGCCAGAAAACCTTGCAAGGTTTGAGACAAAATTTCTGAGAGTGGATTGTTTGCTTTACAATTGCAAGTTGTTTCCTTTTACATGAGTGCGTGTTACATGTCACTGACATTCCTGGAGAAGCAAATGCTTCATTATCTGGTCACCAGCAGACTATATGCATATGCACATAGGTAGTACCAGCAGTGTGGTGAAGTGCTTGGATTAGCCTCGGTCTCAGGCTGAGCAAGATTTTTAACCTCCTCGACCCTGGAGTTGTTAGCTTAATAATAAATCATATGCTGCCATCTAAACGTCTATATTCATTCATCATCCTGATTACTGAAGTCTTTCTTTCAAGTACTGTTTGGCCTAGAAGTGAGTATAATTTTCAGAGATGAAAGTTGATGCAGAGATGAAGTCAGGTATGGCCAACGAGTGCGTGTGATAACCACCTTCATATGAATGACAAGTGATAGTTGGGAAATGCAAAAAGAAAAAGAAGTCTTAAGAAGTCCAAATGAAACAATTTGCTCCATTCGTGTGATAGAGCATGAACTGCCACAATCTCATAAAAATGGATAGATCACTGTGAAGATGGTACACGCACTACAAATGCAACAGAGAGATAATGCATGTCACAATATTTGCACATGTGCACTAGTAGGTTATCGCATGGAACATTATACAACAAGTGGTCCATCTATCATATTATTGTTTATCAATGGTCACATTATTGTTTATCTATGTGATAAGGGCTATGGCCTCATTCATTTGCCACTAGCCTACTGATTTGGAAACAGGAGAGAATCTGTCACATTAGGTGTGTTAAACTCCATCAAGGCACTGAGCTTCGACAGGGTGAACTTATCAATTGTGTAATGAATGAAGTGATTGTACATTCAAACCTGTGATGTTTGTAGCATGGATCTCTAGTTGGAACCCTCCAAGAAGTTTCAATGGCTTTCCACTGCCAGTGCCATACCAGATCCATGCTGTATCAGATTGGATCAACAGGGCCTGCCTTGTCTGCACCACTGAATCGACCTAGTTGAGTGCTCAGGTTGCCAGGGTTGTCTCCGTACCCCACAATTAGAGCATTATTTCCCTTCCAATCGTAGTCCATTGCTACAAATTTGATTAGAAGTCTGTGGTAGTCTGGAGGTCCAACAAAGATCCAGAAACACTGCAGTGTCTCTTCATATAGTGGGTAACGTGGAGAGTACAAGGTCGCATGACTGCTGGCAGGAACATCGATGAGGGTACCACTGTGGCTCAACTCACACCTGGCATCGATGCCTTAGGGAAAAATACAATTCACTGAAAACGTGTTGGTAAAGACCCAATTACAGCTGAACAAGATTTTAAAAGATCTTTTCTAATTGTAAAAGCTTGATTAAAGGAAAGTTATGTCAAAAGACATAAAGTTACGTCAGGGACTAAAATTCTCCAAACACATCAGGCCAGTCTTCCTTCCCTTTTCAAACGATGTGTCCAGTGATTTGTCGATGTCAAAATTGCATATCATTCTTTTTCCCAGTTTAACTGCTTTGAAATGAGTGCCTTCTCCGGTCAAGCTAAGCTACAATAATCAAAAGATGTACTATTCTATCTTGCCACTTTAAAAGTTTTCAACATGTGCTCAATGCTACTCAATCATAAAGGGGTTTAAAATTTGTCATGATGCGCACAGCATGAAACATATGTCGGCACAGCACAACACAGCCAGCACACCTCAATAATCATATCTCAGTGCAGTCACCAAATCTATGTGTTTACATATTGCGGAAGATATCTTCAAGACTTACCGTTGGCACAAGTCATTTGACCAGGACGACCTACTGGATAGTGTTCACATGGTATAAACCACTCTAAGAACATGCCCGTCGCATCCAGATAGACACTGCTACAATTATCTACAAACTCCTGGCAGAAGGCTCTGCAGGGTACTTCCTGATTAAAATGACAACAAATTTCATTCAGCTGGAGCTGGGAAGGGGAAGTTGAAGAGTCAAAATGAGTGACAAAAACAAGGACGGGTGTGCCTATTATGCAACGGAAACTAATTGCTCTCCAGTGATTGGAGGATTATATCAGCTTGCTGAGGCTCTAGTTGGATGACATGAGAAATTTACTGATAGAAATGCCTTGCTTTAAAAAGATTTTGTCCGTTATTTACAGAAGTGAAGCATAATGCAGAATGTTCACTGCAAGCTTTTACACTTTCAAAACTGACAGGGTACACACTTGTAACTGTGAATTGGAACAACTGACTTACGTTTTACTTCAAAGCTACCTTAATTTCTCATTACATTTTCGTATGTTCCTCCAAATTTTGCAAAGAATGATTGAATCGACTTACCCTCAGACTGCACCCTGGCATGAACATCATGCATAGGAACTGGTTGGCATGACTGTGACACATCTCAAAACTCAGCAAGTGGTCAATCAAGTCATCGAAAAATGATTGATTGGTTGAGTACGTGTCTGCATAAGGCACCAAGTCAGTGCACTGGTTGGATGGCTCCAGAGGCTCGCAGCTAGGTTGAAACTCTGAAGTCACATTGAAATCATATCAAGGAATCTGAATAACATAACCCTAACGCACCAAAATGTGACAGATCTAAGACAACACACAACAATAGTGAATCTGATCATGTAACCACAAATATGGTTCGAACACTAGCCTTGACTTGCCCTGAGCATTAAATATTTTTAGGTTGTAGAGAACTCAAGTGGGATGTCATTTTGAACCAGAAGTGTAGTGCAAACGTATGAGGTACACACTCAAAATTGCACACATGATGTTTTGCACTTCAGTACTCTATACCTAAAGTTCGAAAGGAGTTTATACACTAGATAACTGAGTGACCACATTTCAGGATAAAACACCTACGGAAATGTGGAAAATGTCTGGTTTAAAGAATTGGTTAAGTATCCAAGCTTACACAGTCTATTTCTCAGATATAACCAAGGAAGACTGCTAAACCAACCAACCTCCATTAATTGTTGAGGATATGAAATCAATATAGGAGGAGATACGTGTGAAGAATCCTGGATATATTGCAGAGCTGCAGCCAAAACCAATACTGATGATTCCAACTTCGTGCCAGATACCATGACGATTACGGCACACTAAGGCACCTCCGCTATCGCCCTGTCAACATTAGAGACAAACCTCTTGTCAGAGTGAGAAGTTCAGGACTTCAAAAACAAAGTTCACTTATTGCGTGAGAAGGTAGAACCTCAGAGCACTTGGAATTTTACAGCAGGAAGATACTTTGGGTAAATTCGCTGCTAATTTTGCCATGTTTTAATCTCCTTACAGGTATTCACTCCCTTGAATGACACAGATACATGTACACTATTTGGTCTCTGAGAACTGTAATCTCTTGGAAAGTACTATCGTTACACACAAATCACCCCTGAGCTTTTCTAATGAAAATGCTTTATGAGTTCTGGCACAGAGGTTAAACAAACATCTGCCACAAGGAACACGCAGAGCACTTTAACAGGAATATGAGTGATCATTATTAAAAGCTTTTACGCCCTTTCACAAGTCCCCTCAAGAGTCCAGCCACAAGTTCATTCGGGCAACAATACTTGTGTCCAAAGCATAAAAAAGCAAGTTGAGTACTGTACACGGCAAGGGCTCTGTCCATCTTGACCTTCAGCACACATGATGTTGTTGATGGGAATGTCAGTGTCTTTAAATCCTCCCAAAAGCCAAATGCAGTCTTGTTGAGGAAGAAGGTGAATCTCCGATTCCTGCTGATGGTTAGCCAACTCAGCTGGTAAAGGAAAAGATACGAAAAGAACTTCAGCATCATTGCTCATATTCATATTTCTTTTCTCTTAGATATGAACTATAAAAATGAACTTGACAAGGGGTTGGTACAGGTTTCTCCTCTGAGAAAGGAGAGATGTCAGAAACCAGAACAATACTGGTCTTTTTAAAATACTATGGACAGTGTATAATGCTGATGGGTGAGAAATAATTTGGTTCGTCTAATTAAAAAGTCATATTCCTTGTGGAAGTTTCCATGAGATGTGATGTCACCTGCAAGGAAGTTGTTTATTTAACTGATACCTGCTGTGTAGTTGGTGAGTCCCCATCCAGCAACATAGCACAGACTAGAATTGTCAAAATCTTCAGCAGCTGTGTCGAGACAAACTGGTCTGACATGATTTGTGTAGGCAACTGGCTCTGCTAGCTTCAAGACAGCAATGTCGTGCTCTGGCAGAAAGTGACGACGGAAGCCCGGGTGCGGGAAAACAGTCTCCACGGCAACCTCTACTTGATGCACTGTCATCTCATTCAGTCTGGGATCCCCAAACACGACATCGAGTCTTTGATTCATGTAGCTAGAAGAGGGCAAACACATGGTTTTTTTTAGGTTTGGGGGATATCATCACAGTTATAGAAATCCCTGACACACTTAGGACAAGAACCATCCATACCTTAAGAATGATTTGCTACAATCACATTACAAGGAATTGAACTGTGAAGCTGGAGAGTGTAAGAATTTTATGTTTCTATAAATTCTATTGACAACCAATTCACCACTTCCGAAAAGGAGCTAATACACCTCCCAGACAGGTCTGCCAGGCAGCAATTAACAGTTGACTCTCAATACTGTCAAAATCTGTGGGACCTAGTGAAAAGGTTTGCTGTACATGTATCTGAAATTCACTGTGTGGGGAGCGCAGGGAACTTACAGTTTTGGGTTCACCATGTGCACAGATTCTACTCTGTATGCATGCACATATATGTGTGTATGTACGTGAACATTTGTGATGTTCAAGAAATTGTAATAATGCTCTCCGTGCAATGATTCATCCAATACAGTTACACTTTTAATAGGAAACCTCACTTATATTTAAAAAAAAAACAGTGCTTGTACGACATACGAAATGAAACCCCCAAGATGGTCAATTGTAATTTATGGCCAAGGACAAAGCCAACATAACGACGACGAGAATGCCAAGATTAATAATCAACTGGCGGGTCTCCATGTGGGTAATCTTTCCTATTCGTTTTGTAATGTTCACTGCGTTACCCCAGCTTTCTTTGGGCACATGGCAGTGCTGGAAATTTCAAATAATCATGGACAACCCGTAAGTAATCAATCATCAAAACGTCCAAACTTAAATCAGGTGTACAGTGAGAATTCTGTCCAATGACTGTGACGTCATGACTGTATTCGTGACTGGACAGTTACGTCTAGCAAGGCAGACGTCGTACAAGCGCACAAGCTTATTGGCAGGTGTGCAAGTTCTCTTACCCAAAATAAATATGAATAATTAAGTGTAAATAAGTTCCGTGCAAGTTCCTTACTAAGAAATTAAGGTTTTGACCATTTTTTGCATTTGGCATGAGGTGAATTTTCTATTTCCTTCCAATATAGCACCCTTTTATTTAGTGTATCTTAATTTTTTTATGGAGGAGCATTGGATTATTTCTTTTGTCTTTGCTTTTGTTTGGATTGTTTTGTTTCTTTTGTCTTTGTTTTTCAAGTTACCTGATGAGGCAGGGGGTTCTGTAATTTATTGGGGTTTAGGTGTAACAACCTTTTTCTATAGGCAGTTTAAAACTAGCAAAAGCCCTTTTTTAAATCTATTGTTTCTGTGATAATGATTGATAATGATTTTCCCATGTGGTGCAGATGACTTCAATGCTTCCCTGAGAAAAAGACTGGCTGTGATTGGTAATCATACCTGATGATTAGTGACTGTGCACTCTCCAACTATCAGCACCTTTCACATGAAAAGGTTCTGCGCCGGGCCAAGACTAAACAACTGACACAAGCAACACCTATTGATAACTAACTCTGCTTGTAACAATATGCTCCAGGATTTGTAAACATTCGTTATAAATGGTAGCAAACAATACTTGTTACACAACAGAGTAACAAAAATCTTTTGTCGTAAAATGAATTTTGTATTATGCGATTTTGCTGTAACAGACTTTCTCCCCAAAGAAATGTTCATATCTTCAAGGAGACTGAATATGAGTGTCTGTTATAACCTGAATTTTGCCATACCCAAGTCTGTCATAACCAGACTCAACTTAACACAAGTACAAGTCTAATATAGTGACCAGATCTTTTGATAGGGATGGACCTACGCTGGTGTAACCACACAGTGTGCAGCTGTCACAACCCACTGCGGTGCAATAAGTGACGCTGCACATCTGTGCTTTTTGCTGCCGTCATTTCCATGATATCGTAGCGATCCTAGCCAAGGCCACTGGCCTGGTTCAGCATCTGAGCCACCGACGATGCGGAATGGCTGTCTTGAAGCCTGGAGACCGCAACCCGCTTGGTTCAAAACATCTACATATTAAGCAGAACAATAGAAGTCATATAGAGCTATTAATCACTGTAAATCAGAAACCATAACACAAACTGAAGTCAAAATTTCCAAAACTTATCCTGATGGAGTAGAATTGGTGCTCTAGAGACAAGAATAGTTCCAAACATGGTGCCAACAACTATCCAAGGGGTGGCTACAGGTGCGTTTGCCTTAACTCCACAAGTCCATTAATTCAGACAATCTGAAAAAGGGGATTGTTTTCCTGATTTAGTTTTTTATTTAAGGTTTATGTCGAGATAACCAATGCTTTGAAACTATCTAAAAATAAACTGCAACTTCTTCACAGAATTGATTTTCAAGAACGATCAATAGAAACATTCGTATTTCAATCATATAAATCTCAGCCTTCAGTGGGCGAATAAGTCTATGATATTCTGACTTTTAAATTTTCTTAGTGTCAGACACTTAAGTGTACGCAAATAGATCTTGCATTTTGTTACAATGCCTTATCAAAATCAAGGTCTAATTTTTCAAACACTGAGGGTGGATTCTCTTAGCTTACAGGTTTGGTTGTACCAGAGCAATGAACAGTTATGTTCATCTGCCCCTCCTGGGCAATCAGGAAACCCGTCACAATGCCACCAGGCTGGCATCGTTCTCAGGTCTGTGTTGGGTCCTCCATCAGGAACAGTACACAGTGAGTTCAAATCTACCATCAATAAGAAAAGCATTGCAGAGAATCAAGTCGAGAGTAAAGTAGGAATGCTATAGGTAAACAAAGGAAGATGATATGACAGAAATGGGGAGTGAAAGAAATGCGTGCCCTAGGCAAGCAAGTCTGTCGTTTGGTACGCTTACACGCTTCATTAATCCTGATGGCAACCAATTGAGTTGGACACTGGAGAATCATAACTTGCATTAAACTCCCCTATGAAACTGAACCCCACCTACATGATCTGATGAATTGTGTAATGAATGAAGTGATTGTACATTCAAACCTGCGATGTTTGTAGCATGGATCTCTAGTTGAAACCCTCCAAGAGGTTTCAAAGTCTCTCCCAGTGCTGGACGCTGCTCTCCACTGCCAGTGCCATACCAGATCCATGCCGTATCAGATTGGATCAGCACAGGGCCTGCCTTGTCTGCACCACTGAATCGGCCTAGTTGAGTACTCAGCTTGCTAGGGTTGTCTCCAAAGCCCACAATTAGGGCATTATTGCCCTCCCAATCGTAGTCCATGGCTACAAATTTGATTAGAAGTCTGTGGTAGTCTGGAGGTCCAACAACGATCCAGAAACACTGCAGTGTCTCTTCATATAGTGGGTAACGTGGAGAGTACAAGGTCACATGACTGCTGGCAGGAACATCGATGAGGGTACCACTGTGGCTCAATTCACACCTGGCATCGGCGCCTTTGGGACAAAATACAATTTACTGAAAAGGTTTGGGTCAAGATGCAATGCCAATGTCACATACAAGATTTACAGAAGTTTTCCAAGCTGAAAAAAAAATTTAAAATGTATGACGAAATGAATGGTATGGAAGAAGATATTTGAGGAATATGAGTCTCCCAACACATCCTACGCATCTTTTTTTCCCTTTTCAACTATCCAGTGATGTTTAATTGCCAGCATGGAGTACTGAAGTGCGACATCAATGTGAACCCTGAAGGGTAGTGCAAACAAAGTAAGTGCAAGCGCATGTTGGTTCATGCGCTGGTTCTCACGTCAATGCCTTTCCCCACACATAACTGTGAGCGTGACGTATTCACTTCCGTACTCTAGACTGTTTTGAAATGAATGGCTTCTACAGTCCAAACAAGCAACTGAAGCCAAAAGATGAACTACAAGTATTTCCATCCTGTTCATTTGCAAGACGTTCACAGGTCAATGCTCCTACAACCACAAGTGTGTTCAGTTTGTCATGATGCACACTGCATGAAAAACATGCAATAATTAAGCCAGCACAGTACCGTCTCAATAATCATATCTAAGTGCGATTACAAAGTCTATAGGTTGCTGTATTTTTCATCAAGACTTACCTTTGATACAAGTCATTTGACCCGGACGACCTACTGGATAGTTCTCACATGACATAAACCACTTTAAGTACATGCCCTTCGCATCCAGATAAACACTGCTACAATTATCTACAAACTCCTGGCAGAAGGCTCTGCAGGGTACTTCCTGTACATCCAAAATGACAAGACATTTCACTCAGCTGGAACTTGGAGGGTGAAGTTGAAATACATATCAGCAGTGCCTCGACAAGAACCAAGGACTGGAATTGGGAAGCTGTGATTGTAGTTGATCCTTACTACACCACTGATCATTTATAAAGGTTTGTTCAGGCTCTAGTTGTGTATGAATGAAACTGTGTGGTACATTGTATACAGAAAGGCATCGATCAAAAAGATGTCAATTTTTATCCAACTGTGTACACACCTGACTTACATTTTACTTTTTGTCTACTTTTCTTCTTATTGTTGTTCATATATCCTCCCTACTCAGCCAAAAATGATCAAATCAACTTACCCATCGACTGCATCCAGGCATGAATAGCATGCACAGGAACTGGTTGGCGTGACTGTGACACATCTCAAAACTTGGCAACAGATCGATGAAGTCATCGTAAAGTAATTGATCGGTTGGATATGTGTCCAAATAGGGCACCAGGTTAGTGCATTGGTTGGATGGCTCTAGAGGCTCACAGCTAGGTGGAAACTCTGATGTCAAATTAAGGTCATATCAAAAAATCTGAATAAAATAACGTTAGCGAACCAAAAGGTGACAGACCTGCAACAAAGAAACGCAGACGTGCTTAATCAGAGCATGTGGTCCATGGCAAAGGCAATGTTTCGTATTTAACCAAAAATGTGATTAAGACACTAGCCCAAACTTATCCTCAGCACTAAACGTTATACCTGGAATTAGTTGGGATTTAAAGCTGCCAAGTAATAAACTAAATATTTGAGAGCCTGAATTTGGGGCGAAAGACCCATGGAAATTGGAATATTTCTGATTTCAAGATTGGGTTAAATACACGATTTTGTGCAGTCTACTGACCTGGTAAGAAGCCAATGTTTAGGATTGCAATTTATAACCAAGGAAGATTGAAAACAACCAACCTTCACTTATTACTGAAGATATGAAATCAATGTACGAGGAGATACGAGCATACACTCCTGGATATCTTTCCGAACTGCAAGCGAAGGAAAGACTGATAATTCCAACTTCGAACCAGACACCATACTGATTACGACACACCAAAGCACCTCCACTATCTCCCTGTTGATATTTGAGAAAAGAAAAGCTTGTTTGTCAAAGCAAGAAGTCCAGGGCTTCAAAGACAAAGTATTAGGAATTTACTAACTTTCAAGTGAGAATAGTTACAAGTATTTCACCCCCAATGACAGACATGCATGCGCAATATTTGCTCCGTGAGAACTTTAATCGTTTGCAATGTTCCTCAGCATTATGCGCATGAATCACCCTAAATAAACAGTTTCTAATGAAAAACGTTTGATGAGTTTGGCATACAAGTTACAATTAACAAGTGAAGCATCTTTCATATGGAGAACACAGGGCACGTCGCAAGAAAATGATGGAAAAGGAGCTCATTAAAACGGCTCTGTTGCCCAGAAACATTTACGTAGGTTAATAACAAGCTCATTCATAAGTCCATCCAAAAGTCCAGTCACAATGCGTTTGTCAGTTCACTGAGCAACAACATTCATGTTCAAAGGATAAAAGGGAAATTTGAGTACTGTACACGGCAAGGGCTCTGTCCATCAAGACCCTCGGCACAAATCATGTTGTCCGTGACAAGGGAATAAAAGTCAATCTGCTGCAGAGACCGAATACAGTCTTGTCGAGAAACAAGGCGAATCTCCAGTTCTTGCTGACGGTTAGTTGACACAGCTGGTAAAGGAAAAGAAACGGAAAGAAGTTCAGAGTTGAATTTGTGATCAAATATGAAGGGACTTGGCACGAATAGTTTTATCACTTTTTTCTTGGATATCAATTGTAAAAAACAACTTGACAAAAATTTGCCATGGATTTTCCCTCCAAGGAAGGAGAGATGTCATCAGGAACAACAATGATACTGTCATCAAAGTACTTTTTCAAAGTACCACGTTCAGTGAATAATGCTCACAGGTAAGAAATAATTTGATCATTTAAAAAAGTCATATTCCTTGTGGAAGTTTCCATGAGATGTGATGTCACCTGCAAGGAAGTTGTTTATTTAACTGATACCTGCTGTGTAGTTAGTGAGTCCCCATCCAGCAACATAGCACAGACTAGAATTGTCAAAATCTTCAGCAGCTGTGTCCAGACAAACTGGTCTGACATGATTTGTGTAGGCAACTGGCTCTGCTAGCTTCAAGACAGCAATGTCATGCTCTGCTAGCAAGTGAGGTTGGAAGCCTGGATGCGGGAAAACAGTTTCCACGGCAACCTCTACTTGATGCACGGTTGTCTCGTTTAGTTTGGGATTTCCAAATACGACATCAATTCTGTGATTCATGTAGCTGGAAGAGAAAAAGATATATGTTTTTATACGTTATTGGGATAGCATTACAACTGTTGAAATCTGACAAACTTTACAATGACAAGAAGAATCTACGCCTTAAGAATGGTTTGCAAAAATCTAATCCAAACGAAGTGGACTGTGAAGATACAGAGTGTGACAAGTAATGTTTCTTTTGACGACTAATTTACCACTTAAGGGGCGGAGGTAATAAATCTCCCAAACCACTTTGCCAGGCAGCTATTTACATTTGACTAATGATATTAAGAAATCCACATTCCCAGTGAAAACATTTGTTGTATCTGAAATCCACTGCATGCAGAGCTCAGTGTGCTAGTTTCTGGTCTTGAGTTCACCATAGGTACAGATCCTACTCTGTATACACGCTTTTACACATGTACCTGAAAATTTGTGATAATCTTAAAATTTTCAGAATGCTCTCTAAGGTATGATTCGTCAAATACAGTGTGAATTTTCAATAAGAAACCTTAATGTTATTAAAAAAGATGTGAACAGAAGACAAGTAAAATAAAAATGCCAAGCAGGGGCACGTCCAGTGGGGGGACGCAACTCCCCCCCCGGATTAAAAAAATACTTCAGTGATGAGTAAGAAAGAAAGTAATTGGTATATTTATTGATCAAAGTTTAGCATCAAACCCTAAGAAAGCAACACCAAGAAATGAAAGCAAGGATGTCATGATCATGAGTATTTTTCTTCTTCCCAACATCATGCTGAGCCCAAAGCCACATTCACCTTTGAAGTTACCCCTCCCTAACACCAAAACCTGCATACGCCACTGATGCCAAGACAGTCAAACTGTAATTTATGGCAGAGGACGAAGCTAATGTCATGACAGCGAAATTGCCAAGATTGATAATCAATTGATGCCTTTCCATGTAAGTAATCTTTCCTGCACAAATTGTGTCAAGGTGAAATAATTTATTGCCCCATCCATGCAATGTTCACCGTGTGACCCCGGCTTTCTTTGGGATTTGGCAGTCTTTGGCAGTGTTGCGAATTTTAAATCCTGATGGACAACCATCATCAACACGTCTGAATTTCCATCAAGCGTAACATGAAAACTTCGTCAAATGAGTGTGATGTCATAACTGTATTTTGTGATTGGACGGTTACTTCTAGCAAAGGAGATGTCATACAAGCACCTGTTTAAAACAAGCACAAGCCCTTTGTAACATTGATTATGGTTTTTTTTCTATGATTTCCCATTGGGAGGTGCACGCAGCGCGGATGACTGGAATGCGTCACCAGGGCCGAGTATTTGATGACTGGCTGTGGTTGGTAACCACAGCGGACACTTTGTGACCGTGCACAATCCAACTATCATAACCTTCCATATGAAAAGATTCAACGTCGGGCCAAGGTCGATACAACAATCGATACAAGCACAACCTATTGAAAACTAACTCTACTGGCAATTATGTGCTCCAACATTTGCAATACTATGAACGGCCTGGATGTCATTTCCTTCAAAAGTGGAAAGTTGTTTAGGGTGGGTTTGATACTTGACCTAGAATGTGATTCTGTAAGGAATTATCCAAAGTTCACATCCGGGCCAGAAATCACACTTAATATTACATTATTGAAGCCTAACTCATGATGTGATTTTGGACTTTCCCGGATGTAATTTCGGGCTGGGATGTGATTTTGGATAATCCTTACCAAGGATACGTCAAAGCCACTCATTACTAATGGTAAAAAAAAAAATGATTTCTATACAACAGAGTCACAAGAACCTTTCATTGTAATTTCACACTATTTGATTTTAGTGTGACAGATTTTCTCCCCAAAGAAATGTGAACATTATTGCTGAGACCGAGGATGTGTGTCTGTTACATAACCTGAGTTTTTCCAAAATTGAGTTTGTAATAAGACAGTGATGGAAATAGCTGGATACATTTTGCACGAAAAGCGAGCCAAACATGAAAGTGATGTGCAATTTTTGCAAATGGAAATTTCCTGTAAATTCATGCATAACAATGGCCACACAACCCGCCCCCACCGGCACCGTGCACGTAGCGAGCTCGAGGCGTGGATCGCATCGGAAACCTGCCCCGTGCGGAGCGCTAGCGGCTTCACAGCAAAAACGAAATGTTTGACGAAATGAACTCGTGCCCAGTATCTTGTCCTAGTTTAGCGCAGCGCGAGGCCTACAGATCATGGGGGAATCGAGGTTGCTGCGATTTGGTGGGATTATATAGCACGCGTAGTTCGGTGCGGTACGGTACAAGTGCACACATCAGGCACATATATACATTACATGTATATGCGGGATAAGTGGCGCCATGAAGTACAAGTTGGTACATACACCCCAATCGCTATACAAGCTTCGCACGTACGTACTGTACATAAGCACGTGTTAACTTCAGTCATTTCCTGGTGATCAATGCGCAACAAAAATGCCGAAAGCGCGGTCCAAATGTACCGTTGAAAAACGGCAGAGAGATATGCCACGGCTGAAACAAGAGAATCAGTTGGAAGACATTGTTCTTTACTGTGAGTTGCAAGAGGCCAAAATCAAAGCCGTTTGAAATTCTGCGGAACATTCGTCAGATCTCAATTAAAGCATCGACTCTGACAATGACTTCTGATCAGTGCAAGTTACAGTGATGTATACCATTTCCCCTTTCTTGTTAAATATTTGACTTATGTGTAAGTCACCAGTCGTTCTAGGTCAAATGCAGAACATCTCAGGAGCTAAAATGGCACCCCAAAAAATCACGAGTAGGGACTTGCTGATGGCGGGGTTTTTGTTTATTTTCCCCTTGTGTAAAAATTTGTTTCTCCACCCAATTTTTGGTCAAAGCTATAACCAACAACCATGCTTTACCAAACCTGTGTGTTGTTTCAGTGTTTAGCCTTGGTGTACATATCAGTGGATATTAAAACTGTGTACCAAACGACAATATGATCAGCAAATTTGCTAATCAATTTTATTTTCTTATTTCCATCACAGTAAGAGTCAACTATACAGGTATATCTGATACAGTGGCCAGATCTTTGGAGAGAGATGGTCTTACAAAGGTGTATCCACACAGTGAGCTGCTGTCACAACCCACTGCGGTGCGACAAGTGACACTGCACATCCATGATTCTTGCTTCCGTCATTTCCATGATATCGTAGCGATCCTAGCCAAGGCCACTGGCCTGGTTCAGCATCTGAGCCACCAATGATGCGGAACGAGTTGCTAGCAGCCTGCAGACCACAACCCGCTTGATTCAAGATATCTGCAAATTATCCGTAACTATAGATGTCATATAAAGTCATATAAAGCTACAAATCACTGTAAATCAGAAACCATAACACAAAGTTTATCAACATTTCCGAAATTCATCTTATTCATCAGTAGAATCTGTAGTCTTAAGATAAGAACAGTTCCAAATATGGGGCCATTTTATGATTATCCAAGGGGTGGATGGAAAGTTTATTTGCCTTAAAAGACCCACAAGTCCATTAATTCTGAAAATCTGAAAATTATGGAAACCACACCCAAGAACGCAGGCTGATTCTCCTAATTTTGTTGTTTATTTAATGTTTATCTCGAGATAGAAACTTCTTTAAAAACATTTTAAAATACTCTGTAATTTCTTTACACAAATGATTATCAAGACTGAATACTGGAAATAGTCATATTTCAATCATATACATTTTGGCCTTCAGTGGGTGAACAAGTCTGCTAAATCCTGAATTTACATTTCCTGAAAGTTTCAGAGAAGTGTACACAAATAGATGTGACATTTGTTTCAATGCCTTATCAATGTCAAAGGCTTGATTTTCGCAATGTTGAGGTTGGATTCTCTTAGCTTACAGGTTTGGTTGTACCAGGGCAATGAACAGTCATGTTCATCTGCCCCTGCTGGGCAATCAGGAAACCCGTCACAATGCCACCAGGCTGGCATCGTTGTCAAGGCTCTGCTGGGTCCTCCTTCGGGAACAGTACACAGCAAGCTCAAATCTACCATCAACAAGACAGGCATAGCAGAAAGTAAACTATGAATGCTATAAATAAACAAAAGAGGGCGATATAGCAGAATTGTGGAGCGAAGGAAATGCTAGTGGTTCTGATCGTGCCATTCAAGTTTGTCAGGAGCATACTCTATACATCCTAGCGTGCCATCATTGGAACACAGTGGTTTAACCAGGAAAAAATATTTGCACTATTTTTTCTGTCCATCTGTAATATTGCAAAAGAAACGAATGTGTCACATGTATGCAATGGACTGAATCATTTTGTCCATTTACAACCTGTGCCATTGGCAGGCATATCTACCAAGGGTACACTTATTCGTCCCAACTTTGGCCAATTGAGTTGGACACATTTCCATATCTACATCGAACCCCTTAATCAAAATGAATCCCAACTAGGCCGGCCAACTGATGCAATAAATGAAGTGACATTCAAACCTGTGATGTTTGTAGCATGGATCTCTAGTTGGAACCCTCCAAGAAGTTTCAAAGTCTCTCCCGGTGCTGGACGCTGCTCTCCACTGCCAGTGCCATACCAGATCCATGCCGTATCAGATTGGATCAGCACAGGGCCTGCCTTGTCTGCACCACTGAATCGACCTAGTTGAGTGCTCAGGTTGCCAGGGTTGTCTCCGTACCCCACAATTAGGGCATTATTTCCCTCCCAATTGTAGTCCAGTGCAACAAATTTGATTAGAAGTCTGTGGTAGTCTGGAGGTCCAACAACAATCCAGAAACATTCAAGATTCTCTTCGTAAAGCGGGTAACGTGGAGAGTACAAGGTCACATGACTGCTGGCAGGAACCCTTATTATGAAGTCACTGTGGCTCAACTTACATCGGGCATCAGAACCTTGGGAAAGAAAACACACTCGACTGACCACGAGCTGCTAAAGATCCAAAATCAGCTCAACAAGATTTTAAAAGATCTTTTTTCAAGGTAAAAGCTTCATCAAATGCAAGTCATGGCAAAAGATTCAGGGAATGCCATTGTTATTCTTTCGCTTTCTAATTTTATGTTTGAACGCCAATATCGCACATAACTTTTCTTCCAAGTTAAACTGCTTCTACGGTAGAGCTAAGCAACAATAACCAGGAGATGAACAATTCTATCCTACTAGTTCGCAAGTTACACATGTCTCCACTTGCTCCCTCAACCAACAGTGGGTTTACAATTGTCAGGATACATATTCAAAATGAAAAAGTTTAGGGAATTTTTAATCTGCATGAAAAACTTAAATCATGGCACACTCACTATCAGACCTTGCTGTGATCAGGAGATTTATCTGCTGCAGTATTTTGTAAGGCTTCATTACGACTTACCAATGCTACATGTCATTTCACCAGGACGACCTACTGGATAGTGCTCGCACAATATGAACCACTCTAAGAACGCGCCCGTCGCATCCTCATAAACACTGCTACAATTATCTACAAACTCCTGGCAGAAGGCTCTGCAGGGTACTTCCTGAACATTAAAATGACAAGAAATTTCATTCAGCTGGAACTTGGAAGATGCAGTTGAAATGTCAAAACTGGGGTGTCTTGACAAAAACGAAGGACTGGAAATGGAAAGCTGTAGTTCATAATCATCTCATCACTGATCAATTATAAAAGCTTCTTGAGACTCGATCTGTGTCAATCAAAGAAGAAGCTGGGCAGAAAACAAAAATGGCAGTGTGGAGGTAATGTTTGCTTGGTCAAAAAGATTCTGTCCATATTTTTACCGAAGTGAAGCATAACCTAGAATATTTGCTGCAAAATTTGACACTTGGAAAATTGGCAAGGTACATACTTGTGATTGTGAACAGAGATGACTGACTTACTTTATCTTTTTCACTACAGTTGTTCATATTTTCACTGAATTTAGCCAAGAGTAACCAAATCGACTTACCCCTCGACTGCATCCAGGCATGAACATCATGCATAGGAACTGGTTGGCATGACTGTGACACATCTCCAAACTTGACAAGTGGTCAATCAAGTCATCGTAATATGATTGATTGGTTGAGTACGTGTCTGCATAAGGCACCAAGTCAGTGCATTGGTTGGATGGCTCCAGAGGCTCGCAGCTAGGTTGAAACTCTGAAGTCACATTGAAATCATATAAAACCCCTGAATAACATCGCCTACATGCACCTTAACAAAAGATCTTTAACAGCACAAATTAAAAGTGTAAGTGATCAAGTTGTGAATCAACAACCCTTTTCAATGTGGTTTGTGGCAAAGCTAAAGGTTAGCACTAATGGTTATGACACTGAAAAAAGGGGGACATTTCAGGTTAATAGATGTGGCAAAATATCTTGTGACAAAACAGTCGTTCCCACAAAGAGGGAATTAAGATAGAGAAGGGACACGTCCTAACACTGGTTCAGGCTGTGTTTTCAAAAGGTAGAATAACTGATGGACACTGTATTAATCTAGAAAACAAACCAAGTGTTTTGTATTTCAAACCAAGGATGAAAAACCAACCTCCTCTAATTACTGAGGATATGAAAGCAACATAGGAGGAGATACGCGTGTAGAATCCTGGGTATTTTTTGGAACTGCAACCAAAAACGGCACTGATGATTCCAACTTCGTGCCAGACGCCATGCTGATTACGACACACCAGGGCACCTCCACTGTCTCCCTGTTGACATCAGAGAGAAAAAAAAGCCTGTCAAAATGAAGAGTATCTACAAGCTCTGAGCAATTGGAAAATTGCATCAGGAAAACACCTTGGGAAATATACAGTTGCTTTTAGAAATGTTAAATTCTACATGCTTTAGTAAATAATAATAATAATAACAATAACAAACACTGGTAAACCGCCGTGAGGTACTGTATTATCATTATCCCTGCACATTGGGCTCAAATCATCTGAACATTCCTGAAACCATCTCAGCTCCCTGGGGAGTGTACTAGCCCGAAGCTGCCATTTTGGTGTAAACGGCTAAACACAACCGTGTCTGCCTTCACAGGTACCCATTTTCTACTGGGTAGAGAGAGGCTCATAGGGTTAAAGTGACTTGCCCAAGATCGCAACATGCTGCCACCAGCTGGATTCGAACCCCTTACCCTATGATCAGAAGCTACAAACCCTAACGACTAGGCCACATGCCTCCAAATTTGCTTATTTTTTGGTTACGAGTATTTCATCCCCCTGCTTGACAGAGGAGCATATGCACTATTTGGTCTCCTAGAATCTTTGTCTCTCAAGTGGGATAAGCATGAATCATCCTAAAAGAGTATTTCTCCAATGGAAAATGGTTTACAAGTTCTTGCATACATGTTAAAATCAACAGAATGAAATATCTCTCATTTGAGAAGCAGAGCACTTCATAACAAAAGCAATGATAAATGAGAGCTTATTAAAAACTGCTTAGCTGCATTGAAAACATTTACATCAATCGATTATGAGCCCTTTCAATGTCCCCCCACAACTCCAGCAACAAGGCATTTAGGCAACAGCACTAGTGTCTACAGCATGAAAAAGAAGTTTGTGTACTGTACACTGCAAGGGCTCTGGCCGTCTAGACCCTTGGCACAAATTATGTTGTTGGTGACAATCCCATAAAGTCCAACCCCTTGCACAGACTGAATGCAGTCCTGTAGAGAAACAAGGCGAACCTCTGATTCCTGCTGATGATTAGGTAAATCAGCTGGTAAAAGAAAAGATACAAATAAAGGTCAGTGCTATTACCCACTGATGAGCCATAAAGAATTCAAATTTGTTTCCAAATATCATAGACTTGAGATGAATATTCCTCTTTCCGTTGGTTTCCCCTCCAAAAAAGGGGAGATATCAGAAACCAAAAAGAAACTGGTATTTCAAAACACTCCCAATAAGGAAAATCACTGATGTGCGAAAGATGGTTTGATTAATCAAAGAACCAAATCACATTCCTTGTGGAAGTTACCAAGAGTTGTTAAGTCACCTGCAAGGAAATTGTTTTTCAACTGATACCTGCTGTGTAGTTGGTGAGTCCCCATCCAGCGATAGCACAGACTGGAATTGTCAAAATCTTCAGCAGCTGTGTCCAGACAAACTGGTCTGACATGATTTGTGTAGGCAACTGGCTCTGCTAGCTTCAAGACAGCAATGTCATGCTCAAATGTCATTCGGTTGAAGCCTGGATGTGAGTAAACAGTCTCCACGGCAACCTTTATGTGATGCAGTGTTGTCTCATTTAGTTTGGGATCTCCAAATACAACGTCAAGTCTTTCATTCATATAGCTGGAAGAGTGAAAAACATCAGTGTTTTTAAAGCCTTTATTCCAATCAGCAACACCCTGGTTGAAATCTCTAACAAACTTTATTATTCAGAAGCATATTGCCAAGAGAATTAGTTTGCTGCAATCAAATCTTGGAAAACTTTACTATGAGGCTGAAGGCTGTGACAATGTTTCTTTTGACTACGAATTTACTGCTTACAGGGTTGAGCTAAATGCATCTCCCAAGAAGTTTTGTCCTGCAGCAATTTATAGCCAATTAAAGCAGAGGTCAGATTTTGTTATGGGGATGGACTTACGCTGGTGTAACCACACAGTGAGCTGCTGTCACCACCCATTGTGGAGCAACAAGTGAGACAGCACATCCATGATTCTTTCTTCCATCATTTCTATGATATCGTAGCGATCCTAGCCAAGGCCACTGGCCTGGGTTAGCATCTGCACCACCAACGATGCGGAACAACTGTCTTGCAGCCTGGAGGCTACAATCCGCTTGATTCAAGACGTCTACACATTAACCAATATAAAAACGTGCATACAAAACTGTCAATAAATGAAAACTAAAAACCATAACAACACATTAATCTAAAAAATCTATTCTGATGGAGTAAAATTGGTAAGGTATGAACACAAGAACACTTCAAATATAGCTTAAAATGTATCATTCAGGTCATTGATGAATCTACAAAGAATCCCGGCCTGGGAAGTTTCAGAGCAGCACAAATTTCAGAGCAGCACAAATACTCAAGTTGAAAAATGGAAAAGAATTTGTCAACCTTCTGGAGTTGGTGTAACGGTGGGACATCCCTCTTCATCCGCCCCTCCTGGACAATCGACAATTCCATCACAAATCCACGAATCAGGAGGTGAATAAGGAAACTGGGCCGATTCATTATTACACAGGTGTCGTACAGCTGCAGTAAGGAACAGTAAAAAAAAAGCATTCTCAATGGACAGCATTAGGTTTTGGTGACAATTTGGTGGATCAAGGATATCACAAGATGGTTTACATCTCCGTTGTATCAAGTGGATTCAATTCCTATCCAACAAGAATACTGACGAGTGTATTCGTTCAACTCACCAGTGCCGAGGACAGCATATACCTCTAAAGAATAGCCCTTTTCATCTGCGTTGGGATTGTCTCTGGAGGTGAACCGAACCCAGAGTGAGGTGGTGGGAGATAAAACCAATCGCACATCTTCTTGGCTATGGAACTTAGCCAGTGTTGTCCTCTTGTCGTGGGCGTCACGGCCGGCACCAAATGCCAGTGTCTCACAGCACTTTTCCACGTCAAAGTCACGCACCTTGACGAGGACACGGTAGCCAGTTGGAGCAGTAATGAGCACGGTGCAATCTAAGAACATGCCATAGTGGTCTGGGTAGTTGTGTGATTGAAGACTTACACTGCCCTCTTGAGGCAAGAGGATGTCAGTCTGGTTACCGCAACGAGCATCTTCATCTGTCAGTAAGAATAAAAGAATATATTTTGAACATTTTTATTGGACAACAACAATTTCCATAATTTACATCTCATCACATCCAATGTACATTTTATTTTATTACACAACGAAAAAAACTAAATACGAAATGAGCCTCAAAAAGTTAGGAGTAGACTTTGGGCCGTGGTTGGTTCACTGACACCAGACACTGCCTAATGAATGAAGTGAACCAGCACAGGGACCACTGACCGAGACCTGGATCCATGTGAAAAAAAACAGGCCTTTGTACTCACATACCTTTGTAGCAGATCATCTGGTCTTGCCTACCAGCTTCTGGTGAGGTGAAACACTTCGCAATTATACCAAAAAAGCGACCAGTTGCCTTGAGAAACGCCCAGGTACACTCGTCTACCACCTGCTCGCAGTACTCACGACAGAGGACCTGGGCTCGTCCGTCCTCCGTACAACCCTCAAAGAGCAGTGAGCAAGCAAAAAGAGTCAGGTTGACAGAGGGGCAAGTCACGTTCTCCAGGATAGCAGCTACGACGGGGTCAAAGGACTCTTGACTAGTGGGGAAGGTGCGATCATATGGTAGCTGTCCCGAACACATCTCAGACTGGACTTTCTCACACTTCACTGGATTGGGATCTGTGGTATAACAAAATTGAACAAAAAGGTGCTATAACACGTGAGTAACTCAGTCAAGGATAAGCAACACCTACATGTGGTTTGTCACTAAAGAACTGGGTATTCACTAATCAATTTAAGCTTAAAGTTCAAATTTCGTATGTGGAATTCTGTGGCCTCGTGGTTATGATCATTCGATTTGCAAAGTCGTCGGTTGCGGGTTCAAATCCAACCTGGGGTCATGGTGTGTGCACGTGCCCTGGCCAAGGCACATTGTCACTCACTGTTTCTCTCCATCCTGGAGTAATTGGGTACCTGTAAGGGCAGAGTTGGTTTATTGTGGTCGAGTTAGCTGCTTGGTACTGCAATGACTGCGGCAGGCTGTATACTCCCAAGGAAGCTGAGATGGTATTTGAAAGGTTTCATAAGCCCAATGAGCAGGGGTAATTATAATGGAGAGCACTTTGATCTCCCAAAAAACCTGTTCTTATTATTACAAATGTAAACAGTTTTCTCAAAGAGCAGTTGTAATGAATGACTTCCTCAAAATGTATCTCAAAATAAGCCCAGTTGATATTTTGAAAAAGACAAGGTCATTCGAGTAAAAACTCGCAAGAAAGTCTGTGTGTTTTCATGCAGATAAAGCAGACCCCATGCATGTGTACTGCTGTTTACAAATGAGCTTGGCGTTCTTATTTTTGGGCACATACTGCTGGAGTATTGAATTTGCTCATTCTCAACATTTTATGAAATGTTAGGACTGTTCAATCTGAGGGGATAACACACTACTTATGCGTTACAGATCCTGTTCCTGAAATGTGTTTAAGGCAAGTCACATTTTCATCTTGAAAACCACTTATGTCAGCTTTTTGCCAACCACAAAACAACAGGCAATCGCAGTTTCAATTTGGCAGTGTTAGAATGAGCTAGCTTTACATTCCAAATTTTGGGACAGTCAATATGAGATCTTTACCTCCTTTCATGACATTAGCTATGTAGCTGACAAAGGCTGCAACACGGGTCACTACGACAGGATGAGCGGAGCAGCGTATGCCTAGACTGATTATGCCCACCATATTCCATCTTCCGTCGGTGCTCAGGCACATTACTGGTCCCCCGCTGTCCCCCTGGAAAACAATACATCATATGGCAACCGGCATAAAAAGAAATTGCTGAGATGCACTTATTCTTTTGAAGCAACTTTCACAAATCTATGAGTCAAAAATTAAGAAAGTTTTGCTCAAATGAAATTTGCCAGACAACAGTAAAGTTTGCTTCAAGCACACAGAGAGATTTGCTTTTATGCTGTTTCATCTTAACTGAATAATACAGTATTCACAACCGGCCCAGGTATGTCACTTATTTTATTCTTTACTCGTGTCCCAATTTCACATCTGGACAGGGCACTCTGTAAACAGCTGGCTTGTGTGAGAGCCAACGTACATTACAGGCTGTAGCGGAGACATTGGTGCCTGCAGGTTTAACACAAGTGACACGGTCTGTAATGGTGAGTCCCCACATCTGATAGCCTGCATACAAGTCTGTGCAGTCCTCAAGCTCAACCAATGACATATCTGCTTCTAGAAGATCATTCGAACGGTTGCCTGGAAAAGGAGAAAGTAGCACTTCATGTTTGTTCACTTTTGTCAGTGAAAGGGTTGACAAATTCTGTTAAAGTGCCATGAAATGAGTGGTTGTGCCCTGAAAACAGGCTAAGCTTCCTGAGCAATGGCTATGCCTACTGTCCACACATACCACACAATTATTACATTTGTTGAAGAACTAGGCCTAGCCGTAGACACAAGATTAGGAAGAAGCTTCAGTCTTCTAAATATCTGGCATCCTGACTTCTAATATCTAGATGTTTCATTTGGCATTGGCTGACCTTTGTACTGAGTGAATCCCCAGCCTGCCGCAAAGCATTTTGTGTACTTCTCGGTTACGTCATCCTCTGTCGGAAGATCCAGACAAACTGGTCGCACATAATTATTCATCTCCACTGGTCGGGCAAGCTTCAAGAGCGCAATGTCGTTGGTCAGGATTTTAGGATTATAGCCTGGATGGGTGTAGATACGCTCAACAGGAACTGTCTGATGGTATCGTGACTCCTCCATCAGGTGAATATCCCCTATTACAATGTTACTGATCAGCATTCCAAAGGCACTGGGCACAAGACAACAGCAAAACACAGTAAGCTATCTAAATGAGCTACACACTGGATACAACATATACGGCACTCAGACAGATTTGCATTGTCATGCTCCATTTAATCTACGATTCATCTCCTACCAATTTCCTACCAATGACTATGTGTCAGCATTTTTATTACAGGAAGCAGAATTCTTTGAAAGAACACCACTTGTTCTCAGGTTGTGCCCAGTAGAATCATCAGGAGCAAATTCCCGATTAGAGCAGACACTATTTTTGAGATGTCCCTAGGCACTAGGGAAGGAGATGGGCAGCTTACTTTGGGGATGAGACACAATGCGCAGCAGTGGTCAGCCAACGGTCAGCGATCAATGACGCTCCACACACTATGTGACCGTTGGTGACGTTGTCAAGTCGCAAGTATGCCATCCAAGGCCATCCGCCCATCTCTACTTTGGTGCCGTTGACTATCCGAAATGCCAGGCTATCTTCACGAGGGATGGCTGGACGCACACCACAGAGGGCAGTGTTCAAATCATCTAAAATATGTTTCAAACAAATATGATGCCACAATTATATAAACACAAAGTTTAAGAATATGGACTTATTCCTCAAAACAATGTTGAGTCAAGTTCCGTCAAGGTTGTGGTACATAAAAGTTGACAAGCTCAGTTATTCGGGATTCATATCTTAAACCTCTTTACCAGTGCTACTAGAATAAAAAGGTATAAAAAGAGTCATCCAGTTGCAGTGATATGACAGTTAGATATGCATGGCATGTGAGCAGCTGTGTACACGCATTAATACAATTGGAAAATCACACTGTGAAAAAGACTTCCAATAAAAGTGAAAGGTTTACTTTCTGTTCATAAACAGATTGTCAGATGGCTTTTGGTTGCTAAAGGGAAATATCTATTTTCGGATTTGGAAAAGCAAAGAAAGAAAAGAGATTTCACAGACAATATTTTACAAGTGACTGTCTTTGAAGGTTCATCATACAAAAAATCATGCAGAGGTTCCCCTTCCTGACTTCACATGAAGTTTTTCCGAGACTGTGCTCCTGAACTCAATGCTTTAAACTGTTCTAACCTTTTAACCTTTTACCTCTGGTGACCTGGCTCTGTTCCCACCTGGTGCACTCTTTCCTACTTCTCAAAATTCTAAAACAAGCACAGGTACCACACACCTTACATCAAATCCCAATCATTTTCCCTCCTAAGACTTTTTACCTGGCAGTTTCCGGCTACAGTTAGTCTCATCTAGTCCTGTGGGGCAGTCCATGATGTCATCACATTTCCACCAATCAGGAATTGAGAACAGTTCATTTGCCGAGTCAGTGCTGCAAAGAGCTGATGCATCTGAGGAGAAGAAAGCCAACTGCCATATTAGAGGTATAGTCCATCATTTGCTTGCAAATATGTTCCTTTGAGGCAACAAAATTACTCACAATCTAAAGAATGGTGCCTGAGAACAAGCCTGGTAAAGTTTCAGCTCAGCGCATACTGCATATTCTGAGAAAAACAAAAATTCTAGGATTTCAATTTCGGATCAAAAGTTCCTGAGTCATGCTTTGGGTTGTAGCTGAATTCAGTGTCTGGAAGACATTCTCACGTCCAGTAAAAAGTAGCTCCGCAATGTCATGCACTGAATCAACAGATCATAGCAACCATGCCCGTTGTGTCAATGTTTGCAAGTGAAATGCATCTTTAAATGCATTGTTGGAAATGGCCTAGTTTCATTGTTTTCTTCAGAAAGATAGCTTGCCAGAAAGAAATATTTAACAGGGAGCTTAGTCCCATAACTATGAATAATTTCACCAGTTACATTTTGGATAACTGAAAATGATGGACTGTACCTTTAAGGTAAAGCACCATTTCAGATGAAGAACACAAACCATGTCCTTTACAACACGTGTGAAAATTTTCCATCAAGTTTTCAATTGAATTCAATCCGCTGTAACCTTCTCCAACCCTTCTCCACTGCCCATTTCCGGCTCCAATCAAAGCTAACCCCAGCTCAACCTAACCCAACTCACTCAACTCAACTGTACTCACTCTCATGGCTAATGGCATGGATTTCCAGATCATATCCCTCCACATCTTCCGCCATGAAAACTCCTGATGTGAACCTAATCCACATAACTTCCCCCTCTGATACAATGACAGGAGGTTCCGCCTCCCCTTCGAATCTCTGAAGCAGCGTGGTCTTGTCATAGGCATCTGGGCCCTCCCCAAAGGCCAAGATATCACTCCGGTGAAGGTCCATCTTCCGGGTCTTGGCAACAACTTGATGTCCAGGAGGTGCAGTGATGACATAGACACAGTCCAAGTGTTCTCCATAGGGACCAATGAAGTTGTGAGACTGAAGACGCTCGTGACCAAATGAAGCCAGCATAATGGTAGACTGGTTGCCACATCGTGCATCCTCGTCTAAACATGAACAGATATTCCGCACAGTATTGCCATTAATGACAATGGAACATATGAGCAGTAGTGCAGTTAAATCTACAGCGCATCCTTTGCCTTCCATCTCAGTGACCCAGGTTCGAAACCCACCTTAGACAACACATCAATGGGTTTCTATCCCTGTCTGAATGGAGGAGTTCCCCAAGGGCATTTATCAAAATTTCTTTCTCCCAGCACTACAAGCAAACATTATGTAGCATCTTTTTGCCAACAATTTCCCTGGGTCTGCAAGAATCATAGTATGGAACCTTCTGAGAAATCCTCGGTTTCATTACCGGTAATGAAAGCAATGACGCTCATCAGTATAGTCCTATAGAATTTGTCATTTTCTCTCAATCTCCATACTGGCCATATTTCTAACTTCTCTTTTGAAGTTTGAATTCCAAATTGTCTGCGTCTAATTCCAAGTAGTCTGCGTCTATTTTAGACATTTCCTAATCCAGCCATACCTGCATACCTTCATAGCATATTCTCTGGTTTGGGTTCCAAGCCTCGGGGAACATGTTGCATTTAATGACGTCACTCAACAACAAATCATCAGTCCACTGGTACTCACGGCATTCCTCTACCACAGTCCTGCAAAATGCCCTGCAGGGTACCAGGGAACGGTAACCCTCCCCACAGCCCTTGTACAGCAAGGAACACAGCAGCAAATCAATGTGCTCACTACAAGACTGATTGAGGATGGCCAACATGAGCTCAATGACAGGATCAAAGTGACTCTGATCAGTGGAGAAGATCCTCTGGTAGGGAAGCACCCTCGAACAGATTTCAGACTGGATGTCCTCGCATTGACCGTAACGATAATCTTTCAAAAAAAGGATATTGGAAGATGTTAATATTTCCATATGTACACAGGAGGCAAGAGTCAATAGAAGTGTAGTTCTAGATTGATGTATTTTTAAGTGGAATATGATCACAGTGAAGGTTGGCCAACATCTAAGCACTGACTTATGGAAGTAAGTCTCCCAAATTCCAAAGAAATGCCAAATCATGGGTGAAAAATCTATGAAATCAGAGAATGAAGACAAGCACAACACAGAGGTTAATTTCATACAGAAGGACTGATTAACTCTTCAAGTCAATTCCTCTGCCCCCCCCCAAAAAAATAAAACTTCCAGAAGAAGCTGTAGGAAGGAACCAGTCGAGGAATTTCTTCTTTATGGTCCTTACCACCATTCACAGAAGCAGAGATGAAATCTAAATAGGCAGATACCCTGGTTGCTATGGATGGTTGCCATGTTGTGTTACAGGCTATCCCTACGCTGATAATACCAACCATATACCATCGATTATCCCCCTTCTGACACATCAACGGCCCTCCACTGTCACCCTAGTAACATACAGGGAAAAAGGAACACCTTTTCAGGCCATTTCCCTGAAGCTCTGATTCCAGAATTAAAAAACAATCCCCCTTTGCAGTCAGTATCTTTGTTTCAGCCCACAACAGAGAAAAAGCTCCTTCAATGGATCCCTCTCGTAGACAGCCACATTCGTAAGCAAATTACAACTGAGTGTGTAACGCCACCAGGGGCATGTGCACGCAGTGTGCAAACTTTTCTTCACGCACGCATGTCACTCAAAATGTCTTCGAATTATGGTGCGGCTGACGCTTGGTTATCTGCAGGAAGTGGCGTCATTCGAGAGAGACTTTGTGGCTGAAAGTCACAAAAAATTAAGCGATTGGGAGAACAGATGAATGATAATGTCCCCTGTTTTAGGCCATGGCCGTTATCAGCGTCCATTCTCCCGAACCAGTCTGAAAATGCTAAAGACCAATTAATAATTACAACTGTATACCTTTTGATTCAGAAACTGAAATAAAGTTATAAAGTTACAAGTTTCCAATGAATCTGCTCAACAATTTCTCTTCATTTTTTTTTCAACCCTCCAACTTTCCATGTTGTATTATGCGAGAAGTCATTAACAATCTTCCTTAAAATGGACACTGACTGGCATACTTATTGCACATACCACACCTGAGGTGATGCAGAATGCAGAAAGCCAGTGGTGAGGGGCATTAACAGGGTCCATCTTGAATATGTAATACCCGCCTTTCACATATTCATTCCCTCTCATAAATATCTTCCAAGTCAGCAAGTTATAACACGTTCAACAATCATATACTTCCAAAGATTTTATTCGACAATATTACTTCAATATTTCAACCGCCCCTATAGCCATGTTATGGTACGTGCCTCCCTCGAGCCAATGCCTTATCAACCGTTAAGACCATCCAAGTGACGGGTTGTTGACTAATAGGAATGGCTAAGCTGTGTTAGGTATTTATGGATGGTGGCTGGCAGATTGGCCACGCTGAACTTAAAAGTACAGGTGATCTCTCGGCATCCACAAACTTACATTACATGGGCTAGAGAAGTCCCTGGATGACACATAGCAAACAGCTGCGTCTGTAGGAGTGAATCCAAACATCTTGTACTTCTCGTAGTCCTGGGTGCAGTTGGCCAGATCTATAAGCCTCATCTCGGCATCCAGTTGTGTATTCGAAATATTCCCTGTCAAGTAAAGAGAAAATAAAACCCACCGGCTAATCCGTGGTCAGGTTGGGATTGGTGATCTCCCCTGGCTTTGTGTCTCTCTTCATTCCGGTTCCATTCCAATTAGGGACATGGCTAGATTGCACTAAGCTCAATTGGAAAGTTCAAGCAATACAGAAAGTGCTTTTTTCAGCACCATAAATGTGAAGAGAACTCATTGAAAAAAATCTATCATTGCTCTATTGGTGTTTATAAGACCAATATATTTATCAACATACGGTACGCCCGATCACGCATTATTCCAGTGACATCCTAGGGTCTAGATTTTGATGTCGTCAATCTCGACTAACCGGAGTATTGTGTGAAACCCCATCCGGCAATGTAGCAATTGTCGTAGTCCTCCAACGGCTCATTCCCCACACAGACAGGGCGCACGTAGTCCGTCACCTCCACTGGCCGTACCAGCTTGAGCAGTGCCAAATCGTGCAGGTAGTTGAGGGAGTTGTAGCCGGGGTAGGGGAGGATCCTCTCCACGGGGATGAGTTGGTGATGTGGGGAGGTCACCTCCAGTTGGAGATCACCTGCCACGATGCTGTCAAGCTTCACGGCAAAGGTGCTGCGATCAGAGAGACATCATCCATGTACAATGCCAGGAAGTGTTAAACAAGTGATAACGTCTCACAAACTCTGCTGTTGGACTTGTTCCCAGTCTACTCTCCTTCCTTTCAAAGTTGGTGGAGGGGCAAGGAGCCAGCTTTTCCCTGCTTTCCTGCTCAGGCTAGGAATCACCCTCTGTCCCTCCACAGGGAACGAATAATGCAAACATTCACATTGGCCGCCCCCAAAATTTTACCGCTGTTTCTGTAGTAGCATGGACAGAGACACTATTTCATTGCTTATCAGAGCATCGACAAGTACATATATGGTCAGACAGCAGGATGAACATTCAACAATGCTATCAATTAACCGACACTGCAGAAACATCTCATTACTACAACAACAAAAAAGCGCAGCTAATTTCCTGGCGAGCTTACTTTGGCATAGACACACAATGAGCAGCAGTTGTTGCCCACTGGTCCGAGATGAGAGTAGCAGCGCAGTTATGTCGCTTCTTTTCACTGGTGCTGTCCCTCCTGATGCGGAGGGACACCAGCCACGGCCACTTGCCCCAGTCTGACCTTTGGCCTCCCACCACACGTGACAACGGTTGGTTATCATAGCCAGGTCGCAAGCCACAGTCTTCAGTGTTCAGCACTCCTGAATGAGATGAAAAGAAAGTACAGAGGAATAACTCTGAGAACCAAGTTGCTTATGACATGCTCAGAATTATAAAACAAGCACAGAACACGAAATGCTTATCTTGGGACATACCTGTTCTTTCTGTTGTGACTCCGAAACTTGTAACGACTGGTGTCGGCATCAAAGTAACAGTGTCTCCATCCTTCAAAAGATTGACTGGAAAGTCAAACACATTTCCGGGAAAAAATAATTAGAGTGCACACACCTGGCTTGGACATCAGTCAGAAAAAAGTTAAATCTACCCGTTAGAAATTGGAAGACTAATTTCAATCTCAATAATGCTATTTGACCTATATCTCAGTTTAATGCATCAAAATTAACTGACTGCTGCTTGTAACATCACACAAACGTAATTAAGGGAATATGTCTGCATCTTCTATATTGGTAAGGGTTCGTGCTATCATCAGGTGAAGCTAAATTCAATAAATCCAAGTCAACAATTTAGGAATGGACTGAATTCTAAAAATGATGAATTCAAAGGTAGCTCTATGTGGCACTGAGCTACAAACCCTCATGGGACAAAATCCCAGAACTGTCTTATCAAACCAATGGCCGCCCTCTCTAACAACATTCAGAGAGAAAAAAGAACCACATGAATCGGATCCAGCTCATGCTAACCGTGGCGTCAGATTTCTGAGGCTAGAGTTTGGCTTGGTCAGGAATGGGAAGTCTCACCAGTAGGCACTGTGATTGATCCTGGTTCTACTTCAAATTCCTGTCCTTGGTCTCTTGAGATTCCTTGATTGAGAGCGTATTCTACCTCTGTCTTGATGATTGCCTGAAGGTAGGACTCGTTCGTTGTTTCTTGGCCTGGTGATGGCTTCCAATCAAGCCTGATGACAAAATCAACTAAGACACTGCCTGGCCTGGGAAAAGAGAGAAGTAGCATTTCATGCCTGACGCAAACCATCTGTGCAGATATGTTATAAAGGCAGGACTTAAGCTTTTACTTAACATTACCTCTGGTACTTTACCTAAATCTTTCAACTTCAACCTTCTCAAAACTCTCTTGTAAATGACTGTTCCCAAATATCTTGGACACCTGCAAAAACCACATACACGTATGCTTTGATAAAAAAAAATTGGATATGTATGCATTTTCATTTCCAAACACAAAAATTACAAAATTGGTCAAAAACAAACCCTATGAAACATTTTTAAGTGGACAAAAATCTTAAATGCATCATGATATCTGGTCGACACTCACGTAGAAGGCAAACTTGCGTGCAAGTGTATTGTACTCCACAGACGTTGGGTCACCATACACCATTAGGTAATCTTGCTGTAATGTTAATGATGCCGCCACTTCAACGAGTACCCGCGGCTGGGATACTACCAAAAAAATTCAACAACATAAGTTAAAAATTCAACAGAGAGTAGTCAGATTTTCACGACTTTGCAGAAACACCAAAGGATTCTCTTCTTGAGTAACATTTGGCTTTCAGAAGAAGACTGTGTGTTGGAAAGTTTGATTTTTAAGGTGCTATCAGGTTATGATGACTTCGTTGTTTATAACATGAAATGCACTGCTGTGGCTTCTTTATGTTATCTATGGAGCAAAATCAACTGGGTGCTTAACATGCCTTCATTGAAGGCCCTGACTAGGCGCCCAGGTACGATTACTTTCCAAGAGTACGAGTACAGGTACTTTTCCAAGAGTACGAGTACAGGTACTTTTCCAAGAGTACAAGTACAGGTACTTTTCCAAGAGTACGAGTACAGGTACTTTTCCAAGAGTACAAGTACAGGTACTTTTCCAAGAGTACAAGTACTGGCACTTTTCCAAGAGTACAAGTACAGGTACTTTTCCAAGAGTACAAGTACTGGCACTTTTCCAAGAGTACAAGTACAGGTACTTTTCCAAGAGTACAAGTACAGGTACTTTTCCAAGAGTACAAGTACAGGTACTTTTCCAAGAGTACGAGTACAGGTACTTTTCTAAGAGTACAAGTACAGGTACTTTTCTAAGAGTACAAGTACAGGTACTTTTCCAAGAGTACGAGTACAGGTACTTTTCTAAGAGTACAAGTACAGGTACTTTTCCAAAGAGCATGAGCACTGGTATCCCCAGAACTGTGGGGTCCGACATCCGTTCCTCTCCCACGTTTAGTTGCTGATCACACTCCTTAAAGCATTTGACATCCTCAGCAATTCTCAGTATGGCTTCCGAGCAAATTATTCTACACAAATGGCTGTTATTGACCTTACAGATAAAAATCACCCAGTCACTCAATAAATGACAAAATACAATTAGTGTTTTTCTTGATCTGTCCAAAGCATTTGACACCATTGATCACGATATATTACTTAATAAACTGTCAAAGTATGGGCTTAGAGGGATTGCCCTGGACTGGTTTCGAAGTTATCTTTCTGATAGAAAGCAATTTGTCGAGTGGGAGCATCAAAGATCAACATTCCAAATAATTAAATGTTGTGTCCCCCAAGGCTCAATATTAGGTTCCATTTTGTTTCTCTTCTATATAAATGATTTATACAATTCTTCAAATACATTGTCTTATATTTTATTTGCTGATGATACTACTATCTTCTACAGTTGTGACAATTTACAAGTAGGTTTGAGAATTGTGCATAGAGAACTACAAAAAATTTCAATGTGGTTAATCACAGTAACAAATTATCCATAAATTTGAAGAAAACTGCTTGTATGTACTTTATTAATACAAATAAAGACATTGAATCAAATATTTATATTAATGATTTAATAATACAAAAAGCAAGCAGCGTAAAGTTCTTAGGAATTATCACTGACGATAAGGTTTCTTGGAAAAACCACTGCCAAAATGTGCACATGTCCATCTCAGGAAATCTTGGTGTTCTTAGAAAACTGAAACACATGTTACCCCCACAGTCTTTTATCTTTGTATAATACATTAATTTTACCTCATTTACAGTATGGTGTATTAGCTTGGGGCAATACTTACCAACTATATTATACTAAAACAAAAGTTATGTTGTTCAAAAGAAAGCCTTAAGACTGATTAATAAATCAGGTTATAGATCACACACTGGACCTCTCTTCTTAAAATTCAAATGTCTCACTATCTTTAATATTTACAAATATCATTTGGCCTTTTAATGTATAAATTTGAGCGCCAGATCCTTCCAACAGCCATACAGACTATGCTTACTTTAAACAGTTCAATCCATAATTATAATACAAGATTGTCATTCAAGTTTCACATCTTTAGTGTACGAACAAGTTTCTCCAAATCAACTGTAAGACACTAAGGCCTGATTTTATGGAATAGCTTAAACTGCCTATCACCAACATGTACCGTGTATCAGTTCAAGAAAAATCTTCAGCGTTTCTCACTTACCAGTGATTTGAACTCATAAATATTCATGATACTATTTACATGCATTACTGAAGACCTAATTCCTAATCCTTGACTGCCTTAATCCTAAACCAACTAGATGTATTTGTATTGTAATGAGACAATTTAATGTAACTTATTTTTTGTCAAAAACGTGTAGAAATGAAATGTTCATTGTAAGACGGGGTGTGGGGTCTCGTATAGGCCTTGGCTTTTTTCCCAGCATCCTACATCTTCGTTTATTGTAAATGAATTAAAATTTAAATAAAATTGTGTATCTTGTATCTTGTTACTGTGAATTTATTTTCATTGTTCATCGACCTGCAATGTTAACAAAGATGTAAAATAAACCAAACCAAAAAGTACTCAAGTACAAGTGCAAGTACAACACTGGAACAGAAACCACACATAAAAATTCCAAAATTTTTTGTGCTTTCTTTGGGTCACAAAAGGCATTCTTGTGAGACTCTGAGCAGAAAGGCCCTTCCGGTTTTTATTGACAAGAGATTTTCCATGGTTTGCGAGTAATCCAAGTGTAGATGCAAAAAATAATAACCATGATGGAATTACAACAGGCAGTAACTTTTACAATTTTGAGTCTTATGTGAGTGCAGCTTAAGAGTTTAAGTCAATTAAAGTACAAGTTTGAGGGAATCACTTTGATAAGCATTGCTTCAGCATAAAGTTTTCTACGCATTTTCACGCTCTCCCAACAGCTTTAACAAAATATTACTTTGGTACAGAATTGTAGAATCATCATCGGGTGTTTTTATGAAGGGAACATTGCAATGAATTTTTGTTAGAATCACTTTTTATGTATATTTAAACTCTTCTGCAATGAAAGCTTACTGGTTGAAATCTTTTCGGAGTTACAGTAACCTGTGAGTGCACTTTTTAATCAAAATTGACCAAGGTTTTTTCAGACAAGGGAGGGCACTGTTGGTGTGATTTGAATCCAGGGAGACAATGTTGAGTTTCCATGTTTTCATGTTTAAATTTTGAAGCCCCACATTTGCTCAATTTAAACAACTCTGAAAAAAGGTTATTGACAAGCATATAATATAACATCAGTGGTCTGAAACACACAGGGCAAGCAGATTCAGTTGTAAACTGAATCTGCTTGCCTTGAAGAATACTCAGTTACCGAAAACTCGGCAATTACATGTTTCAGAGCACTGATTTTTATATTATATTCTTGTCAATGTTCTGATCACGGTGCTACGCAGCCCTTCCATATTTCTCTGAGAGACAGTTGCTCACTTGCTTGTTGCCATATACTTACAACAATAAATTGCCAAAGGAAATGGAACTCTTCATTGGTGAAGTGTAAATATTTTAGCAATTTTTTTTAGCTCAAATCAGTGCAACATTGAGGTTCAGTGCCTGGGAAGAGGTTTGCTCTCTGGTCTATGCAAATTCATATTAGAATAAAAGCCAAAAAGGCCCCAAAATACCGCTAAAATTAGCAAGCCAAAAATGAAAATACGGTTGACTGAAACACAATGGTGAAATTTCACGGACTTTAGACAAACATAAATTACATGGTCCCTTTAAATCCAAGGTCACTATCTTCTACCAAGGAGTAGTTTTTAAGGGTGATATTGGAAATTCAATACTAACCTGTTGTCAGATGAGAGGACGATGTAGAAACAGACTGTGGCAACCCACTTGATGACCAGCCCAATGCTATGCACAGAAAGAAATCAAACTGACAGAACACTTGCAATTCTTTCTTTGATCGGTCAAGGATTAGCTTGGCACTAACTCCACTCTCCAGGGCTATAGGCTAAAACTTGAATTTCTCGACTTGGTCACGATGGTTTTTCCATAAAGTCAACTCTGTGATTCCAAACAATTACAAAAACTTACATGCTTTCTTTGGGTTTTTGGATTCTCTGTCAAAGAAAAAAAATAATTTACTTTCTCAATTCCTCTTAAAGGCACAAATAAACACAAGGAAAATGAAGACACTGAACGTCCAATCAACATTTACTGGTTGGTCTTAGTCTGACAAATTTTGAACAGAAAGTGCTGGGAAACAATGCAATCAGCTCAAAGTATTCAGGAAGTCACTACTCAAACAAAATGAACTGGCTCGGATCCCTACCAGAAAAATGGCCAACCATAAAAAAGATGACAGCAATCACCACACAGAATGCGATGACTATGGCAGCTATGACAGTCATCCGAGAACACACTGGGCAGCTGGTGCTGCTGGGTTGGCTCAGGTATCCTTGCTCTTTGGACAGTGGCTGGCTGAACTTGACCAGTCCACCATCTGGTTCGAAAGCTGGGTTGTGGTAACATCCTTCTTCTAAAGTGCTCTACAGACAGGGACGATAAGTTGTGAATATCCAGCAAGAGTCTTAGACGCTGTCAAGACTGTCCAATGATTAGTTCAATGCAGTCTAGGGTCAGGTCCTAACCTGTTAAGAAGTCCAACAAAACGTGAAATTTTTCTTCATCCTAAATTGCTATTTTCTTCTCACTCTTTCTTGTTTGTTTTCATAGCCTCAATGGGCTGACCATTAATATGTGAGCTTAAACATCGTAAATGGTGCCTATAATTTAAGTATTCAGTTGAAGAAAGTTGATGATCTCAATTATTCCATAGGGCCTACAAATCGACGCAAAAAACAGACATGACAGATTTTCCCTGGTTCCACTAAAAACACTCAGATGTACAAAACCCCGTCATCTCAACATACCTGCAGTGCAAGCAAACGACAAAGGGCCGTGTGAGTTTACATGTAGGTACTGAAATGTTTGACCACGACGTTAGAGCAAGGAACATGGTTTGACCAAGGACAATCATGATGGATAGTTGGAATATATATAAAACTGTGAATATGGCAAACGCGTACGGCCCCTATCGACATGCATGGTCAAACAGCTTCTTGACATCTTGTATCTCTGTGGTTGTAGCTGGCTTGAGGTACGGATCACTCCTTCATTATCAATTAATAGAAAGAGAAATATGCAATGACATCAGTTTAAAAAGCACAGGGTCTAGTTCGACGGATCTCACAGCCGGCCGTACTCGACAAGCACGTGTCACCTTGCTGCTGAGCGCGTACTGCGCCCTCTAACGACTAAATAATTAGACCGCCGTGCTTGTTGCTTGTCCCATTTGCAAATACGAGCGTTTCACAATATTGCGCCTCGAGTTTGCAACGCGTTGGCCAATCACAATGACGCGAAATTTGTCCACTCAATGTGCTTTTTGAAAGGGTCGACAAATTTCGTGCGTTGTGATTAGCCAACGCGTTAGAAACTCTTGAAGGTGCACTATTGTGAATCGCTCGTATTGATTCACGTGCACTTGTACAGCGGTGTTTGGGGGGAGAAAAATGGTTTATTGCCAGTCTTGAGAAAAGCCTAACCTACACACCTCATGGCAGCTTCCCGTGTAAATACATGTATTGGACTTTACTACCCTTGGGAAAAAAATCCTTTTATTCAAAGTCGAGTTTCCCCAACATGCATATGTTGTGTGAAAAAATATATCGCAGCCGAGGGCGCGGACCGCGACGTCCTCAAGTACATAAAAAATCTTCGCCCCCGTCGCCCCCAATGAAAATTTGTATAAACGAAGAAATACACTGTATTAGTATTACTAAGAAAACGCAGTGAGACTTGCGCCCCCGACTGTCACTGTTACATCGAGTCCCCACCATGGGCGTCGCGACGGGAGGGCAAGAGGGGGCACTTTCCCCCTTGAAAAAATGGGCGAACATCAAAAAAAAGTAAACAAAAATAAGCGAGGAAATGGGGTGAAAGTCATGGATTTGCTTTAGAAATATCGCCTTCCCCCTTCATGTCGTTTTTCATTTTACCACTAGACCTAGCTTGCCCTCGATAAAATCCCCACCCAATGGGAAATAATGGTTGCCCCCCTTGGACAAAATCCTAGCGACGCCCATCATCCCCACTCTGCCTCAAACAGATGTGTTTAGTGAGAACCGCAGCTACGGTACTTCCCCGGCCTCACGAATAATTAAACATCCTGGATGGAAGGTACCTCCACGACCGTGACGGGAACGCAAGTTTAGTAGGATATGACAACCTTAAGCCCAAAATCAAACAGTCATTATGACTCAAACTTTCAAGGAAAAAGGTCAGATATAAAATAACCCCCAACCATAGTAGGTGCGATATCAGTCACACAAAGGATAGCTCATCCGTCAGCCTGGGTGTCACCCCCAACCTGCCAAATTTTGAAACAGTTCATCTGATGCAAGTCAAGGAAAAATAGGACAGTTAAGCCTATTGCTAGAAAACTGCACAAGATCTGATGTTTCAGAAAGTACAGAAAAGTGCAGACCATCTGGGTCCGACATCATGTAGATTTACTTTGGGCGCGTCCTAGTCATAATAGGCCTAATATTCCATGCACTCTGGTTTTATGATATTGATGGCTAAGAAACTACTTCTCCTTGGAAACAGCACATAATGCTAAGCCAGCAAAGTCACAATAAATGTTGGTTGGTCATTTTTCAAAATTGAAGACTGAATATGTGTATCATAAATTGCCTCTTCAAATACGTCTATAGTAATTACGTTTTCGAAAAGTTTCGGCCTAGCTGCATACGGTTTACTATTTCTTTCTTATGAACTTCAAGTCTGCCATGGAGCGTGTGAAAAACTCTGAAGTCCCGATAATGCGGTGATTTTTCAGCACCTACTCTGGAGCGGTATTTTAATCATTTATAACACTCATCATCTGTCCTTTTCACGGGTTACCAACGTAAACAGAGAACGAGCACACATGACCAGAAAAATATAGCTCTCCAAACAGCAGCGCAATGAGGGCTTTTTAAACCAACAAACAAAATGATCTCGTGGGTCAAAGGTCATTTCATCGCTGACCTCTATACCACGGCTGTTCCAGTGGAAGGGTTGAACTGACGAAAAGTGTTAGTCGACTAAAAGTATCATCCGTTGGTAACAGATGGTTGGTGTTTACTTACTACAGCAGCATAAGTTATGACCAACTGACCAAGTTTTATATGAGCTGTAAGGGGGCTACCCACACCTACACAGTGGGTGCGTTCGATTAGCTTACACGTGTTAGTCAAACTTACACCAGATCGTTCGTTTAGCAATCACGTGATCTTCGTGCCTGCTCTGGTGTCAGCCACCACTACCCAAGCTGGCGAGCGGGTCTGTGGAGGCTCCCGAGTGTAATGACGTCACGGATGGACTGTTCGTGCATATTGACATGATGGAACTTGGCGGGGACTTGATCTTTTTCCCAGAATGCCTTGGCGAATACACTGCAGCGTTCGATTCGCCTCATTTCGAGGCTTCCCTCGTGTGTAACACTGGTGTATTCAGGGAAGCTAATCGAACGCACCCAATATGGACCTTTTTTCACCCACGTGAGTGGGTAAAGGTAAACAATACCACCACGTGTGGACCGCCATGGCCACGGTGATCGCATATCATTATTCCTAGCTTCAACCGCGTACAAGCGCACGTGCGAACGCTGCATTCTTGACCAGTTTATCTTGAATAAGTAGATTACCGTCACAATACTATCCACTTATTGCAATCACAACAATCACGGTCTAGGGTCACGATTGCAGGAAAAAGGTCTATAGTAAACAGTCCTATTGCCACAGGTGTTTTGTGCGTCGTATTCGTTATTAAATGAACAGTTTTGATTGGTTGAAAGTGTGTTAGTTTGACATACGTGATCTCTAGGACGATCCATTGATTAAGTTCGGGTGTTGCAGCTTTTTATTATGATGACTGGCTGGTGCCATTTTGTATAATGCTTTACACAAAAACTGCTTCATGGGAATGAAAAATGGCATGTGAATTACTGATAGACAGATAGATATATTTATGTATAATAATTATGACAGGAGTGAAAGAAAGTATAACGCCTCAGGTAAAATGTACGTGCCCATGAATTTATGTCTGAGATGTTGGTAAACACGGTATTCCAATAGCTAGGGAAATAAGAGCGCGTTGCGTTCAAAGCCGGGCCATCATTATGCATGAAACTACCAATGTGGTTTTTCTGACCATGACTTTCAGGCATCCAGAACATCGATTACACGCATGATTTCATTTCCCCTCGTAAAGTAGGCCCGTTGACAGCAACGGACTTTTGGTCCAGCCCATAAAATGGCTGCTTTCAGTGCTGGCTAGAGGCATTTTTGTGTACCGTGATCACTCAAGAAAACACCATTGGGGAACGCGAATCCCGCGATCCGAGAACTTCAAAGGGACATAACCGCTTTTATTTGAGGTGAATGACTTTGAAAATTCAGGGTTTTCACCGGAACGGTATTCTTCATGCACGGTAGGACTACCTCGCGTATTATCACCAAGCATATGTGCATCCTGTGCGGAAAGAACAAGAAATTGAAACTAACAGCTTCGACATTGTGATTGCCCCATACCGATTATAATTTCACAAATTTTGAATACCACCCGGCATTGAACATTGACCGGAGCAAAGCACTTTGTTGGAGGGGAGGGGGAAGGGGAAAGTACCCATCAATAACGAACTGACAAACCTTAACAGTGGAAGGGGTCAAACTTACGCTTTTATGTCCCTGTCGATTTTTGTCACTTCTTAAGCATTTTTCTTTCTCCCCCCCCCTCATGTTTTCTGGTTTTTTTCCGAGGGAGAAGCGCCCTTTTGTTCCCTTTGCGACGCCCATGCAGCCTGGCCAGGCTAAGGATAATTGCATGTGTTGGCAATTAGAACTAAACCAACCAAAAACCTGGGAATGATACGAGCATCGTGTAAAGTACAAGACCAGACAGCCAACTTCGTGGAAAGGTTATGCCTCAGTCGAACACACGCATGCATTTTGATTGAAATGACAGATTCTGTGGAAATTGACAATTCAATTTCCATGGGGGAATGATTGACCTTTTGAACCTGTGGAAAGACGTGAACTTCACAGTAGGTGGAAACAAGATCTATTTTCCCTGCGCTGCAAAGTCGTTGCAACATGATGAAGCTATCAATTTGATGTTGCCAACGGCGCAATTTATACCCCATCGAATGTTACATCACTGGGACTCGATAATTTGGTTTCAAAATAGGTGTAAAGTGCAAATGCATTTCTTGTTGGCTGAATTTTTGCTAAGAATAAAAAAAGAAAGTGGAGTTTTCACTAATTCTGCTTGTTGTTTTCATTTATATTTCGACCTCCCCCCCAAAAAAAAAACAGATGCTGTAAGTTATACTTCGCAGTTTCACTCAGATTAAACGGGTATAAAGCCCACAGAACATAATCGCCTGGTGATTAACAAACACGGGCGTCACTGTGACAAGGGGAGAAGGGCAAGCACAGTACCGTGGGAAAAGGGGTAAACAGGGGGTGGGTATATAAAAAGGGGATGAAGATCACCAATACAGGCTTTGTATGGGATCCATCTTCAAGCGCACTTCTTGTTCCACATGGAACCCCCTTTGTACATATCCTGTCGAACAAAGACACTGGCGTGCAAGATGGCAGCAATGCAAACCCTCTATTTACTTAAAGAAAAAAAATCGAAAGTGGCCCCTTTCCACCATAAATTGTTTATTAGTACGTTACTCGTGAGTGCTTTTTCCCCTTCCCTGGAAACAAGTGCTTGATCAACCCCCCCCCCATAATTTATGGCGACGCCCACGCTGGCATAGATTATTCCTATACATGTAACTGAAATTGTCGTGGTAGTTTTGCTTGTCAGACCAAATGTAATTAAAGAGCCCCAGAAACCACCTTTAACATGTCTTCTACCCATAGGGACTGTTAAAATACAATCACGAAGCTACGCTCCATCTAAGGGACCCTATATTTGGAAGTGAATTTTAGGCATATGGGCTGAGATACTTTAGAGGAGGTCTGAAGCTGTTGATAGCATGGACAAATTTTCTCTATTTGTCGCTTTTTTAAATTCAGTGCTCAAAAATTCCACTCCAGGTCTGAACAAACGGACCGACAAACTGACCATGCAGACCACCAACTGACAGACCGGGTCGACTAACAAGTGACAGCGCCTTAGAATGTACTGACACACTGGTTGACTGGCACAGGATCCCAAATGAAGACCCAGGACAGAACTGAAGAATGAATTTGCATTGGATCGACAGAAATCTTTTTTTGCTCCAGCGCAGACAGACGACAAAATGAGCCTTTTCAAGTCAATATGCCGTCTGCCTACCGACTGTAATCCTCGGAGAGGCGACGCCAAGCAGAAAGGCTGACTTTGCTTTGCCGGCTCTGCACTTAGCCACTGAGCCCTCATTTTTTTCTTACTCTAACCGACCTTAATGAACCCACTCTGGTCTCAAGATCTCTGCGTGCGCGCACCTGTCGAATGCTATGAGATCCCTGACCTGGGGGCCACTAAAACTGCTCTTAATCTTAATGTCCCACTGGAGACAACTTGGATAAAAGGCAGCAAATAAAATGTTTTTTCTTTGATATATCATGGCAGTATAAAATTATATTTCATTACAAATTCCCCATTAAATGTCAAGACATTAAAGTTTATGTTGCGCTCTGATATTTGCTATATGGTTTTGGGCAGACAAGCTTGCATGACCAGCTTCGTAACAATAATTTCCTGACGATTGATCAGTGGAAGAAGTAATTTTTCAGGTACGTGACAGAATGGATATTCCGAGAGATATTGGGTTTATAGGGGGTCAGAAGAAGTTTGAAAAATGTCTGTGAACATAAATCATTTATTTGACATTTATTTATGCTTTCTTCACATCTCACAACGAATTACTACCATCAACAAACTGTAAACGTATAAAACATCTCGCGTGTTTTATAACAGGGAAACAGTGCATAAATCCCCATGTGCACTATTTGTAAATAACATTAAGACACACCCACATTGTTGGTGCAGATCAGAAGTTCACACAGGAAGTTTGAAGTGTTTTCCATCCTGCAGCTATTAGCAGATTTGACGGTCTGCATCTTTACTGCATCTGTACATCTCTATTCACTACGATTCCCTGTGAATCTGTTGCTATAAGGTGCGTGTAACCAGTTCCACGCAATTTAAAATAATGTTGATTTTGAGCAGTGGCAAGATTGTAGAACGCTATTTAAAAATGACAAGTGCGTGTAACATTTTAAATTCAATTCTCATGGCTTGTAAATGGAATGATGATCACAGCAATTTTCTATGCTTGTTTGCGAAATGCGTCAAAGTGATTCACAATGACTGTCTCTTGTCCTCTAGTCAGCGATGTACACCATAACTGCCAACTGGAAAGCGTAAAATTTGAGAAAATCCGAGATAAATCACTTTCCTTACCTCGTATTCCTTATCAAGAAGCGTGCCATCCACCGGGATCGCATCAGATTCATCCACCGCAGTCACGCCGCTGTTCTGAGCTGAGCCATCCTGAGCGCCGCTGTTCGTTGTCAAATTGGCGTTAGCGTCTGTTGACTGTTGGTTCTTGTCTCTACTGTCGTGCCCGTCTTTTCCACCAGCAATCGGTTGCATGGACAGCTCTGTAGGACACTGCAGTGCTTTCTCGTGTCCAATGTCGGTGTCGCTCAAAGATGCCAGGTTCAACGTAACCCGTTCACTCAAAACCTCGGTCATTTCGTCCGCGTGACTTGCTAAGACATCCCCAGTGGGAATCAAACTTCAGTTTATTTTCCTGATTTTTGCTCAATCTTCACAACGTAGGGGATTGTGTTCGCGTCAGTACACCAGCCGTCAGTGTTGAACTGGGATTACCGTCAAGTCATAGCAAGCCATAATTCAAAAGTACCAAGAATCACCACGAGCACTTGGAACTATATACGCCGAACAGTTCCATCAACAGAAGTGGCCCTTTGCTTTATCGCCCGAGCTGCTGTCAAACTGGCCTGCAACTGCTCTCCCTGGCTGATGTGTCGTCACGTTCTGGCATGGAAATGCCAGTCCTGGCCCATTTTCAAAAATGCCAAAACCAACACCCTGATTTTTTTCGTCAGGCCAAGAACGTTGTCATGGTAGCCATTTAAAGATGACTTATTTTCCTTTTGGGTGGGAATGGTGGAAATAAAGGTGGCTTGTTCTAAACGTAAACTTACCTCGATGAAAGACAAGGAGGATCTGTTGGCCCTGACCGAGCGATGGTGTCAGCTGAGAGATCAAAGATCAAACGCTTTCTCCAACTCGCAGTGGCGTAAATCTGTGTTGGAAATTGGGGGGGGGGATAGGGGATGACTTACCCGGCCATTGAAATTTAAAAATGGGGGGGGGGGAGCTATAGCATTTACACTATATGGGGGCGATGTTCATCATAAAGATGTGCACCTGTAATGTGTACCATATTTAAGCAGAATCTTACATCCGAATGGTATATTTATGGCTTTTTAAAAATTGCTTTCCCTTTTCACTGACGCTACATATCCCCATCATATGGTGATATATCCCCCCACCCCCCCGGGATTTACACCCATGCAAACTCGCAGTGATATTTTTGCATAGGCGACAATCGGTACTTACCCAGTGTGACTTCGTTAAATCTGTTTATAATTCAAAGAGAATGGACAGATAAATGTTTGATTCTGTTTGTTGGCGTGCAAAAGAGCTAAAATGACTTTGCTTGAGAAGCCTTTCCGGTTGTTTTTCTAATTTCGTTTTCTTCTCTTTTTTGGGTCCTGAGGAGGGCCGTGATTGGGTGCGCTATCTATAGCATAGTGCACATCGAGCACTGACATTTACGTTTTTACAATATATGGCCACCTGTTACATATTAGATTAATTTCGGCCCCCCCCCCGAAAATGTGTCTTTCCAAACCTTTTTACCTGTAATCCCGGCGCCGACACCTCAAGTATTGCCAGGCTAGTGAGTCATTTCATGGAGGTATATAAACACATTATGAAATAAATTAAAGAAAGGGGATAATTTATAGACAATACTTTCAAATTTCATGCTGGTCATGTTTGTCATCAGTCATTAAAAAAAATACGTTGACGATTGCGTACAGCTTTCTGCTGCGTGACATGGCTATCGATGTTGAAGCAAAAAAAAAAAAAAAAAACCACCTGATATCCCGCAAAACGTACAATGGCAACTTGCTACTGGTGCATTTCGTCTGAAACTCACACAGTTAAAAGTAAACACATCCGACGTATTTTGTGTCATAATAAACAACAGACAAGCATGGTGCTTAAAAGCCCCGTGAGTAAGTAACCGTGGTCAACTCAAAATAGTAGCTGCAAAGATTTAAGGGGTTACGTATAATAACTGCAAAGATTTCAGGATTTTGAGACCCCATCCTAAACTTGATTGATTCCACACCTGAGATTTCTGTGACCTGTTTTATGCACGAATGTTATCACAAAGAGTGCAGGTTGCCGTATTAAAGGTACAGTCCATCATTTGTCATCTGTGCATTATGCTCGTTTTAGGCGACAAACGTGCTTTGAAAGAAAGGCGCATGTCTAACTAACTTGATACAGTTTCAACTCTGTGAATGCTGTACATTCCGGGCTAACAAAAAACAAAACAATATTCTAGGATCTCAATTTCGAGTCATCAGCGTCCGGGAACACGTCTCATGCAACCAAATGCAGCAATGACATGCCACACAGCAGTCAACGCTTAAAAACGAGCTATGCGTGTTTAACATTATGGTTGGAAAAAGCTGTCTTTCATTGTTTCCTTCAAAATGATAACTTCCCAGACAGAATGATTTCACAGGGAGTTCAGTTCCATAACAATCGTTAAAACCAATCATGCTTTTCAGCAACATGTGTCATTTATTTGGGGGATAATTGCACATTATCGGCTATTCCTTTAATTAAGGCCGTTCTCAAACTGGCTGGGTTTTCTGCAAGACCGAAAGTGCACGCCAGTCATATCGGGGGAATTACCGAGAATGATCTTGTGAGCTCTGGTTAGGCTAGAAATTCATATCATATATCATAATTTATCGCTTCACCTCGATCCCCGGTCTTACCCTCCCACCCACCGAGACTTCAGCTAGCTCAGCATCGAGGTATTACGGTTGACTCCACTTGCCGTCCCTGGCTCCATGTTCACTCAAAGCTACGGTGGCTGATCTTCGCCAGGAATACACTTTTTTATTTTACGGCGCTATAGCGCCTAATACAGCGTTATAACGCCCTATTAAGGCGTTATATGGCCCTAATTTATGGCGTACTAACGCTCTTTTACGGCGTAATAACGCCCTATTTTTAAGGCGTAATATTACGCCCTATCATGGCATTATAACGCACAATTGCGGCGCTTTTATCACATACCTTGCAAGATTCGAACCGTCCAAGGATGGCCACAGTAACTGCAAATACTATGCGCATAAGCGGAGCCACGTGTGTCGCCGTACAGTGTTATTACGTCGTAAAATAGGGCGTTATAACGCCTTAATAGGGTGTTATTACACCGTAAAAGGGCGTTTATTACGCCCTAAATTAGGGCGTTATTGCGCCCTATAGCATGTTATAATGCCCCAACAGGGCGTTATTACGCCATAAATTAGGGCGTTATAACGCCGTATTAAGGCGTTATAACGCCGTAAAATAAAAAAGTGTATTCTTGGCGGTGATCAGCCACCGTACAAATCTCTGCATCATGTCCAAACTCAAAGCAATCAAGCACAAAACATCAACTTTTGTCATTACCATACAACGCAGAAAACAGACCATTAGACCTAAGAAAGGTTCAGACATCTTGGCAGGGCACAATAACTTTTGATTATTTATTTATTCCATACCTCATTTCCTTGATTAATGAACAAATATATAGTAATTAACAACGGCTTACACAGCAAAAAGATAACTGGTGGGTAGCAGAAAACTTGTACCTTCTTGGCCAAGCCCAAATAAGAACAGGTGCTTGCATGGGCGTAAATTCCAGGGAATGGGATATCTCCCCATACACTTTTTGAAGGGGGAGGGTGGGTTATTGAATTATACCCCCCATTCTTTTGTGGTGAGCAAAAAATTAAAGTGGATTGTGAAGAATTTTTCAGACTTCCCAACGACTAAAATAAATGCAATATCTCTGAAGAAAAAGGGAAAGCAATTTGAAAAGCCACAAATATGCCATTTTGCTGTAATATTTTGAATGAAAATTTACAAATTTACGCCACTGGGTGTTTGCATTAAGCAAAATTGACTTAAACTGAAACTATAGCTTCAAAACATATTCACTTTTGTCAAAGACCTAAGTTCTGTTTAGAAGGAAAGTTTTGTCGTTTATTAAAAAATGTTTGAGAGATTTAGTGTAAAATTATTTGTAATAAAACGAAGTGCAGTTATTGGTTTTGGATACCTTCGAGAAGTCTCCATCTTTAATTAAACTGAGTCTTCATGGGTATACATTTTAAAACAAGCTGAAAAATTCACGTGCCAAAAACGAGAAGCTGGCCTGTACAATTTCAGAAAGTGTTTTCTTGGGCAAAGGAAATGGGATCCTGCAAACTAGTAGACCATTTGTTACAAAGCCACAAATAAAGCGAACACGTCGCAATGAGCAGTATTTTCAGGTGAATTGTTGCAATTGCAACAAATAATGTTTCAACTTTCCACGGGCTCTCTCCGGAGCAAACTCACCCCTGCTTGTTTCAAACTACTGGTCACACCCCAGGGAATGTGTCTCACCCCAGAGATGAAATTTTCCCTGGCAGGGTTCAACTCACCCTGGGGAAAGAACAATCTTGGGTGTGGCTCAGGGTAATGTAGGCAGGGGTGAGAATTTCACTTAACGTGTGAAATGTGACAACAGGAGCTCCGGGGTGATTATCCTTCCTGAGTGTGATCACGGAATACTCACACAGGTACTCTGCAGTGAATAAAACCTTACCTGATCCGAGTCCACTACTAGCACGGGGAAACTTAACCGTCGGACCGTGGTTGGAGCATGACATGCTTGAGTCATAGCTTGAGTACGGAGCTCACTAAAAGGGTCGGTTGGAGGGACCTATAGACCTTTCCCGGTCGCTGCGGGCTTGCCTTGGTAACAAATTATGTGCTATGCGCGCGCACCCGCTCTCGCTGCCGCCCCAGCGCTCAGCAGACAAATTATTTAAGGCCCCCCCCCTTTCTTTTGAAACAGGAGATTTTTAGGCAGAAAAAAATGGTTTTCGGGAAATGCAGGCCAGGATCAACTCCCTGATCTTGGGAACCATAGCCTCGGAGCCGCAACGCCAAAAAAGGAAACCTTTTCTCCACGCGGAGAAAATCATCACCACATCAGTTCCCCGAGTACCCGGTCATGTCTGAACCTGTACGACTGTTTTATAGTAGCTGATACATCCCCCAGGTCTCCTCTCTTACTACATTTCATTATGCTGCTATGGAAGTACATTTGTAGCCATGCCCCAATATATCCCTGAGCGGCGAGGCGGATTTTTTATTTTTACAACCAGGTCATTCCCCGGTCATATGGGGCGTCTTTGGGATACCGATCTTTCAAAAAGTCTTACTCTGCAGTGGTTGGGGTCTGGCCAATGGGATTCTACAGGCTTGTGGTGTATGCCCGAGGTGAGGATTACATGAAATCTTTGCCAAATCGGCCCTTTGGGAAAAAAACCGCGGGGTTGCCACCAGGCAGAGTTGATTAAGGCATAGTTGATAACATGACAGATGAAAAGCGGTTCTCAATGCCCCAGAAAGTTACAGGGGCAGTAGTTGCAAAAGGAGACACGCGTTATATCCTGAATATCTATACTTTATTCAACTTCATTTGCCATATGTCATGTCTTGTGAATGTGATTTTTTTATAGACTCAAGTATAAATAATTTAGAATATACACATGACATCTCTAATGTTCTGACCTCCTTTTCCGACTATTTGAAAAATGACTGCGAGCAGGCTTGGGAATTAGTAGGGGAAATGGGGGGAATGAGTTTGTTTTTGAATGGATGATCAAAATTGTAATTAGCCTTAGCCAACCCATCCAAAATTGCAAACAAATGAAAAGGCTAAGGACAAGACAAAAATTTAATTTTTGTTAGAGAAACGCCGGTAATGTCAACTTGCATGTTTTTCAGGCGTGAACTTTGTTGATTTACCGCTGTTCTCAAAGGAGCTTGAATTAGTGGACTACGCCCTTAAAGTGTGGTTGAAATGAATTTTTCTTCTACCCGAATTTTCCGCAGTTTATACTCTTAGTTCTTAAATGCACGAAATTATTTTTTCATCCCTGTTTACTTAAATTTTTGAAAAGTGCAAATTTCAAAACATTCAAAATGCCATTGCCTTCCTGGATAACTTTAATATTGCGCTGTCTGATCATGGCTGTCATGCACTTTTCAAGGGTGGGGCATAACCTTGATTAGAACAAATACGAGCCTAAGGGCCGCAGAGAAGTTTAGATTGAGATGTTTTGTAGTGCGATCTGAGGCAATTTCTGACCATTTTCACATTTTAGCAAATGCTTTTCAGCACAAGTTTTATTTCCTTTTTTCAAATGTTTTTTTTAATCAGCAATACGAGTCAAATGCATGCCTATCTCCCTTTTCATTTGTTACAAAGGATAAAGGGTCCGAAGAAAGTCTTGGGGACAAACGGTACATTAGTCCACTTTAAAAATCCCACCACCCCTTCTCCATCGATTGACGCTCGTGCATGATGGCTGTGATGCCACCCAACCCGCGCAGAAGAATGCGAAAGGTTTTCTGTTCAAATTGTGAACCCAATATCAACTCTGTGAAAACCTTTCTGAGAAAGGGTTGCATGCTTGCTTATTGCTTGGTGCTTTGCAAAGAGTCACTAAGAAAAGGAAACTGGGACTAGCAAAATCTGAGAACACCTACCAACTGTTTGTGCACAAAGCAATACAACTTTGAGATTCTTTTTATTGGATGACATCAGTTTTGCTGATGAATTCGGAAATACTCATTAGCTTTAAGACCACGAAGGCAGCAAAATACCCTTTTTGAGGTTTGTATTAACGATCTTCATTCCAGCTACATTTCCAATTTCAGGTTGCACTCACTAATTTTGTCTCACAGAGCTGTGTGCAGAGAAAGAGAGAGAAGGGTCAACTTCAGACTTCGAAACAAAACAAAAAACTGATCATGATTGGTGCCTTGAAGTCACAAACATACTTCTGGTTAGGAGTTACCAAGACAAGCCCCTAGAAGAATTGAGGGTAGGGCTGTTAATCACAAAGAAAATTTAACAGAGTTATCAAATGGTAACATTTAAGCTTCTGTACTATACGGACCGATAAGGAAAGCGGGGCGCTTTGAAAGATAGCAGACCTATTTGTTATAAATTCACAAAACGCAACAATGCTATCTCGAACACTGTCATTTCACTATTCACATGTGATGGTAGAAACACGATGTAATGCTCATGTAAAAACTGATTCGTCTCATTCCATGGCATCGCAGTTGCTGTGTAAACGTATTTCCCGATGCAAAATGCAGTAATCTGTAAATGAACATACCTGCCTTTTTCATTTCGAGAGGTCGTTGATAACACTTGTCAACGTATGTATTTCAGTACGTGGCTGTGTATGATATGCTCTGTAACTTACAAGCATACAGGATCAAATGGACAATGGTTAGCATGACCATGGAGGAATAAAACACATTCCTCCATGGCATGACTAGACCGATCACTTTTTTACAGTTTTATGATCCCATAAAATAAACAATCCTCAGGCAACCTCCCGCTATGTAAATGAAATGACTTCTGAAAATCATCTGCAGTATTGAAGCCATTGATTCCCAGCACTCCTTCAAGACTCTGACAGTGACATTATCGGGCCCAGATGTCTTGTTTATCTTACGTTTCTGAAGCAATTTTTTGATACAAGGTGTAGGGATGGTCAAAGTGGGTACGTCCCGAACAGAGCGGTGGCCAATGTCAGGAATGTGAGACAGATCTTCTTTTGTAAGAATGGAGCGAAACTGTTGTTTAGGGTCGATCTCAGCCTTCTCTTTTGCCCCGCCGACAAAGCCTTGTTTGCCGCTTCACAGCTCTCAATCTCAAAGCACGCAAAGTTTCAAAGTTGAAAAAGCGTTTAATTGAAAGAATAAAGTAAGAAAAACGTTTTAGCTTTGTTTGACAGTTCACATCTTTTCAATCTTGAAGCACTCAACATTTCAAAGTAGGAAAGATTTTGCAAGAACTCCTTCACAACATCCCACATACTGCAAACAAACACTGTCATATTATGGACTTCAGAGACCTTGGAAAGCAACATGTCACTGGCTGCCGCCGTGTTTGCTGACGACCTCACGAACAATGATTGACTTAAGTGACCCGACACCGTCATTAATCTTTTGTTTTAAAGGCAGTCATGCTTGACAAAAATCCTCATTCCTTTCATGTTCTGACATAAACAGTATGCACTGTAGTAATGAAAATTGAAAATTATGCTCAATCACAGAGAATGGTTTTTACTGAGGCAGCTTTCAATCCTTTTTTAAGCACAAGTTTGAGGCTTACAGCATGTATACTATATCTATTAACAGGCAAATTTATTCAATTTCAGAACTGTCTGTAACACATACCATGTGCATATAAAAAGATAATCCATCAGATAATTTTTGAATAAAGACATATTTCAGGTGACAACAGTAAGACTACAAATAGCAAAAGTTACAGTAAAAAAGTCGAACGATGGTGCAATATAATGCACATATTGAGTTGTAACACGGAGGAGCTAGTAACAACAATCCACTTCGGCACTTCTTTTACATGTGCATAGCTACGTCTGTACATGCACATCGATCAGGCTTACATGTTATGGTACACAATGGAAGGAAAATCATAACTGCAGACCATATCAGGATGATCTCTCACACTAAGGTGCTGATCAATTGTTAATGTCTTTGCCAAGTGACAAGGTGATCAAGATGTGTATATGTGATCCCCAAATGGGTATACATGTATGGCTCTGTACACCGTTGTTGCCACTGATGGGCGAGAAAGTGCAATGACCTAACAGGTCGAGTGGCTCTATCCTTACCACTGGAGGATGGACATCAACATGTACATCAACTTCTTCAGTAATTATAAATGCAAAAGTAGTTAAACCTGCATATTTCTAAGAACAAGTAAAAATAACGAAGAGAAAATACAAAAATAGAAATAAATATAACTACGGTCTTGTATTTCATCATCTTCCAATGGGTACTCAATTCTAACCACAATCCCAGCTTGTCTGCATACTGGCTTGCTTTCACCCTCTCGACATCTGTCACATTAAGTTTTATTATACGCAGTAAACTAAGTTAAAAGAGACCTCTACTAATAAGAAACTCACCCAATCCAAAAATAAAGATATATGTATATACACTGCAGTACATTTAAACTAAAATATTTCAACATTTCAGTTAAAATAAAAGTCCCATACATAGGAGCACATTTCTATCCAAACTGCAAGCGGCCTCCTATTGCCGCCGGTTTCCACCAGGTTTGCCAGTTCAAACGGCTTGGCTTCGCTCATGAACTTGGTAAATGCAACAGGTCGTCACGCCTGGACCATGAGACCAGTTGCCAAGTACAACCGCTCAAGGGGTTTACACACCAGTGACCAACTCCCAAACGTGTTGTGACAGTAAAAGCCCAGATTATTGGCAATTACAGGGAAGGTACAACTAGTGGGCTCCTTTGTTCAGCCTCTTGACTTCCATTAACACACAGAAACAGTGAGCAGTGACCAGCAGATGAGTTTGTTACAGGTCCTGAGACAAACCCTGGGAAGGAAACGCCTGGAACTACTTGTAGGTGGAATTGAAATGTGCTCCTGTAGGCCTTTTCACACTACAATCATCCATTCCCAGGGAAAGGTCACCCATGGATGGGAGACTTCTCAATATTCCAACTCCCCCAGGTCAATTCCAAATTATACTTTCAGATTTGTTTCACCGGAGAGCATGTTCTTCTCAACCTCGGGCACGGGCGAGTTCAACCCGATGATCTGTGCAACTGTTTCTCACTTGAGCTTTGAAACTCAAGCACCTTTCAGGATGAACTACACTAGACAGTAAAAGAAACTTGCCACTTCTGTCAAAAGCCACACATAAAAATTCACTCCGTAGAAATAAACAATTTTTGTACATTAGTCAGGGGTTTTGCAGCATACCTGTGTACAAAAATTGTTTATTTCTATGGAGTGAATTTTTAAATGTGGCCTTTGACAGAAGTGGCAAGTTAGTTTTGCTGTCCAGTGTAGTTTAGGTTTGTAGTATGAACAAAAATGACAAAAATGAAGCTCTTCACTGCTGAAGTCATATTATCGTTACAAGAAATACAACAACCTTGCCTCGATAAATCCTCAGGAAGTCAGGCACAATGATTGCAGAGCTTCTTCCCTGGCATTGGATATCTTAAGGGAGAGGAGGTTTCTCTTGTGGCAGAGCCTGTGCTTGTCCGGGGGTGGTTGGTGGGTACATGACCTGCCCAATGGCCTGGACTGGGTACTGAGGTTGAGTGGGATACATAGCAACTTGGTGGGGAGGATATACCACATTGCCTGCAACAGGAGAAGAAAAAATCTGAACTAATGAGTCTAGCGTAAATTGCCTTTCTGAAGTGCATTTTTTATTTTACAGAGGGTTTGTGGAGGAGAATTTTAACCAATTAAAATTTGAATTAATTCATAAAATTTATCAAATTTCATTATCAGAACCATATCGAAACAAATTTTGAATATCTTCTTGGTGTGCACTTCATGTGACCACAACCTGAAAAGGGGTCTTAACCCTAATACGAGCTAGGGCAGAATCCACCCCCTCCATCTGCCCTGACCTGAAGTGTACTCCTAATCGGCAAAAGAAAGGCAGATGGAAGTACATTTTCCAACCAGATTCTTGCATGTTTTGCATACATTCTGGAATAAAATCTTTGTGTGTACTCGGCGTGCTCCGCGTCAAATGTGCATATACTTGCGCGCCTTTGTGGTGAGTTGGTACCAAAAGGACCGTCAATTTCATTTACAAAACACACCCTCTTTTGTTCCACTTGGAGCAGACACTTTTTGGATATCCTTACAGTGTTGCTTCTAAGGGGACTAACCTTCTGGAAATTTGTCAGTAACTTATTTGGGTCATCTATTTTTCCAGGACAGGTCACCCAAACCTCAATACTTGCTCAATACCTGCGAGCCGGCACGTGCATGTTTCAGAACTCCAAATGACTGTAATAAAACCACTGTCAGCTTGAGTTGAAATTAGACATTTACATTATTGATAATGAGTGTCTCCCTCGTAAGGCAAGTTTAACAACATTCAGTCTGGGACAGCCTAGTTCTTTGGGTGGGGAATCGATCCCCCCATCCCCAACTGTGAGATAGTCCAAAATCACCTGGCTCTTTGGGAGAAATTTGGACTAAATGAGCCAATTCAGTATTTCAACTGGAATGGCAAAGCTGCCATAGCTCGCTGCTTCTTATGAACTTGAATTCCTTTCCTATAATAACCTTACTATTCTGTCATCGGGATAATTAAATTCTGTCTTCGAAGGGAGAGCCTGCCCAGATGACCACAGCAATGGACAAAAAAAAAATAAACCAACAAAGACAACAACAAGGGAGATAGGCGTACAAAGGCTTCATAGTTCTTTACCGGAGAGAGGAATGCCTAAAGACTGTAGGTCCAGTACAGTCAGACTAGACCTAGATAAGCAGTGCATTTTGAGTTTGAAGGATGGTGCATAATTAAAATTCCTCTGAAGTACAGTTTTGTACTTCGCATCCAACCCCATCATCCTTTCCTCTACAATTCTAACGTCCCCCCCTCATCCCATATC